TTATTGAAGTTCAGAATTTCTCCGTTCCTTTAGTTGGGTGGGCTCACTTTTTTGCCTTTTCCTCCCACGATTTAAGGATTGGCTCAAGCAACCTATCTTACTTACTAATAATAATAAAGGGGCAGGTTTTAGTCTTAAAGTTGAAGTCTGTCTTTTTCAATGGATAAGAAGCTCGACGAAGAGCTTCCCTTGCCTTTAGGCTTACGGAAAAAGGCGAATCCAAGGGCTCTTTACTATGATATAATATCATAGGGACGGACACTTCCTTTAAGAAAGCCGTACTCTCATCAGCTTTCAAGTAGATAAAGAAGTTAAGGCTAGTGACATCAGCTATCGGCTATTGGCCTTTGTGAAAGCTTCTCTTCAATATGTTTTATCCTTTTCCAAGCCTTCTTCGTCAATGATTATGGGTCGTTCCTGTAGTTCAAGACACTATTCTAAGGCCAGTTGCCTATACAGGATCTAAAGTTTCTAGTACAGTCAACTTTGGTTATCGCTACACCCTCTCTAGACAAACGATTTGATTCAAGCCACTCTACTACTGGTACAGTAGCACCCTGCCTTAATAATCACATAGGCACCCGGGAACCTTACTCAGTAAAGAAGGAGACTCCCTAAACAAGACTGCTTGCTGGTATGGAGGGACTAGCTTTGCTTGCTTCCTAGTCAAATATGCCCTATCCGTCTTACTTTAATATGAATGGTATATAGAATAATAAATATGAATGGTATATATAATAAAGAAAAAAAAACTTCCTGCAGATTGCTCAAACCACGTAACCTAATCAATGTGCCTATTCTCCTAAATCAAGACAAAAGGGATTCCACGGCTCAAAGGACTTTTAAGCCCAAAAGGGACCTCGCTCGATCATAAAAGAAAAGTTCATTTTCAATCAACTGATGAATGCCGTCAATCCACTTTCAATCAATCGACGATTGCTCTTCTTCTATTCTGAATGTCTTAAATAAGGTGTACCATTCAGAAAAGGTAAGGTTACAGGGCGCTCTGAGGAGGAGATTTGTAAAAAGGATTTCCAATTAATTAGTAGGACCTTATTAAATAACTTAGCTCGAAGGTCCAAAGTCAGATGCTTAACCCATGCCATCCCTTTCAACCTTAGAAAGTGTTATCCTAGAATCTATCATTCTCCAAAATTCCCTAAAGGCCCCCCGGGCTTGACAAGTTCAGCAAAACTGTAGAGAAAGCGGGCTACACCTAGCTTAGCCTATCCAATATCCGATTCAAAAAGAGCTTGGATTGCTGCCTTTTCTATCTCTGTATAAAGTCAGTCAGTCCTAGTGTTGGGTAGAGCCCATTGTCAAAAGATCGTTTTGCTAGGATGCTTGCTTGAATCTAGTTACTTCCAAAAAAAGGCATTTGGAACTCTATACGGTATGGCTACAAACCGAATGAAGAAGTCGTAATCAGGATTTGATCTATCTGGATCAGCACATTTTATTACAACTTCTTTAGGAGTATGACATAGGGGGAGCTAACGAACTTCTTCGTGAAGGTTAAAGGAATATGGGTATTTCTGGGTTTTCTATACAAAACTAGTTGTAGTATAGTTCCTAAGCCCGAGGCCTAGGCATAGTTTTGGCTCGTTGGGAAGGCGCGCAGCGAGGCATAAATGTCTAAATAGGTAAGGTATCCTGGGGTGTATCACCGGTGCCCAAGTAACTAGTTGATAGTAGATGCCCTGCCAATCCCCATTCCTATTTTCCAAGAAGGTAAAAATCTACGAATAACCAACTTAGTATGTAGCAGTCTATTCTCTTCGCTTTCCGTATCATATAAAAGATCGTTATTCCCATTCTCCCGATGCAGACTTCGTAGTAACTATCTCACTGGCAAGAAAGAAGGGCTACTATGATAAGGCCGCAGGTCGGCGGAAGGCAGGAGGAATGGGACTATTAAAACTGGAACTCTAGGGACTTAGCCTTAGACTGTTAGCTTGTTTTCCTTTACCCTAGAAATAACTTGCTATCCCAAAAGCTTGATAACTTCTTTGCTTATGCCCGTGGGTTGCTTTAGAATCCGAGGTCAACTCGACTGAAAGGAGAGGGAATAGATGAATACGGTAAGGGACTTGAATTCTATCCAATACGATAGATAAAAGTGAACAAATGGCAGTCATAGGTAGAACGTGTCTTTCTAGATTCGATTTATTTCTTTCCATCGCGAGAGATTCTCTCCAGCCACAGGTTCCCCAGTGGTACGTCCGGGGTCGGTTCAATCAGTGCGCTATCAGTCCAGTACCATTAGCTCTCCAAGGGTAGCAATCCATTCTTTCCGGGCAAGCCAGTTCAGTTCCTTTCTGGTAGCAAGAGATCCCATATCAGATTAAGTAAAGGGATTACCTAGCTAGCGCATATCGAAGAGTTGGAGACTTCCTGCCACTATAGAAAAAAGCCGTTGATGGATCAATTTCTGTAGGTGGGTCTCAACTCGGATCGAGACATTCGGATTTGCCGATGAGCCTTGGAGGGGTAGGGGTTGTAGGGGAAGAACCAACCTTTTCGGGTTACGGGAAGTCCTATCGAGCGACTGGATTAAAGCAAGAAGAAAAAAGTCAAAACAGCAACCTACCGACCCAGCGCAGTGCCTATGAAGAATAGTGAATGTAGACCGGATAGGAATTAGGACTCTTTAGGCGGAGTGGCTTTCTTGGAGGCATGTCTTCTTCGAAACTCGAAATTCGTTTTTTCAAAAGAAACAGGGCTATAGCCTTTAGAAGGCCAATTGACATTGACTTTTGATAGTTCCAGTTGCTTACGAAGAAGGGCAGACAGACTACGCCATTCCCATCCCTGCAGATAGACTTACTAAGCGTGGTAGTCGAGTGAACGGGCTATCAAAAAGCTCTCGTTTTGTTGCGAGCTCCTTTCTTGCAAGATAGTATACCTAAAAAAGAATGGATTCAAAAACAAACCATTCATGAAACTCATGCAGGAGCATGCGGTGGTCACATTAATGGACATGCGCTAGCTAAGAGAACTTCTTAAGTTAGGGTACTATTGGCTGGCTTACTATGGGGAGATAGGGTCACCTTGACGGATGCCTCTCGTTGGCTTAAACTTCTCCAGTTGGCCACCATTGAAAAGCACCGAAAAAGAGACCGACGTCACACATTTCATCACCTTTTCCACCTGGTGGAAACCAAGCTTGCGCATAATAGCCTCGAGATAATTCCATTCAACCCGATTGTTTCAATTATTCATCTAGTTTCCGATGTTGTTGTTGATGATGTTTTAGTAGCTTCGGGTAGGTAGATGTAGACAGGTACCTTTGATGTTTGAACTTATTAGCGATTTAGCTTTTAGCAGAGCTTCCTTTTCTAAGTCTGGTCTCTATGGAACGAACCAGCTTTTTAGTTAACTCAATAAATCGTATAAAAATAAAGCAATCTTTAGGTTCTGGCGGGCGGGGGACTTGAAATCCTCTTTAGCTTTGCGCGTTGGACTCTAAATCCTAACATAGTGGTTCGATTCCACCTCAGAATGACCTTCACGAAAGTGAAAAATCTTCGTCCTACCAAAACCGGATCTTGAAAAGTGTTCAGTGCCCAACAAGCAACGGGGTGAGTGCACTAGCGCGAAAGCGTTAGCGCGCGCATCCGTTTTCTTGCTCCATAAGAAGCACTAGTACTTTTCCACGGAAGGCGCGGGCGTTGAAGCAAGGAATATAAGCTCGGGTAGGGTTCCGAGGACCACTAGTCGTTTCATTCGTTCCTGCCGCACCGGATTGAGCTGTCCAAGAAGCTAGGTCTTTTTCGGGGAAATAAGTTGTTTCTGCTACTGAACCAACTAGTCAAACTAGGCATTCCACTAATTGCTGCTGGATTGGCCGTAGGGCTTGCTTCTATTGGGCCTGGAGTTGGTCAAGGTACTGCTGCAGGACAAGCTGTAGAAGGTATTGCGAGACAGCCAGAAGCTGAAGGTAAAATACGAGGTACTTTATTGCTCCACATCATGGTCGCATGTCATCCACACTGTCGGGATTGGCGAGAGGATCTCCAAGAGTTGGGAGATGGAGTACGTTGCGACGCCTAAGCATACTCGCGAGCACCACTGACTGCATGAGTGCTCGTGCATGCAAGCGAAGAGGACGCCAGACGCTGAATCGCGAGAGAGGTGTGTGGTGACCGGTGACCAGCAGGGAGAAGGGTGGTGGTTGTTGGGCGGCGGTGGTAGGTAGAAGCCCGACGACGGCACCTGGCGATGGGTGGGGAGAAGGCTGGCAGCGAACAAGAAGCTTGGCGGTGGCAAGCGTTGGGGAAAAGGGCGCATGCATCGAGGACGATGCGACCGCAACGTGGAGTAGATGGAGTTGACCTCGAAGACGATGCGGCGGAGCCGCGCGTTCGCCTCTGCGAAGGAGAGGCGAAGCTCGGGGACACCTGAACACATCGGCTTTTGAGCCGCTCGATGGGGGCGACTATGAGCTTGGGGGATAGGAGCTGGCCATCATGACGAGGCGGAAGCCCGGGATAGGAGCTTGGCCAGCGTGATGAGGCGGAAGCCCCAGCCTTCACGCGTGCCGGTGAAGACAACATTGCAGTTGTAGTTGGGACCCGCGCCACACCCCGCACGTGCGCAAGTCCATGACGTGAGCGCTTCCGGTCATTGGGAGCCACGTTAGCTGGCGGCCTCCGCCGTCGAACTTTTCCCCGCCGACCGACACCCTTCTCCCCACCCATTGGCGAATGCCCTGGAGGTTTGGGTTGAGATGGGAGTAGAGGGGAGTGAGGTGGAAGAAGATTGTTGGTTAGCTTGTGGGGTCCACGTGGCCTCTACACTGACTCAGCCACCATGTCAACAAAACCGGAAAGCAATACTGGATTAAAAGTGATCCGTAATCCATTTTGCAAGATTAGGGGTTCAAAGTCGTTTAAAACTCAACGACAAGATAAGATAAGGGACCTTAGATGAACTTTTTTGGGAGATGAAAAAACTCCAGCCTCATGGGCCTGTGCATATGACCCATAGGCAGGCGACACCGCGTGCATAACCTCCGCCTCCCCAATCCGTCCCGTCTCCTCGCCCGCCGCCCTCGACTCCCGTCTCCTCGCCTGCCGCTGGCGCCGATCTCCATCCTGCTAGCAGAGGTGGCGCCGGCGTCCTCCTGCTCCCGCCTCATTCGCTCACCGGTGAGCATCCTAATCCATCCCATCCGGCCTCGGCCTCGAATTTCGTCTCCTCGCCCGCCGCTTGCGCCGATCCCCATCCTGCGAGCAGAGGTGGCGCCCGGCGTCCTCCTTCTTCCACCGCATCGTCGCTCGCCGGTGAGCATCCCTCCCTACCCACACCTCATCAGGTATTCTGCGTTATCCCTCAAAAAGTTTGGGGGTTCAACCGAAACAGGGTTAGATCTGCCTCTGCCCAGCTCCACCTACTTTCAAGTTGTTAATTTTGATTTCCGTTTTTAGCATATGTAATTTGGTTACTGAATCTCATCCAAACACCCTTAGAACGAAAAATGTAAGCTCACATAATTTGTACTCATCCAAACTCACATAAATTTCTTAAGAAGAATCTAGACCACAAACTACCCATAGTCACACAAAATATCTTTTTATCAAGATATATTCTTATAAGTAATTTTTATTCCACAAAATTTTCTAAAGGACATACTGTGACACTTGGCATTAATCTAAACATATAGACTATTGTTTAACATTGCATAAATATTGACTTAGGCCGAGTTTAGTTCCAAATTTTTTCTTCAAACTTTTAACTTTTCTATCACATCAAAACTTTCCTGCACACATAACTTTCCAACTTTTCCATCACATCGTTCTAATTTTAACCAAACTTTTAATTTTAGCGTGAACTAAACACACCCTTAGCAAAGTTGAGCTACAAACCAAACCAACCCTCGTTTGCCCAATTGGATTTCAGCACAGTTGGTGTCCCGTTTTGATTCTTGAGGCCCATGTAGCAAATACTACTCCTACCAGAGGAGAAAACCGTGAAACCGGCATAGCTCCTCTCAAAAAACAAAAAGGAGGGGAAAAAGAATCACGACATATAGCTGATAGCTCCGGTCCAAACTCCAAACCCGGCCGTCTTTGCTCGACCGGAGCGGAGCGCAGCGCAGCGCAGACCAGCGGCGCGGACGACGCGCGCCCCCTCTGGATCGCCGCTCCCCCGCGCGCCACAGCTTCCATCCGGCGACTGCAAGGCCGCCCAAGCCAAGAGGTTATTATTCGTCTTCCGTTCCATGATTCTGATTTTGTTTTTTTTTTCTTTGCCTGAAGATGATTCGCTTCGCTGGATATTTTAGTAGTTTCTACCTCGCTGTTTATTGGATTCGTTCAATTCGTCTCCTCCTTGGGACGAAATTCTCTCGTATGTGGTTATTGGGACGAAATTCTTCCGAGTATTCCCTCAAAAAAAAATTCTTCCGAGTAGCCTAGGGTTTGGGGAACCTTTTCCGCGATTTTTATCATCGTGTCGATTAGTTCTTTATGTATTAGACCGTCCATTCACCGATTCGAGGTGCACATATTTTGTACTTGCAAAATAGGGTTAAATCATGATTCGACAAGACTGTTAGCCTGAAGATGCAAAATACCTGTTTAAATTGTGTTATTTGTGTTCAACACAGTTCTTTTATAGTAAGGAATATATAGCATATCTGATGTAAGGCTTCAATGCGGGGATAAATTCTATGTAATAGTGTGTAGTGTCCATTATGTTCTTATAATCTCTTGAGTTCGATGGAAGAGCCTGACCGTGTAAATGTTTTGCATTGTGAATCTTACACCTACTCTATGTCCTCAGGGTTTCTTTGCAAGCTTTAGCCCCTCGACGTTCATTGAGAGAACATGCCTAAAATAAAGACAAGCCGTGTCAAATATCCTGGAGGATGGGAGCTTATTGAACCAACTATCCGTGAGTTGGATGCCAAAATGAGGGAAGGTATGACATATGCTCCCCTTTCAGATGTTTATTGATACTTCTGCTCTTATATGGATACTAATATCATCTACTCATGCAGCTGAAAATGACACGCATGATGGGAAGAGAAAGTGCGAAGCCCTCTGGCCAATTTTCCGTATTTCCCATCAAAGAAGTCGCTACATATATGATCTTTATTACAGAAGGAAGGAGATATCAAAAGAGTTGTATGAGTTTTGCCTGGACCAGGGTTATGCAGACCGTAATCTGATTGCAAAGTGGAAAAAGGTTAGTATTTGACCCATGATTTGCGAGTGCCCATCATTCCTTATACTCTGTGCAAGTTTAGTAAGATGCCTTATCCACCTTGTATAATCTTTAAGACTTTAATTAACTTGTGTACAAAGATAATTCAGATGAAGCCATAGACCCTGGATACACTGTTAAGTTTCTCACTTTTTTTCCCATGCTTAGAATGTAACTTAACTGACCATACTTTTTGTACTTGTACTATGAAAAATAAAACATTAAACTAACCGCATCCTACCATTTCTTGCAGTAAATCCATTATATTGGGTTAAGCTATCACATACTGATCCAGTTTGACATGACACATCATAAATCTTGTTTAGAATATAATCTATATGTATGAACCTGCGATTAATAGCTGTATGTCAAAGTTGAGTAGTGCCTTATTGGATTTCATGCAATGAACCACAGGAAATAGTGAAATAATGCAGCATGAGTGACTTGTGGGGATTTATGGACTATATACTTTCTTATATGGGTGTACCATGAAAAATAAGATTTTGGGAGCAAAAAGAAAAGGCAGTTGACTAAAGATGTTTATGTATTTTCTGCTATGTATTTTTATTGCCACACTAGCAGCTGATGTAACCAGAAATCAAATCATGGATAGACTTCTAACACCCAATGGTATATATATTTTTTCCTGGACATCTGATAAAAGTTGGCAGATTTGGGAGGGATGCAATACTTATGTTCCATATTACTACTTTATATACTTGTCTGAACATTGATAACGAGGGGCCTAAATTGCCCTAAGAATACTGTGAGACATGTACGTGACGAATTCAACTGTCAAAGTTTTCAGTCACTTTTTAGATGCAAATGCTGAAGATGCTTTTTTGTCACAAGAGTTTGTCAGGCATTCTTATATCAAATGTATCATTGCTTCTTTTTGTGTGTTTTCAGCCAGGCTATGAGCGCCTTTGCTGTCTTCGATGCATACAGACACGAGACCACAACTTTGCAACTACATGTGTCTGCCGGGTCCCCAAGCATCTCAGAGAGGAGAAGGTTATAGAATGTGTTCACTGTGGATGCAGAGGCTGTGCCAGCGGTGATTGAGATATCGTCATTATCTTGTTTGAATATGTCAAACTAAGCAGACATGATGTTTCTTGAGCGAAATTTCGGCTAAAAACGTTTACGAAAACGTTTTGTAAACCTGCCTACCGGGTATGACGTTATTTAAGTACCTGAGATTGTGGTTACGGTCTGCATTAATCTGCCGCATGGTCATTGCTTGATCATCGGCCTCAACACCCTGCATGTGTGTATTCTAAAGTTGTTTAATGGAAACATCTGTTACTCGATGCTAATTGCCGCTATGGTCTTTGAAGACGTATTGTTCTATGCACGATGAGCTGACTTTGCTTTGAATGACCTTATCGAAACCGTTGCAAGACTCAAATGTTTCCGTGCGGTAGAAGTTCGTGATCCAAGCAGAAAGATTCCAAGCAAGGACAGCCTGAGATCTCGGCCATTTTTGGAGCACCAGTAGCAGTAGGCGGTAGCACAAGAGAAGACGAGTGTAGTTTTGCTGGCTTCGTCGCGTTGCTCGAACATGGCAAAGCTGTACCACGTTCACTACTCTTGTCCTCGACGAATTTACCCCATAAACAAGTGCTACTGGAGTTCATGTACACAGTACACCATAAACCCAAACTCTGATGATTTTGTAAGATGCCAAATTGACAATATGCCACTGGACCCCGGACAGGGCAGGAGGCAGATCAGTCGATACAGGTAGGTGAGGCATCGCCATTCTCCCTTGAAAATGGACGGCGCAGCCTAGCTAACTACACCGTTGCGGTGGTCTCGTCAGCCCATGGCCCTCGTGCTGCAGCGGGGCGCTTGTGTCGCGCGTAGGTAGCGTACTCCCTGGCCTTGGCTGTCGGTGCGCCGTGCGCCCGCGGCCGCGACTACGACGCGCGCTGCGTGTGCGCCGTGCGCGGCTCACGGGAAACCAAGCCGTTTTTAATACCCGCGCCGGTCAAGCCACACCGCCGGCATGTGACAGTGCGCGCGCCGCATACGTACGCAGCAGCGTCACTCGCGGCTCGGGCTCGGGGAGTGCGTGAGCGCCAGCAACACAGCGCGCGCATGCATGGCGGACTCCACGGCCATGACCGTCGACTTCCTCCGCGCGCGGCTGCTCTCCGAGCGGTCCGTCTCCCGCGCCGCCAAGGAGCGCGCCGACCAGCTCGCCAAGAGGGTCAGCCAGCCACCGCGCGCAGGCGCAGCCCACTCGCCGTGTCCTTCTCCTCTCGCTGTCGTTCGCGCCATTGATTGCATGTGTTGGGTCACTTGGTTTTAGGTTGCGGAGCTGGAGGAGCAGGTCCAGGCGGTGACGGCGCAGAGGCGGCAGGCGGAGCGGGCGGCGACGGAGGTGCTGGGTATTCTGGAGTCACATGGCTTCGGCGGCAACCTCTCAGACGTGCTCGACTCGGGCTCCGAACACGATGGCGAGGAGGATGACGACCCACGCGACGGGAGGAGCGACGGCGACACGGCAGGCTCCCGCGGGGAGGAGCAGCCGCCGGCGCAGTGCGAAGCGGCGGAGGACGCGCTGTCCGGGACGGCCGAGCCCGGCGGCGGGCTGTCGTGGAAAGGCCGCAGCGTGAGCCCGCGCAAGGCGAGGCAACTCAAGCAGAAGCACCGGAGGAGCTACTTCTACCTCCTCTCCTCCGACCCCTAGCCCAAGTACCGGATGGGGCAGTCCTGCCGCAAGAACAAGCGCAAGGAGCTCAGGTGAGCTCCGTCCCGCCATTGACGCTGGCACACGCCATTGTTTGTCGAATTCTAACATCACACGGCTCTGCTCATCAGCAATGGCAAGTAGACGGCGCCGGAAGAGCAGCGCGGCGACGTCGAGGAACTCGCCTGGAGTCAGAAGGGGCAGCAAGATGGATCGGATTGCACCGACGACGGCCAGGCGGACATGGACGGCGAGGATACTGGTGGTCAGTATGTGATCAGGTACGAGAAGGACGGCGAGATGGAGAGGGTGCTCGAGAGGCAGGCCGAGCTGATCGGCCAGTATGAGGCGGAGGAAGAAGCTCAGAGGCAGTGGGAGAAGCAGTTCAACGAGAATCGGAGCTCAGCCAAGGTAAGCAACCAAACACAGTTACACAGAAACACTGCTCAGAGTTGTGATACCAAATTCTTCCACTTCCAGAGAAAATGTTTCACATGAAGCAACTTCTGCAGTAGTACATGTGTACAACAAAAATATAATCTCATAACTTTGTACCATGAACTACGCCAGAGAGAGAGTCAACTTCCCCTTGACTTCCACATGCTACCAAATTTAGTGCACATGCAGTACAAAAATGTGTACTACCAACTTGATAAGTATAAATAATTTGCTCTCTCAAAATGTTTTTTTTAATAACAAAATGCACTGCAGAGTGCAACCCACAGGTTAGTTAGTATCATGAGTGAAACCTGGTTGTTTTGGTTCAAAATTTGACATTTTACCCATACTTTTGTCTTTGGAGCTCAGGTTCATGTTGAGGCAGAGAATAAGGCGTGCCAGATAGAAAATGGTTGGGAGCAGAGCAAGGAGCATGCTAGGCTCGCGGATCAAGCGGTACATTGCAACGAAGAGGCAAAACCAGGCGTTAAAAATCACCCCAGCGCCAGCAACAACCGCTCTGCTGGCCTTCTGTTGAATGATTCCCTTCCTGAATCACACGCATCAGGACAAGAAGCTGCTGCCGACCAACGTGACGCGCACGAGGAGCATCACGACCACTGTCATGCACAGTCTCAAGGAAGCTCTAATGTCGCCGGCACAATGACAGGGAAGAATCAAGAACAAGGAAACGAGAATCCGGATGGATGTTCAAGCTACTGTGACATCAAAGCGCCATCAGATGGAAGCCCGTCAATGAGTGATGCCACCCTGAACAGCAAGGTCTCTGACTGGAGCTCATCAAGCTTCCATGACCATGGCGACAACCAGGTCGATGCAGGGCCAGATCAACAGCCAACAAGCAACATGGACATAGAGAGTGTTCTTCAGGCACTTCAGCTTGCCAGGATTTCCCTGAGTCAGAAGCTGAGCAAGCCAGTTCCACCCAGCCAGGTGACGCTGGCGCTTCCTGCACCAGGGGACGATGAACATTCAGAAGACGACGGCTACTCCCCCGTCGACGACGAGTTCACTTCTGCAAGAGATGAGCTCTGCAGCTCAAGCCAATCTCCTGAGCAGGAGATACTGGCTCTCCCTGCACCAGAGGACTACCATGACAGGGAGAATTTGCCTGTCAATGACGACGCTACCATTTCACTGACAGAGGAACAGACCAGTTCAAGCCCACACCGGCAGGAGATCCTGGCTCTCCCGGCTCCGGTAGATGATTACCACAGAGAGATAGTGGATGACATCAAGATACCTATCTGCATTGCCGGGTTGTTTCGGTTGCCAACAGACTCATTTCCAAAGGACGAGACGCTCTCAACTTGCAGCATTTGCTTGATATCCTTGCATAAACCGGAGGAAGATCGGATTATACACGTTCTCTTGGATTCGATACCTTTGGAATACTCCGTAGGGGAAGTGCTACATCGGTATATTCGTGCGCTTGTGGATTTTATCTGTGATTGTAAGAAATACCAACAGCGCCCTACTCGTCGTCGCTCCCGGTCGCTGCGAACCCATCACCCAATGCCACAGCTGCCCCCACCGCCGCCTACATGCCCAGGTGCGGTACCCGTTGCCTGGTCAGGCTGGGGGATGACGTTGGAGAACGACCCTTCATCGGTGTTGTGGTGGCCGTGTCGGCATCCTCCGCGACATCCTTGTCATTGCTCCTGGTCGCTGCGGACCTGTCACCCGGTGTCGCGGCCAACCCCACCGCCACCTCCATGCCCAAGCATCGCATCAAGCCGCTAGCCTGCAATTTATGAACAATTTATCATGTGCATACCTTTTTGACATGTGGCTTCGATTGTTGGAATGATCAGATGAACGATGAGATTGCTTTTGTGTAGAGCACTCTATGTAATTTAACTGTGGGAATATATACGTGCATTGATATGTGAAGAAAATGCATGAAGTTGAATTGATGACACGTCTAAATCACGACGTGCAAAAGCTGACGTCACATCTAAATAGTGAAAATCTATGTTTTTTTAAGTGAGTATTGTTTTCAGCTTATGCATTTGAGGTTAAATATTTAAAAATAGACAATAAAAATATAAAAGCAAAGCAGAAAGAGAGGAAAATAAAGACAGAATAAGAATAAAACACATGGTGGACAAGAGGTAAAAAAGAAAGCAGCAGTGATTATATTCCTTTATTTTTTTTTCTCAAACGCTCTTGACACTTGAGTTATATAGGAGAGAAAAAAATTAAAGCTGCAGAGGGGATAGGATAAGACCAATCTCGATTCTTCCTCCCCAGTCCCCACCAGTGCACTGCATCTAGCCACTTCCTTTTCCCCTTTTGCAGCTGCCCATGGAGGGAGCAGCGCAACCTTGGCCTCGTCCCCTGCGAGCCGCGGCAGTGACACCACCCGGAGAGCAGCGCCCTCAGCCTCGTCGAGCAGCGGGAGAGGCGACAGCCTCAGCACCGGTGCGAGCAGCAGCCCCGACGAGTAGCGACCTCGGCCTCGTCGAGCGGGAGAGGCAATGGCCTCGGCACAGGCGGCGGCGACTCCGGTGAGCAGCGGCCTCAGCGCGACGGCGGTGGCGCTCCTCCGGATCCATGCTCTCAGGCGCAACGACAGTGAGCAGGGAGGGAGCAGCTCGTCCATTGCGGCAGATCGGCAGTGACCTCGGTGCATTCCCCATCCCTAAAGCTTGCCCTTCTCAGATTTTTCTTCCTCGTACCTCCTTGTGTCGGGGCATGATCCATCAGCGTTCGAGACGTCATCCCGCATTGTTCTCGTTCCACGAAGAAGTAGGATGAGCTGAGCGGTGGAGCGGTGGTCTTGCGTTTTGATTTAGGTTTGCTGCTAATTTTCCTCATCCTGGATCCTTTTGACCTTCTTGTTTGCTTTAGGCCTTCTTTTTTCTCCTTCAATTTCGTTTATTTTTTTCCCTAGTTTTACCGCTTCCAATCAGAATATTTAAGGAATTCAAATTCTTAAATTTTGAAGTGCCTCATCTCTCTCATAGCTAAAAGTTGTTCGGATCCACTGGTGGAGAAATCATCTTTGGTCGGTCGGTCGAAATTCACAATAGTCCCGGATCCATTTAAAACCGAGACTATTATCAACCGGACTAAAGATCATTTTTAGTTAGACGTTGTTAGGCCCTCCGGGATCTTACCAACCGGGACTTAAAAATCCCCCATTTATATATGTCTTCTTCCTCCTCCAGCCTGAGCAAGCTTCAAAATTTCTTAAAGAGCCTGAGCAAACTTCAAAATTTCTTAAAGAAAGAAAGGAGGTTATGCCAAAATTTCTTGTGAAATTTTTTTTAGTGATTATATACAAATCGGAGGTGTCTAAAATGTTAGTAACTTGTTATATTACTTTTGGAGCTATGTTTCACACATTTTTTTTCTCTAAAACTTTATTGTAAGTTGATGATAGAGAAAATTTGTGTGGGGGAAGAAGAATATATAGAAATTTTATTGTTTACTTAAAAGAATTTTATTCTCATAGTTTAAAATATGATGAAAATTAATCTTACAAAATAGAAAACAAGCTAAATTGAAAATTAAGAGAAGTACAACATTAATATTAGTTTATTAGTTTAGAACTTCAAAAATTGTTAAAAATAAGAATTGTTTGTTGAATTATTTTATAATTATTAATTATATGAGTAATGATATGTCATTATTGTATACTTATCGAAAGAGTTTTTAATTATTTTATCATTATTGTTTGACTGTCATTATTGTACAAAAATTTATTTATGTACGATTTTTTTTCATTTCATGTAGATGGATCGGTAATGGATGTACGCTGACCGGTGGTCCAGAGAGTTTATCGAGGGCGTGTATTATTTTTTTTGAGAGTGGCCGAAGCTAACAAGCGTAACGGTTTTATTCGTTGTCCATGCAATAAGTGTAAGAACCAGAAGGAGTATTCTACATCCAGGACTATTCATTTCCACTTGTTTGAGTCGGGGTTCATGTCAAGCTATAATTGTTGGACATCCTACGGTGAGCAAGGGGTTGAAATGGAAGAAGATGAAGCGGAGGACGAGAACATTCCCGACTGGGCTCAGTACGCTAGATTTGAAGGAAATCAAGATTTACATTATGCAATTAATTAAAATACAAATTTCACCATCTTCTTTATGGTGATGTTGAAGAAAATAAAGACCCATGAAAATCAAGGTGAAATCTGCACTGATCTGCTATATGGTAGGTCTAACATCACCGCATTATCTAGTTTTGGAGTGGCTTGACGAAGTAGTCATGGTTGGGACGTTGGGACTGGCTCGTTTTGGTCATGAGACCTTCACAGATGGGAACACGTGGTCGACAAACGAACACCGAATCGGAAACACCTGCATGAACGATTTGAGTTGCATGTAATGTTGCTTTGTAGTTGCACGAATCTCAGGAACGTGTTTTCATCAGTCATTTCATTGAATTGATCTCTATTTTGATGAGCAGCGACAACGAAATTTGAATGATGCATGGTTCTTCCTCCTTTCAGTGGTTGCCTTCTTGTGCATACAGATCAAGCAGTGCTTCTTGCCAGAACCATATATCAGTGCAATTTGTACATTGATTTATGCGTGCATCGGTGCATGTTTGCTTTATCCGTCAACGTGAAGGACTTGTGCAACAGTAATATATGCCCGTGGGCTTGGGATCCCGACCACACATGGAAACATGGAAACAGATAGAGCGGAGGCGGATGCGGTCACGTGGACATTATTGTGCTGCCTCAACGGCCGTCACGCGGGAATCGGACACAGGCAGGGAATCGGACGCGGGCGGGAGTCAAACTTCCTACGATTTGCTCACGAATTCGGACGACATACCAAGACAAAAACATTTTTAACTTTTATAATAGTAGACGGAGAAGAGAATAGAGAGGATATATGGTTAATCAACTTAAAAACCGACTCAAACACGAATGACTTATCAAAATCTCGATAAAAAACATCTTCAATTTTTATAATAGTAGAGAAGAGATATATAGATATAGATTCTTTAATTTTTATAATAGTAGAGAAGAGATATATAGATATAGATTAGGTATTTATAGATGTCCCGGGATATTATTTTAGCCGCTCAAAGTGGCTCTCGTCAGTGGAGCGTGCCTGTAGCTGTTTTGGTGCAAACGAATTGGAATAGTAATGGCCTGGGCTTGAATGAAGCAACGTGGGCCTAGTGCCTGCCATCCTGGACATGTGAACTGAGGAACAACAGTTGGGCCCAAACTGAGGACTCTGCGTGCGTCGTCGTCCGTTACCGATCAGGTTTTCTGCATGGCTGTTGAGAAATTACCGGAAACTATGTTGTCTTGGTGATTTTTAAAAAACCATCCGACAAATGGATAGGCAGTTCATTTAGAGCAAGTCTAATAGTACAGCCCACTACTAACTCCAATTCATTTATAGCAAATCTAATAGTCAATTCATATAATAGTTGCTTACTATACTATTAATATATGGTCCACCTGTCATACATTGTGTCTTGGAGTCCGCGCTACAGCTGGCTAGATATCTGTAGCCCGCTGTTTTTTTCTCTCATCATTTATCTCATTAAAATATGTTTATAGCTGACTAATAGCCTGCTATTGTACCTGCTCTTATATCTAATTGTTTTTTACAAGGAAAAAAAATATTCATGGGCCAGTCCAGCACAGGTACACAAGGCCCCATCAATCTCGCTTCCGCCGCAGCACAACACCGAAGGCGACGCACGCCGGGCTCCCCGCGCGGCCGCGTCCCGCATCCACAAGTCGACAACAGCAACGGCCGCCCCCGTCCCACTCCCACCGACACCGGCAGTGCGGCACACCGCCAATCCCACCACCCACACGCCACACGCCCAAAACACCCCGAATCGCACGCCAAAAACTCGCAATCCCGCCGTCCCGCCCCGCGCCCGTCGTTCCGTTCCGCCTCCGCCGCGCTGCCCGCCTCGGTGCGGCGTGGGACGAAAATTAGAAACTTCCACCGGTAGGTCACGCCCGCTTTACCCCACCCACCTCGCCTCGTCCCCCTCCTCCTCGCCTCGCATCCCCTCTCTCTTTTCGTGAGCAGGGAAGAGCATCCCCTCTCTCTTTTCGTGAGCAGGGAAGAGGGGGGGGGGGGGGGGGACGGGCAGGGCGGGCGATGAGGCGAGGAGGGGCGCCGCGGAGCTCACCCACCGAGAGCCGCGCCGCAAGCATGCTGCCTCTCGGTGAGGAGGGGTGCTAGCCCCGCCGCTGCCCGCGCGGTTAAATTGCTCGCCGCGCCCCGCACCCGCACTCACTCCACCACCAGGCGGGGCAAGAGGAGAGGGTTGGATTGATATGGGTTCCAATCTCAAGTACCGTGCTGGCCTCGTCCTCATCGTCGCCGTGGTGCTCATATGGGTCACCTCCGCGGAGGTCACGCAGGTGACAAGATTTCTTCGGGTTTTCCTTTTATCTTTTGTGATTATTTGTTTTCTGGGTTCTTAGATCTTGGCCGGGGATGCATGCTTGGTTGACAGCAGATTAATTTTATTATTTAATCAGGAATCTTGGAACATTCCTCTTCGCTGATTTGTTTAATCTGTTCATGCATTCTTTCCAGTAATTAAAAATTGTCCAGGCAACGTTAGAATCTGACTTGAGTTATAGATTCTTCAATTCTTTTGTCTTACGAGCTTTGATGTCTTTTGCAACCAGTTACTTTTTTCCATATGTCAAATTGTGTGCTCATGGAATTTCTCTAGAGAATTGATGTACATGCTCCATTGATTATTCTCCTGTCTTTCCTCGTGTGGCTGGTGTCAAACCCTAATTTGCTTGAGGTGGTTGTGACAATTCGCATCATCAATACCTGGTTAATTGGAGGTGGTTATGACATCCTTGCTCACCTGTAATGCGTGATTAAATATTATATGGGAAAGTATTATTCTAGTTTTTTTGCAAATCAAGATGTTTTTCCCTTTTATTATCGAAAAAGATGTTCCCCCTACCCGTGTTCAATTTTTAAAATTCTATTCTGAAGAAAACAAGATATTGGTTTGGTACTTGCATTTAACTCTCAAGAACATGTCAGTTATAGTAGCCCACCGTTAAGACGTATGATTTATGTCTTAAAACATAATATGTTTTTGTTTCTTATAGTTTTGATAAATTTGATGTTATGCGATGAATATAATTTTATTTCATTATGTGTGCAGGGGATATTCACTAAATACAAGCAACCCTTTGCAATTACTTACCTGGGGGCCTCCCTTATGATCATCTATATACCTCTTTCATTTTTAAAGGATTTTATATGTAATTTGTTGAGAAGGTCTTCTTCAAGTAGTAGAGTTTCAAAAGTTACCAACAAATCTTCTTTCGGTGGTTGTGCTCCTCTGAAGAATGGTGAATTCCAGAAGATGTTGGAAATGGAATCTCAAAAAACTATAGTCATAAACTATACTGATGTGGATATTCCTGTAATAGAAGAGACAAAACCTCTTATATGTGGAATCACTGAATTCGATGACGTTTTGAAGGAGCAAGAACTTTCCACTAAGGAGATTGCAATGTATGGGTTGTATCTTTGTCCCATATGGTTTGTGACGGAGGTAATTTCCTAATATTTACCTGTTCATTAAAATTCATAGGGATCATTTGATTTCAACCATACAAGCAGTAGTTTGATTGCTAAATGTTACTCATTCTTCTCTTCTGTTTAATGGATGCAGTACTTGTCAAATGCGGCACTTGCAAGAACTAGTGTTGCTAGTACTACTGTACTATCTTCAACGTCAGGACTCTTCACTCTTTTCATTGGTGTGCTACTTGGCCAAGATTCTATAAATGCTGCAAAAGTTATTGCTGTTTTTATTAGCATGGCTGGTGTGGTAATGACAACCATGGGGCAGACTTGGGCATCAGATGAATCAGAAATCAGCAATTCTGGGTTAGTGCGTTTTACCCTTAAATAAACATCACAGTTCTGCACTGATGCCTCAGGACATATAAAATTGTTTGTGATTAATTTGCTATGCTCATAAAGCCCTTGCATTTGCTTGCTTGTAGTAGATTGGTTGCTGCAACTGAATTGCTTTTCATATAAATATAAGTGCATAAAAAAACATAAAAGCGCTATTTATTCCATTTTTAAGATGGCCTTGTAACTGAAGATCATGTTGAAGATGATTTTGTAACTTTGAGACAGCACTCACTTTGTTGGCCACAAGTTCTGCAGCTAATCTGTAAACTTTATGAATGCAGTGCCACTCAGAGAACTCTTCTAGGTGACATGTTTGGTCTTCTGTCAGCTATGTCATATGGTTTATTCACTGGTTAGTTCTTTGCTTCCTTTAGTTGATCTGTCTTGATTCAACTGCTAATTGTTTCAACATTATTTTAGTGCTTCTAAAAAAGTTTGCTGGAGAGGAAGGAGAAAAGGTTGATGTCCAAAAACTGTTTGGCTACCTCGGACTTTTCAGTCTTGTTCTTCTCTGGTGGCTTGGTAAGATTTTCCTTGTTAACTATAAAAATTGATTCAATGAAAAGTCTAAAAGACTAATTAGCATTCAATTTTTAATTAGTATTTGGTACATAAAATGGAATCGCAAAGGATGTCATGTATGGGCATCTCATGTGCTGCTAGAGAATCTGTCTCTATTGTTCGTAGTCTGAAATTCTCTTTCTTCAGCACCACGCATGCCAATAATTCTTTTTGTTCAGGTATTCTAGTCTACTGCGTAGAACACAAACCTTTGTGACCATGTTCTTTTGTAGTTTGGTTCAAGCACATATATCATTCATGTATTCCATGATTGGTTCTTTGATCCAGATATGCTAAATTTCTCTCTTTTATTTTCAGTCTGGCCATTGACCGCATTAGGCATTGAACCAAAGTTTACAATACCCCACTCAGCCAAAGTGGATGAAGTGGTGTTGGCAAATGGCCTTATTGGAAGTGTATTGTCAGACTACTTCTGGTACGCACTGACCAAGGATAACATTTTTATTATATTGTTGCCTAGTTGTGCTATTTTTGACATGGAGCTTCTGGTCAGGGCTCTTTCTGTTGTTTGGACTACTCCTTTGGTGGCCACCTTGGGCATGTCACTCACAATTCCACTAGCAATGGTGGCTGATATGATCATTCATGGTCGTCGTTATTCAGCGGTCTATATCTTTGGTTCTGTCCAGGTAACTGATGTCCTCAGCTTAGGATTGTATTTTTTTTAAGTTATGTAAATGCTGTTATTAACCATTTTACAATTAGGTGAAAGTAAATCAAAATTTTCTGTTCTTATAATAATATAGCCATTCTTTATAACTATGAAAATCTGACTGATTAGTTCTTTGATACTTTATTTGTTCTTAGATCAATCCTGCTTGAACTAGTCATTTGCTTTACCCTGCTTACTTGTGCTTTGCAGGTATTTTCTGGGTTTGTCATTGCAAATCTTGCGGATCGCTTTTCACGTTTTCTAGGGCTCTAGTGTCACGAAATCAACCAGGTTTTATTAGAGTGTACATCTGTGTGGATCGTTAGACAAATACCCTTGTTTCATAAGATTGCGAAAATGTTACTGTAGTTTTTTTTTTCTCTTGGCCCTTTACACACAGGAATGGAAAATTTTTGTGGCGGTGAAATAGAAAAGAGTGACTTGAAGAAACTTTATGCTGTAGCAACCCTTGCAACTGTAAATTCTTTTGCTATAAAATCCTTCTCAATGTATACTACTGTAGCTTCCTACAGTAGACTTGCATATATTAATTGCTATGTCTTTGTCCCCTTGACTCATTGTGGAACATTTACAAGTCCTGCAACCGAGAAGAAAGTACGTACAAAATGGCCTTTTGGAAAATAAAAGGTCAAAGGTGATTCTGGTGCCGTTACAAGCTTGGCTTTACTGTTACAGAGTGAAAGTCAACACCCGGCTGTAGTTATCGGCGTTGGATTGGAGACGATGGACGGCGAAGTTGTCCGGCGAAAAAGACGATAGACGGCGAAGTCGGCGGCCTGCTCGGGGTCGCGCAGCAGCGGCCTAGTGACCCTGTCTACCTCGACCACCTCGAAGCCTTGCTCTCGCAGCACGTCGATACAGTCCTGCACGCCGTCGCGCGCCTCGCTCGCCGCCCACCCCACCGTGCCGCCGCCGTCGCTGTCGCTGTCGCCGTCTCGCCATAGCCCATGCAGCGTGTCCGCCATCGCCGGCATGTCGTCCGGGTCGTAGAACACGTCGGACATGAGCACCACGTCCACCTGGACCTCGGGCTCGAGGTGCCCACCCCACCGGAGCTCACGCACGTCCGCCTGCTCGGCGGTGAGCCCGTTGGCGTCGGCGTTGGCCCTGAGGCCGGGGAGGAGCGGGCGCACGTCGGTGAGCACGCAGCGCGCGGCGCCGAGGCAGGCGACGGCGGCGATGCCCGGGAGGCCCGTGCCGGCGCCGAGCTCGAGGACGGTGGCGCCACGGAGGTGGTGGTGGTGGACGCAGGACGCGAGGTGGGAGGCGAGGACGAGGGAGGAGTCCCAGAGCCATGAGCCGGTGAGCGCGCGCCCCGTGGCCGGGTCGTGCGTGCCGTCGCGCTCAGCCACGGCCAGCGTGCGCCCGGCCACGGCTACGTGCAGCGCGGCGTCCATAATCTCGGTGGCTACCACCTCCATCATCTCCATGGCATTCTAACCTTCATATGCTTCTTCTAATCTTAATTAGATGGGGCTCGTTGTACTACTAATAATAATTGTATGCTGAAGAAGTCTTGCTTTACAACTTGATGATTCGATGTGCAACCGAACGAATTTATTCCTTGTTTTTGTGTTAGTGGCTCCTGCCGAATCAGTACACCATTGGGCAGTTGGGGGCTTGGGGCAGGTACGGTGGACGCCGCCTCGCCTGGTCCGCTGGTTTTCCATAGAAGCTTCTCATGTCTGAGCGGCTGAGCAGCTGATCAGCCCCTCGACGGCTCGACCCACAGGATAAACCAACTGCTGCTAGGAATGCTCGGATACCCAAGAAGAAAACCTGAAATCGCTTGTGAAACAAGGTCACACCAAGGCAAAACATACGCGCGTACTCGTGCCGCTCCCCACAAGAAACGAAGCCGACCACGTCGCGGCCTTGCGCCCAAGTCGTACGTGCAGTGCAGCCATCCGGTATCCATCCGCCGCGCGCTCGCTTGCCTTCTCTTCTCACCGGGCCGCGCGCGCGCGCGCATGAGCTTGGTTTCCAAGGTGGTGCACGATTGCACGTACGCCGCCGGTGTGCGTGCGGTTTCGAGTGTCGACGCCGCGAGGGCCACACGCCGCACGCACATCACCGCGCGGCCGCTGCGGATGGCAAACGCGACGGCGACGATGGGTAGGCGGCCCACCGAAACCACCGGCCTTTTTGCACGGCCTTGGCCGCAGCATCTCTGGTTGGGCCGAGGCCTGGGACTGCGAGTGGAGTACTTGTACTTTCATCTTCGCGGACAGTAGCCGCCAACAGGTAGTACTAGAGCCCACGACGGAGCGGCCCCGTTGCAAAGACCGGACGGGGCGGCGTGTCTCTCTCTGCTTGGATTCTCTGACGTTGCCTACTTGCCTCCTGGGAGCACGTCCGTCGGGTAGGCACTGGAGCGTGTCGCCGACACTTTCGACACTACCCACATGCTTGCTTGCAGCTATACGCCTACTGTACAGTTCACCTGTATACGACTAGTGACTACTGCCACTGTGCCACATGCTGCTAAGGAACTGTCAAACGGAGCTATCCATTAGCCAATCCGCCATACACAACAACAAAAACACCAAAAGTCCACAACAGAGATGCATGCATACATGATATACCCATCTTAGAGCCTTAAATATTTGTCCCAAGAAAATTAACAGCCACTCATACATCCTAACTGAATGAATGAATGAACATGTGCAAATGACACCAACAGTATGCACGTAACCGGAGCCGCCGTGACGAACTGACGACCTAGCCAGTTGACCATGCATACCATCGACAATAATGAGCAACCTAACAACGAAGACATACACCGGCCGGCCGGAGACGATCCCATCCGACGACACTGAAGAACTGAAAGCACAACCTAAAGCTACGTACATGCAGAATGGTCGACAGACAGACAACTCGACACACACCCATCAAGCGGACAAACGCCTCTGGCCCCAGCCTCTGACATGCGGGCCCCACACGGCCACCCCCGTGAACACGGGGGGACGGCGACGTTACGTGACAACTGGGCCACACCGGCCCACGTACGGGGCCCCATTCGACGTGGACAACGTCGTCCCTGACAGGTCAGCTCCCATGCAATCACACCCACGGAACACCAGACACGCACACCCCGGCGACGGCGACGACAGCCGCCGCCGCGTGTGGCCGCACGGCGCGTCCGGCGTTCGACGCGGCGCAGATGATCCGAACCCCAAGCAAGCAAAACACCTTCTTGTTTCCCCCACGCAAGCGTCTGATCCGCCCCGGATCTTCTGCAAACGCGTCGGCCGGCGGCCACACGTATCAACATCGTTTGCCTGCTCTGAGCGATTAATTAGCAGTACGTATACTTGTAATTACTACTGCTCGATTACTCTTAATGGTGAGTGAGTTTGATGGCTACGTATGTGTGCTATCGCACACGCCATGTACACCAGTATTGTACGCTTAACGCGTTAATTACTCGCTGATTGACACTAACATGACATAATAAATATATATGCTGATATCAAGGTATATATTAATGCATCTTGACGTTTACTAATTTATTTCCTTCTGCAAGGCGATATGCAATTGTACAGTACCCCTGCTGATGATCTGAGCACATCATTTAAGCTAAGCAACCAATTAAGTGATCGACCAACCAATCTGTACACATTGTCACTGTACTGCAGTACTGACGACGTCCCAGCTGCTTAAAAACCTGAAGAGCTAATTTCTGAAGTAGTCTGAACCCTGAAGAGATGGAAAGAAGGGACACCGTAGCAACCCGTCGGCCGTATCGTGTGTTCATAAGTATATACCTGCAATTCACCTGAATACCTGATGGACCAGTGGACGATCGATCAGGGAGAAAAGATGCTTCATGGCTTTGCATTGCATGTACCGTACGTAGCTGGGCCAGATAGATATAGATGGATGGATGTGAATGGATGTGTGTACATGTTGCTAGTTGAGTTTGTGAGTAGTCGACGTCGACCATAGCAGCATGCATGTACGTGAGTATGTATGCAAACACTGTTAGCTAGCAGTGATAGATGGATGCGATCGATAAAGAGATGCAAAGGTTTTGAAGCTTTAATGCCACCCTTTCTGTCCCTTAAAAAGCTTACCTCGCTCGCCCATTCTACTTCCATTCTCTTCACACCATCACATGTAGTGCGTGTACTCCTAGAGCTTAGCTAGAGCTAGCTTCCTCTCGTTGATAGCTTGATACATCTCTCTCGATTCGTAGAGAGTTTGGTTGGTTGATAGCTAGCTCGACGGCGCGGCCATGGCGGCGGCGTCTCATGCGCCGAGGTCGGTGGTGGTGAGTTCGTCGTCGCCTGCGGCGGCGATTGCCACGGCCGGCTGCGTGGTGGACACGAACACGACGTTCGTGCAGGCCGACCCGGCGACGTTCCGGGCGCTCGTGCAGAAGCTGACGGGCGCGCCGGGGAGCGGCGGCAGCAAGCCGGCGCCGGCGGCGCCGGTGATGAGGAGGCCGAAGCTGCAGGAGAGGCGGCGCGCGGCGCCGGCGAGGCTGGAGCTCGCGCGGCCGCAGCCGCTGTACTACAGCCACCACCACCACAGGCTGATGCACTCGCCGGTGTCGCCCATGGACTACGCCTACGTGATGGCCTCCTCCTCCTCGTCGTCGTCGTCCTCGCTGCCGTCGTCGTCGTCCTCGCTGTCGCCGTCGCCGCCGGCGTCGTCGTCGTCGTGCGGGGTGGTGGTGATAACCAAGGAGGAGGAGGAGAGGGAGGAGAAGGCCATCGCCTCCAAGGGGTTCTACCTGCACTCGTCGCCGAGGAGCGGCGGCGCCGGCGACGGCGAGAGGCCCAAGCTGCTGCCGCTGTTCCCCGTCCACTCCCCCAGGAGCTCCTCCTTTGCCAGATCTTAATTTATTAATTAATCAGCCTTAATTATCTTGTTAATCCCGGCGATGCCATGCTTAATTAATCCTTTGTAGCACCAAGCTATCTATCTGTATTAATCAATTAGATGATCAATATATCAATCCATGCAACATCCATTGCTGGTTATGATTAGGTCTTGATCAGTTAATCAACTCTCTGCATATCTCTACATTAATTAATTTCAATTCAATCAAAAGTAGTAGTACAAGCTACTCCTGTGAACCTGTCTAGGTTTCCATGGAAGCTTCAAAACATGCATGTTGCGAATCATAGCCAGAATGAAGAGGTTCTTCAATTCATGAACAGCAGTTAATGCTTTCTTCTCTGCACGATCTTGTCATGTAATGAGCTAGTCAACTCGCGAGAGCTACACAAGTTGGGTACTTTTCACATGCCCATCTTTTAAAAAGAAAGAAAATAGTTATTCAGATCATGCTGTTCAAATCAAGCAGTTTCAGCGTAAGTTTCGAGCATATCAAACGTACTCAGGCGATCTTGCGATCATGTTTGGTCACAAAAAGTTGGATGGGAATCGGATGCCAACGTCAAGTTTATATTCTCCTCTCAGCGACAGCAACGTGTATGTGCTACACACGTAACGTACCTTGCGGTCACTAGCATGTGGGGACCCATGAAATTGTCAAGGAACACATATAAAACATTCAAATAAAATTAAAATATGTGAAAAAAAACGCAAAGATATTTAGTCACGGGTGCCACGCCGCTGCTCTGCAGATGAACAATAAACGGTTTCGGATGCGTGATGCATTGATTAGGGTTTTGTGTGACAAAAAACAGAGAATACTTTTACCATGTTGAAGTGTATATTTAAGGATAATGGCTTGTTTAATTCTCAACTTTTTCTTCAAATTTCTAACTTTTTCATCACATCAAAACTTTCCTACACACACAAACTTCCAACTTTTCCATCACGTCATTCCAATTTCAATTAAACTTTCAATTTTAGCATGAACTAAACACATCCAATGATTACTAGTTGGCCTAAAATCCATTGTAGTCTATACTGCTATACCAACATATCATTGAGTTAGTTGCATTTTAGGTATCCTTTCGAGGGAGGAATTTCAAAAGAATTAAACCAAATATATATGAAAATATTGTACTGAGTGTTTCAAATTAAAAAAGCCACAAACTAGTCACCGGTCCATCCAGGTTAACCAATCACACTTGTCAAACTTCTGATTTAAGAGTGCTCGCTTATTTGTCAGCATATGTACAGTTCTCTCTTGGTTTATACCTTCCTACTACTATATATAATATGTTTGATGGTTGGCTCTTGGGGGTAGACAAGAAGAAGGGTAAACTCATACTTGTAGGAGCTTCTGCCATATGTTGGGCTCTGTGGTTGACTAGGAATGATATGGTTTTTTACAAATCACCATCTATCTCATATATGCAGGTAATTTTCAGGGCAACATATTGGCTCCGATTTTGGGCACAGCTGCAAATGTGTGAAGATGATCGAGAGCTTATGAAGGTTGCATGTCGTAGGCTTGAGACAACGGTCATGCAACTCCTTGCAAACTATGGATGGAGATTCAGAAATAGACTTGAATAAATGTGCTCTCCTTATTTTAGTTTGATCTTTTATTTTGTTGGGTGTGTTTAATTCATTTGAACTACACTCAGTGTTTGGGTGTTACTTTTGTAATAATTGGCTGTAACTCTGATGAGCAAAGGCCGGGATGTTTTATTCCATTATCTAAAAAAAATATTTTTCTTCGCCGGGCTTGGTTAGTATATATACACGTACTCCCTCCTAGAAAGACTTTATTTCTAACTCTCAAACTTTATTGAAAAGAAATCGTTTCTACATTACCTACTCTTGATTTATAAATTAAAAAAATTACTCCTTTAATATCTCGGAATGACTATATATACGACTGCACCTGTCCGACCTACATACGACTTTACATAATACTAGGTTTTAACTTGTTTTGACTGGGTCCACATAAATGCTTATGAACTATGTGATGATTGGTTCGGCGATTCAGTCGGATGTATAACACTACTATTAATATCTCTTACGACCTACCATTATCACTAATTCTTCAACTAATAGCTAAAATTGAGTGATATATTGCGGGATGGAGGGGATGCTGATACATGTAGAATCGAACACAAGTAACCAAGCCTACCATAGAGGGGGTGAATGGTAGGGAAAACCAAAAACCCAAAAAAGTTACCCTCAAATTGATGGAGATCTTGACGTTGTCCTGTCACCACCGATCCAACTGCCGTAGCCTGTCCAGTCATACCGCCGCGCTGCCTTCGGTTAGACCGTCGTACTCCCACTGGTTAGACCGCCGCCTTGCTATCGATCAATCCGTCGGGATCTAGAAAACACGTATCGACGAAACTTATATCAACTTTATTGTATCAATATGTGTTTACAAAGTGCACCTAAAGCACTCCTCTCTCAACTCACGAACTAGGATTAAAACCCTAACTTTTCTCTCTCAAAAGTCGATGTGTAATAGGAGCATCCAAGAGTTAAAAATTAACGGTTAACTACTTACTAACACAAAAGCTGGAAGTTATACTTTCCATTATTCAGGAAAAACGCATACAATCAGGAGACCAGTTTGAATGAATAAGCTGATCCGTATCTGATCTCGCACGTAAGCAGGCGTAAGTCCGAGCCCACGCGTGCACACGTACACACACCGGCGGGGCCGCCATGGGAGGCAAGCGAAGCAGAGCCCAAAGCTAGCTCTGATGTGCATGCACAACCTGCAATAAATACCACATTTCTTGTCACACTTCTGATGGATCAATCAGTACAGAGACCCGGCCGGCTTCAGGACAGGAGTGTGTATATGTATCTCTCTCGTTGCTTGCGTTGCGTCGTCGTCCCAACCGGAATCCCGTGACTTAGCTATAGCTATAGTAGATGAAATTAACTACACAGCTCCGAAATGCTAGCTACAACTATTAATTAGGAGTTCAGACTTCAGACACACGTTCATGCTGCACCATGCCATGCCAATGCCATGCCGTCCTCTGATCCTCTTCTGAATCTGACTCCAACGCCATAAATAAAAAGTCTCTGCAAGCTGTAGTGCAGGCTTGCAGCTGGTATAGCTAGCATGGCACAGCAATACAGCATCATGCGTAGCATAGCAAGGGGCAGCATGCAGGGGGGTATCTCTGATTCTGCTGCATCCACGATGCAGAAATTCAGAGGTGGATGAAGCGAGCAAGACGGGAGGATATGAATGCGTCGCATGCTGCATAATGTGCCATGCATGGCACGGCATGGGCCGTGGTACGCAAGGGAAGCAGGAGGAGAGTAGTAATGTAATGGGGTTATGGACTAATGGCTGAGCTAGCTATTGGCCAGGAGGTGAATGGATGCATATGCTGCTGCTGCCATCTAGCTGCCGAGTTGACCTCGTAACGAGAGTTAAAGAGAATGAGAGTATGGTAGTGGTACAGGTGCAATTGCTACAGCTTACTAACTGTAAACCAATTCACGTCTGGTCTGCTGCTGACTCTGCTCCGTCTCTGCTCCGTGGAAGCTAAATTAACTGTGAAAAAGCATCCAAAGACCACACCACACTGAGCTGATCATAGTTTAAGCAGAGAAAGTCAATATAGAAAATGACTCGAGTCAGCTTTGAGTTTACTCCTAGTACTAGTAATTGCAGTCATCAAGTCCTTATGGCAGACAATTCGGCTAGTGCACATCATAAAGAATAGCGGCTACTCCCTAAATCTAAAAAATATAGCCACTTATAATATTTAAAATTTATCTCAAAATATTGCAGGTTCAATTTTTTCTCATTTAATTTCATATACTTTCCTAAAATCCGGGTCTACTCTAAAAATCACTATATTTTGAAACGGATAGAGTAATAAAAAGGAGCTCTACACTGAAACATCTGCTGCTATATCCTATATGATTCTGTCACAGATATAACTACACATGACACAAATATATTTTATTCAGCGCTGATGCGGCTGCTACCCCAAAATTACAAAATTTATTACACAAAAGACATTGCGGAAAGCTTTGTACAGTTTCACTACATGCTCTCGATCATCTGGATAGGGTAAGACTTTTGCTACCAAGCGTCTAAGCTAAGTAATTAAGCGATACCTTTCTTCCAAAATATGGCGACTCCCAAAAAGAGATCTACCGGGACCTTTAGCTGACAGAAGTGCAAATTGACTGCTGGGAATAGAGACCATGTATGGGATGCACAAAGTGCTGCTTGCTTCTTCTACGTTTTGAAACTACTGTAAATCCTTCTGTATCCTTCTCACTCTTAGGTACCACGGTGGCCTTCTGCTGTTTGTCAAGCTCTTTGCGACCTGACGGACTCTTGTTTATGTTGTTGCTGCTCTGTGCATTACCAGATTCGTCTGGTCCACTTGGTTTTCTGTCCGATTCAGCTCCAGTGGAACCTAAGCTATCATGTACTGACTTGACGATGAAACTGAACAAAATCTGCCTTGCCAGCTCTGTTTTGCATGAGTTTCTCAAGGCATCTTTCGCTCTGTTTTCCTTTCCTTTGCATGGGCTGGTGCTCTCACCTTGAATTGCTTGTTCTGCTGCAGGCATACCAGCCTTTACTTCATCTGATGTCTGTGGTGCCAACAGTTGATCTGCTGAATCAGTTACAGAAACATCTGCACTAGGCTCTCTGTTAGCCACATCAGGTTGTTGCGAAGTTTTTCCAGGCACAAACTCGGCAGCATGAGGATTCATGGTTGGGGGGGAGTTGCTACCCCTCAGAATGGTGCTCTGGCTGTGTGCGTAACCCTGTTTTCTTTGGAAGGTATGCCCAGTACGGTAGTACAATGTGGACCGAGGACCACGGGGTACCCTAGTATCAATGGCGTGAGGGAGAATCTCCATTGGTTGACTTGGTATTGGCTGAAGAACGACGCTAGCATCATATATTGCCACTGTACTGTAAGGGTGCGACATCGATAAGAGTGATCCAGGATTGAATGGAGGCGCTGAAGCTGAAAGCTTGCTTCCACCTTTTTTCTTAGATTCAGTTGGGCTTTCATCACTGTTGCTGTCCGGAGCTTTTTCATCATTGCCGATTTCCTCTGGTTCACTTGAAAGAACCTCTTTGCTGCTGTCATGACTTGGCTTTTCCTTTTCTTCATCTTCATCTGTTAACTTCTTATCTTCCTCCTCAGATGACACTATTAGATCAGTATTTTGTGCATTATCCTTCTCCTTTGCTTCCTTCTGCTCCAAAATCGGTTTCAAGACTGTGCCAGGGGGTGACACTGCTACATCTTTGTATGATACCAACTTGGAAGCTATAGTAGCAGGTCTGTTAATTCCTGAAAGCTTTATGCCTCGTTCTGGTTTAGATATAGCATTGAAAACCTTATTTTCAATATTGCTGGAATTCCCATTCACCTTGTCAGTTTTTAGAAAGCTGCCAAAGGAGAGCTGGCTAGAAGAGTTTATAACATCTTCTTTATCTCCTTTCATGTGTTGTTGTACACCAGCCCTATAAGCAGAACCTGTGCGGCCATCTTCCAAGCGATCAACCATTAATTTAGTGAGAGCGGGCCTTCTGCGACTGCTTTTCTTCCGTACATTTGCAGATCGTCCACGCAAATTAGCTGCTTGCCACCCTTCATCAGAATATTCTTCAGGTGATAAAGGATCAACTTGCTTCAGCTCATCATGGATAGCATAATTTTCTTCTGATATTGCTGGAGGGTGTGCCTTCGATTTTACTTGTTGAAACTCCTCTTTGTTTGCTTCATGAGGAGATCCTATGTCGTGCTCAAAGCTCTCCTTTTCTTCAACTAATTCACCTTGATGGGCTCTGATATTATTCTGCATTTAATACTATACAAGGTGAAAAGGAAAGCAAAGGGTAGTAAGGGTAAAATAAAAGCTTGCATAATGTTTAGGCAACAATTGAAACCATGACATCAATGGACTTCCAAAATATGTATATTGTGATTCCCAATTCATGAAGCATATTAGAAAACAAAGGATTAAATATCCATATGTAAAGGGAGTTAAATTCCCAACTAAGAAGAAATTGTGTTGTCAATTCATTGCTAAGTTAATGGGTTGAACTGGAATCATCTGGATAAATGCCTGGTATCAATGGACTAGCTGTGGATGCGGGAATATCTTTTCAATTCTCATAGTTCATGCTCCAACAATGACTGGTGGGGATAACTGTCATGGTTATTATGTCAGTGATGATGGTTCATAACCTTTTACTAGTTTCATGAACTGGATAGGATTGCTGATTTGCTGCCAGCATATGTTCATCAGTTCATATACCAGACATCCTATATGGAAGTTATTGTGCCAATCCTATTCTCATCTAGACTTTTCATGAATACTGATGGAATTGTCTCCACTGTCCAGTGTGCACTTATCTCTTCTGACTACATTTTAACAACAATAATTTTGAAAAAGTAGGCATGTTATAATCACCTTTGCACGCCTGCCCTTTCTTTGTGTATCCCTCTCTTTTCTTTCCTGATCCGGGCTTATGTAGTCAAGTAGATCTGATACACTGGAAAGATAAATGTTTCAATCCAGATCATCACAGTTTGCGACTGATAATGCACAGTGTATTCATACCTAAGATGTCCTTTGCTTGCAATAGATGAGTCAGGTTTTGGGATGCCCCTTCGGGCGGCCTCTTGTTGTTCTAATGCTTTTGACTCAAAATACTCAAGCCATGCAGCAGCATCCTGCAGCAGGAAAATTATCATGTCTAATAGTCCAAGAGAACATAGCAGTATTTGGACTCGTCATTGCATATTTTGAAGGGAAAAAAAACCTGAGTTCGAAGGTCATCTTGTCCTAGTTTCTCCTGAAGTATCTGTAAGGTGGTCTGTTCATGCTGAACACTCAAGGAGTATGCATCCATCATTGAGAGGGCTATGGCTATGGCATGATAGCTCGCAGCAGTCTGTTGTTCAAAGAAATGCATGAAAATTCATGTTAACTGAATCACGGGATCATATGCATAACAAATACGCCATTGAAGTTGTCCGTAGTTACATGCATTATGTCAAACGGATTGAAATATACAGAAAAGACTGTTTCTGTGGGTCTAGACATCAAAATAAACCTTTCCTTAAAAGATACAAGTCATGGTGGCGCGGGTACTACTGAAACAAGATGCTAGTTTTGAAATTGGATATGCAATAAACAAGTTGGATAGGAAATTGAAAGAAACTTAAACAATTGCTCATGGCCTTTGAGGGACAGCAATGGAGAATATCTAGGGATATTAGAGCTAAATCAAAAAGTTTGCTTCAGACATAGATACTTATGGGACATTTCTACTGTATCAGAGGTGTATATGTCTAATATCCTTAATAAGACAAGTATGCCGCCAATGCCAGTACTTCTGCAGAAATATTGGTGCAAGAGATAGTACGCATGGAATTGATCTTACAAGACTGTACTTTAATGCACATCAATCAAGTCCAACAAAAAAAACAATTAGATTATTGTTTCCAGGAAAACAGATAAAGCTGTGAAAGCACGGTAAGAGAAAAATATGTAGTTTTGTTTACCTGAATGTGATCAGCTCCTAGCAGTCTCTTGTTGCACTTCAGTGCTTCATGCAAGTACCTGAGAGCGACATGAACATTTCCCATACCTTCTTCCATCATAGCCACATTTATGTATGTGGCAGCTGAATTTGGATGTGAAAGCCCACAAGAAAATTGGAGTAGATATAGTGCACGGTTGACATACCTTTAAGAAAAAGATACCATTAGCGATACAAAAAACAAAAGGCAAAAAAAGAAAGATGGAAGATGAGTTTTGACAATATTGTCAAGCAAATATGTGCCTTCAGCAAGTTTCCGTGCAAACCACAAGTAACAATCATGGACAATAATGCAAAACAATGCACAGTTCAAGTCTACAAATTAATACAGCCATAGTGCCGTACAAATGCAGTAGTATCCATTCTACAGGCAATATATTTAATGCATGTAATGGCTAGAAATGAACCAGCGTAACGACATTGTGCATGATAGTAATACCAGCTACAAGCCAAGTCATGAAACTAGCTTTTGTGTTTCCACAACAAAACACCTAATAGCAGCACTTACTTTAGAGCCATTTCGATGTGCTGGAGACGGTAGTAGAAGACAGATAAATCCCCGTAACTCTTCATAGTTTCTGGGTGGTCAAGACCTAGCTCTCTTTCATTGATATCAAGTGCCTTCTGCTGATATATAGTTGCCTACAGAGAAAGAACAGAAGTCTAGTGAAAAATGCAGTTGCCAAACATTGTGCCAAAAACACATCACTATGCAGCAGATAGAATACAGCCCACCAAATTCATTGAAATACCTGATTAAAATCTCCAGTATGGTAAAGAACTACAGCAAGAAGACTGTACGCATTAGCAGTCAGCCGATGGTATGGACCACAAACTGCTACAATTTTGGACAACGCCTTCAAGAAAAGAAAAAAAAATAGTTAATGAAAGAATTTAGAATGGTAACTTCACCCAACCAAAGCAGGAAGAGAAATATTTTAGCATAGCTGTTAAACAACGTACAGAAAAAAGAACTGATTATTGCATACCTTTGTTCCGAAGTTGACGGCATCATCAAGTTTTCCTTTATCCAAAGCCATCTTTGATGATTCTAATAAGTTTCGACCATCAATAGAAGAGTACACCACATGCTGTAAGAAGCGCAAGGCCAAAGCAGATCAAATCAATATAATTATTAATTCAGGTGGTGGGGAAAGTACAGTGGTAAGTTTTCTGATAGTGTCCTACCTTGCATACAGGAATAATGTTAACTATGTCAGATTTGTCAAATGGATTTGGGCTATTCATATCATAATCTCTCGCAACCAACTCAAGTCCAACCTGAGAAATAAACATATTAATTATGCATGTTCAGAAACTGTACTCTATGAATGTTTTGGAACACACTTTGGATTGTACCTTACTGCAAAGACCTCTCAGAATGATAAATTTCCGCAAGTGTGCAAATTCATCTTTCAATTTCCAATTGTACCTTTTAGAAAGGAACCTCTCTACCCATCTAAATCTCAAATTATGTTCACTATGTGCATCTGTTTCAGTGCCACTTTCAAGTCTTGGGCATCCAAGTAAAATGTTTAAAGTCTCAGCAATAGCTGCAGACATATTTTGCATGTCATCAACAGCTGCAATAACAGCTCGAACAATGTGCTTAAAGGACCTAATGACCATTTCATGGATGCAAATTGACTGGATATGTGGAAGCTTCTCCGCGAGCTCTACCTGTTTAATTTATATATAAAAAAAAGGTTATTCTGGAAATTCCATCCAACCATAGAAGCAAAAGTAATTCAGAATAAATTTAAACTCACCACACGGCCTAAGGAGCACATATTAAGACCCCTTGTGTGCATGAAATCGGTCATGGTTCTTCCATCCACAGGAGAAAGTTCAAGGGAAGCAAAATCAGCCACCTGTCATTATTTTATTCCAAGAAAAAATTAACTATCTATTATGGGCATCAAATAATAATTAAGAAAGTTTAAGACAACATAAAAAAAACATTGTTTTTTTTTTCTTCTTTACACGCAAAAATTTTCAAGAACTGTAATTCTTTTGGACTTTGTGGTGCGAATTGTTAATGTGGATTGACTACTTCCTCAAAATTACAAATGAACTAACTGAACATTAGTACCATAACTAAACTACTTACTACAACAATAAACAATAAACAATACCAATGCCAGCAAAAAGCGACTACTTTGTTTTCAGAGAAGAGAGTGCCGATTAAAATGTTCGAGAATTTACATAAGGATCTCCAAATAAACAAGGCAAGGCTTACCAGCTTTGGAAGCGCAGTATCATCATAGAATTTATGGGCCATCATAGTGAGCTCTTCAAGGGACTAGTTCAAGAAATAACAAAGTTAAGTATTAAACAGCAAAATAACCAATATATTCCTGATTACTGGAAAAATACAATGCTGCGCTTCTGCTACTACATCATATTCAGCTTAACACAAGGCTTCTGGTGAAAATTTTAACAGATTAGAACTTTAATCCCAAGCAAAATAGCATGTATGAGCTTACCGGACATAAAACTAAATTGTTCAGACCATATTGATTGATGAACTGTATAGCTATAAATTACCTTTTGATGAAGTCCAGCTCCCAGATCCTTAAGGCGACAGAAATCATCCTCTGACATCAGCTTGCTAATATCAGTCTCCTTGGTGTTTTCAGATTCTTCCATGCCATTTATGACAGAGCAGTTACTGTCAGAGTCTTCCTTCTCAGACATAGCACCTTCAACATGGCATTCTTTCTTTTTAATTTTCTTTAGCTGTTCAAAGTGCTTACCAAGACCTTTGATAGTTGTCTCTTTTTCAACATGTCCTGCATTTTTCTTGTCCTCAGATGCCGGCGAATCCTTTTTCTGCAAGTTTTGCAGCCAGGATGACCCAAGTTCCCATCTGATGGTTCTAGGATTATTGGCAGGCATGTTCTCCAGCTTCATCAAGCTATCTTCAAGTATTTTGCGCACTAGTTTCCTTGCATGATTATCAACATGAGACTGCGGAGTAGGACACTGAGTACTAGCGATGTCTGAGTTGACAATTTTTGGCAGTGATATTCTTAGACTGAAACACACATATACAGAGAGAGAGAGAGAGAGAGAGTTGTGTTAATGGAACATTATTGTGTGCCAAATGTAAGAAAAACTAGTTACCAGTGAACATTATTTTCTCTACTGATGAGCAAGCATGTGAATAAGTTTACATGGGAACATATATCAAACCTGTTAATGTTCAAGGCATTAGAACCTCCATCTGGCAAATCATCTACATCAACATTCGAAATTCCATCGAGATGATCACAGATATCACTGGTTTGTTTGCCACCATTTCCGTCCTTTGTGCGCCCTGAAACCTTCACTGTTGCTGTATATCCACAATGTTTAACAATAACCACTCCGAGTATTGAGGTGTCCTGAATGGTAATCATGTTGGTGGAAATCGGTAATTAATATTAAGGACAAAAAATAATTTGAAAAAAAAAGAGATATGAAAGTAGTATGCCACCACCTTAACAACGACACTTTCATCAGAAGTTAAACCTTTTAGAAGATTTCTTTGTGATATATCCATAGAACCGGTTTGATAGAGTGCAACTCCATCAACTTTATCCTCCAGCTTTAAACTAGCATCAGCCTGATCCCTCTTTACAGTTATAAGCAAGTCACCAACACGTTCCTCGATTGCTAAAGAACCATCTAGGCCAGCTTGTTGACTAGTTGAGTTCCCAGACAGATCAATGAGTCTCTGTATTGTTGATGCAGCTCTAAAAATTGCTGTATCTACAAAGAGATTGTGTAAAAGAAAAGCCTTCCGGTCTCTGATCACCCTCCCTTCCTCAGTTTTGCATGGCATTCTAGCCAAAGTAGAAAATTCTTTTGCCCATCGTCTTCTGTCATACTTTCCATCTCGCCCATTGCCACCCCCGTTTCCACCCCAATTCTCATCCTCAACTGGTAATGCTGGGCACTTTGTAGCAGAATCCAAGTATATAGGAGGAATAAGCCATGTGTTTGCACGAAATCCGTATGGTAGATTCCCAAACTGGAGATGCAAAGAAGTATCCTTGTCAAATTTAGCATTTTACTTGACTAAATCTACGGTATAAGGGGGAAAAAAAAAAAGGAAACAGCATTTACTATAACCACCTTGTTGTGATCCAGAAAAGCTTTCATCAGTGCATCATATGCCTGTGCAAAATGAATTAGAAGACATCACTGTCAGATAAGGTCGGCTGTATAGTTAGCCAAAAACAAACAGGAGCAGAAAGTAAATCGAGCAACGCGTTATACATTATACATGTTCAGGATTCATGGTTACTCACATTGGCAAATGCACTGCTGAGCTGTTGCAACAGATCCACCAAGGAGTGGCTCACGGTGTGCGGCTTCCCTGCCGAATAGAAGCCCTTGACGGAAGCAACGATGTGCAGGAGCTTCCCATTGCAAACTTTCACCTGGCCACACATCAACTCCCGTCAGTGAAGTGCGTAGTCATAGACTCATCGCGGAGTTGGCTACTGCAGATCAGACGAACTCTCTAGCGTTCTGAGAGACATCGCATCACACCTCGATTTCGAAGTAGTCGCCTTCCTGAGAAGCGCCATTGCTCTCCTTCCTCCTGATAACTGCACACCGCAACCACGCGTCAGTCCAACCCCTAGTTCCACGCCTCGCAAAAAGGGGGAAACGCGATGCAGCATTCGGCCTTACAGTGGACGGGCGGGGTGAGGTGGGCGAAGGAGAGGAAGTCGTAGAACTCGCCCAGCCTGGGCGGCGGACGGATGGCCGCCATGTCGTGCGCCTCCGATATCGGCGGCGCCTGGGCGGCGCCGGCGCCATGGGCGTCGGGGGAGGCGGCGAGCGCGGGCGGTGACGGCGGCGTCGCCGGGCGCGCGTGCTTGGACGACTTGTGCTTGGCGCCGTCGCGGGGCTTGTTCACGAACGCGGTGGTGCAGGCGACGATGTCCAGCAGCCGCCGGACTTGCGCCGCCGCCGCCGCCTCCGTCGCGTACTCCTCTGCACAAAAAGGCCCATGGGCTCGATTAGCTCTACCAAAATTCAGGCCCAATAGGCCAAGTGCTGGGCTTCCCTTTATAAATGAACAGGCCCATCAATTCTGGAACAAATAAGCGAAGCAATTTCTTTTGTTTTTTTAGCAGCTGCTGCATCATATTGAACAAAAGTCGTCGAATCAAATCAAAATAGAATAAATCGAATTCAAATGTAAAAATAAAAAAAAAATGGCTTAAGACTGATGTTCATCCACAGGAACGTGGCTGAAGTTTTGATACTCGTGTCATAGTAGTAAGTACTATCACCGCTATGTCGCTATTCTATCACGTTCCCAGCGGTGTCAGCGAGTTAGAAACACATGGCCAACAACGTGATTTTGACTCATGGCATCGGTACGACCGGTAGCAGGTCTAGCACGTACTGTACTGACCAGTATGAGTCAGTGACCACCTAAACACCAATACTACAAACAAATGTACAATCACAATTCACAAACCCGTCGATTCGTCAGAAGAGTGGCGAGTAAAATAAGTTAGGCACTTGAGCTAACGCCCAACGCTGATTCCAAGAGGCGTCCTTTTGTCCCGTACCGGCGTTTAGGACAGGACAACAACCGGTGAGCCATTAGCTCAGACCTTGGAGCATACAACAACTACAAAATCGCATAATTCTGCAGTAATTAATTGTACACTAGTATAGCTTTCAGTTCTAAATACCATATGAGACAGACAGCAGGTGGAGCACTATGTTCAGTTAATTAACGAGCATGTATTTCCCAAAGCAGAACAAGAGGCTCTGACCCACTAGAGAAGTGCACAAGACGGACTTCGCCTAGGCAACTAATCAAGCGCTATCAACGAGTGAAAATGCCCTTCCAGTTTGTCCAAATGCCACTTTGCACTTGAATTTCAGGTTTTTTTTTTTAAAATGATGGACTACGGTAGCAGTAAAAGCAAGTGCATTTGACTACGAGCGCGTGTCAGACCAATCGGTCAGTCATCCCCTTCCTCGTACAGTCTTACGCACTAATCAATCGTTAAGTTCTATGCTCGTTTTCGTCGTCGACACAGACACATGGTCGCATGCCACGACCATCGCTGCCACACGTTTCGTTGAAAAAAAACCATACGAAACATCACCGGCATCCGTCAGCGAGTGTTTGGATCCAGGGACTTAACTTTAGTCCATATCTGATCTTTAGACACTAATTTAGAGTATTAAATATAGACTACTTACAAAACTAATTACATAAATGAAAGCTAATTCGCGAGACAAATTTTTTAAGCCTAATTAATCCATAATTAGAGAATATTTACTGTAGCATCACATAGGCTAATCATGGATTAATTAGGCTCAAATAGATTCGTCTCGCGAATTAGTCCAAGATTATGGATAGATTTTATTAATAGTTACATTTAATATTTATAATTAGTACACATCCGATGTGATAGGAACTTAAAAGTGTTTTTAAAAGTGTTTTAGTCCCATCTAAACAGGGCCTCAGCTTATTAGCCGGCGTGCGCGCGGGGGCGTCCAGGTTCGGTTCAACCGCCGCCTCCTTCCTCCCGGAAACTGGCAAAGCCGCCGTGAAACGTTCGCGCGGCGACGGCAAATGCGACATCGGCAGCGAAAGAGACGGGACATGTGTGTGTGTGTGGAAAAAACACCTTAGCCGCCCCGCCCCAACCAACCGCGGAGAGGCAGATCGCGCGACGACGTCACGGCCACGATCTATATCTCCCATCGGCTACAGATGCGGCACTGAAACCGGCTACCATTTGCTGCTAGTATCTGAGGATAACGGTAGAGACCCGAGATGTAAATCACATTTTTTTTGGTCTAAACAATTTTATGCTAAGTGTCTGAAACAGGATGCGCTGCTTCTAATGTCTGAAACTGGAGGCACTATGCAAAGCTGCTGCTGCTGCCTGCCTGCACGTCTCGCTGTCTAAGTGGCAAGAATTATGAAGTATAATGAACTAGATTGTACTCTGTGCTCCTATCTAACTCACTGGTGTGCCAGTATTGGGGCGTGATGGAGGCGCATGACTGCATTTACAAGGAGTCGTGGGAGGTTGCACCTTAGCATGCGAATCTAGTGATCTAGTCATATGTGTGTGTTTTTTTCTTCTGAAGTTTATTCAGCCGAAAGGCCGGCGCGGTCCATGCTCTTCGATTCAATGCTGTGCGTCGACAAACAAGGCTGCATCTATGTGCATTGTGCCGTCCCAATTTGAATAGATTATGATTTTTGAAGTTAGGTTTGATATGATCTACCGGTGAGTCAACATTAACAAAAACCACTAGCTTCACCATCGGACAACGGCAAACGCATGTTCAGACTTTAGAGCTTATGAGAAACACTTAGGGGTCTTCCAGCTAGCTCCACAAGATGGTGGACTAGACGACCTAGATTTGAAGCCTCACCCCTTCTAATTATTTGATATTAGGTTCTTCCCTAATATTAGCAATATTAGCGTCAGACTTTAGAGCTTTCAGTGGAAAAATCCGGACCGTTGGTTGATTAATCATTGATGGCAGACTGTTTGGACACTTGGACTGTAGCATAACACTGTCATGCTAACAGATTGTGCCACACGGTACACCACAAGCTCAAGCTTAATTTTGTCCTCTCGTCAGGTTGCTTCGTCTACTTAAGCATCCAACTAATTATGTGTCCTAATGCCAGCTACCCCACCTCGATCATGTTATGTGAAGCATTCCATGTTGCCAAGCGAAAAAAAAAGAAAGGAGAAAGAAACAAAACGAGCAAGGAAGAACAAGTGAAGAGCAGCTAGCGTGCGGATTCTTTCACCATGGACCGTACCTTCCACGATGGTGAGAGAGCATGGTTTCAGCGACACGATTTCCACGCCGTCCTCCAGCCGCTGCCCTCGCGTCTGCGTCATACATCACACGCTTCACAAATTCAGACTTCACCGAACACAGCTTATACAGAATTAGTTACAGAATTAACAGCATTGCAGCACACATACATTAAAAGTTACTGTCCTCAAATTAATCCCGGGTGAATTCCAGAAGAGTAGCAAAGAAGTGGCAGATAATTAAGTAGTAATTAACACTTTGACTTAAGAGTGGAATGATAGATGCTAGTACTAGCACTGCAATTGAATTATCAGTAGATACTGCAAGCACTGCAATTGATTGAATTAGCAGACAAGAAGCAAGCATTACCACGTGCGAGAGCGAGTAGTTTGTCAGGTGGCACGTCTCCACATTCGAGCCCAGCAGCTTCCTCACGTCCAGAACACGGTCCGTAGATATCCCCTGAACACACACAGAACAAAAACAAGATTAATCTTTTCACTCAGGTTCACTGTTCCATTTCAAAGGCTCAATTTCCCGGACTCATTGTGAGCATGCAGTGTGGAGTAAGTAATAACTGGCTTTGCAGCTCATTGCAAATAGCTGCAGACATTTCAGTTATCAGAATTAGGCCCCCTTTTCCCAAAGATACCAGTTTCTGTTCACTTTTGCTTGTCCTGTCCATTGTCCTTTCAGGTATTTTGTGTGTTCATGTGTGCAGCAAGTACCAGCCAGCTAATGCAGCCACACATACCTTGAGTGTAACCTGGGATTCATAGGGAGTGACAACCGTGACGTCTATGGCACTCGGCACAACTGCAAAAACAAGAAGAACCCAGCATCATACCAACAGCTGCAGAAAAAAACCTTAAAAACGGAGACGGCGACATCATGTCGAGGTGAAAGTGAAAACAGAGTATTCATCTAGAGCTCGCAGAACGCATGACTCAACCGCACGACGGTGTGCGTTACACCAAGGAAAGAATCGGGCCATGTTGCTTGGAAGCGAACGAAAAGGATTAATGGAACAAGAGAAGGTGCAAAAAAAAAAAAGACAAAAGACTAGTAGTAATAATCATGAGCACAGAACACGAAGCTAAACACCAAGAAAAAAGCGCTTAAACAGCAATATAATCACCGAAATCAGGAGTACGAATAGGCAAGAAAAAAGGAAGAGAAACAAAAGCAAAAGAAGGAATAAAGAAAAGATTACCGCTACTAATAGCAGAGAGACCATCGTCTTTTTTTCACCCTTTACCCATGCAAAAGAACCCAAGCCAGAACAGCAAACACACACAGATTACAGCAGCAGCAGCAGCAGCAGCGAATTCAATGTTCGCAAGAACAAAGCTCCTCACACGGCAACAGCAACACAGCTTCATGCCATGAAGTGAACTCTATGCCTTTGCAGAGCACAAGCGGTTTCGAGCTTCCAGCAACATGTACTACACAATACCTTTCTCTTCCTTCTTCCTCTTGTCGCCTTTGCCGCCGCCGCCGCCGCCCCTGCCCTTGCCACGGCCGGCGCCCTTGGGGGCCATTGCGCCTGAAGCTCCAAACCCAACAGCCACAAATGGAGCGTCGGCCCGGAGCCCTGAGGGGTTTAAGCAGCAGCAGCAGCAGTAGGAGAAGGAGGAGGAGGAGACGGACGCCTCGACGACGGCTTCGCTCGTTGGAAAGTGAAGCGCGAGGTTGGGGTTGGGGAGGAGAGGGAGAGGATATAGGATGTGCGGCGTGCGAGGGCGCTCATCTGAAACCCACGGATTTTCGTGCGATCCCGGCCTCTCGTTCTCCTGCCTCACCACCGATAGCGTCCGCCGCACGGGGCCCCACGTTTCGTGTCGCGGACAGGTGGGGTCCAAACCAACACGCTACGTATCACGCTTTCCGGTGTCCTGCACGGCTCAATCAACGGCTCAGCTTACTCCACCCCAAGTACAGAAAGAAAACTCTGGCTTGGTAATGACTAATGACAACAAAAGAAAAGCTGTGTGATACAGGCTGCTGCACAGGTTGCATTGCAGTAGCGGCTACCATTCGACGGTCACGAGAGAGCGGAGCACGGCGACAAGCGCGGCTGTGGGGTACGTGACGCGAGGGCTCACCTCTCTCTCTCTCTCTCTCTGTCTGTCTCCTGCAGCGGCAGGAGAGGAGGGAAGGCCAGATGGCTCACGGCTAAGCCAGGGCCGGAGCTGTTCGATTCACCGGCCGATCCGAGGCGCCTAGCTCTGACGCTTCTGGCCACTATTCTCTCCTTCTGTTTGTCAGTGCGTCTAGCAACAAAATGTAACAATATAAAACCAGAGTTTAACGCAGTATAGCACTACGAATCTACATTAAAAAATATTGATAATATAGTGCTATATTTTAGGACGGTTATATGGTTTGTGTAGAGTTCTTTTGTGATTCGGAGCACGTTCTCTTGGTCATAGTAGGTTTCTTAGCTAACGTGATAATTCAGTTTGGTGATAGGATATCCATGGTGAGGTTAATTATTAGCCTGGAGAAATCATTCAGACCCGATTGGGACATGGACGGAGGTGAACATGAGAAGAAGTCAGAGATCCTACCCCCGTTGGTACCTCAGTGGAATTTCAGTAGGGCGTAAAATTGCTTGCCATGTTCAGAGAATGTGGTGCGTTGTCGATGGTTAACTGACTGACGTCCATCGTGAAATTGTCCTCTCTAGCTCTTGAGACCTTCGGGCGATTTCTCCTTGGAAATCAATTACCGAAGGACTTGCCTGATGGTAAGTTGGGCCGAGTTTGGATCCAAAATTTTTCTTTAAATTTTTAACTTTTCCATCACATCAAAACTTTTTTACACACACAAACTCCTAACTTTTCCATCACATCGTTTCAATTTGAACCAAACTTTTAATTTTAGCGTGAACATACCTGGATGGATTGAAAACGTGGACTGCATGAGCCTGAGATCGAGACGCAGTACAGTTTTGGTTTCCTACACGCATATACGCAGTCTGGAATATTTCTGGACACCTCAAGCTAGCTAGTATCACATTGTCAGTACTGCGATTTGTGTACTACCAGCAAGGTGTCACTCCGGTTGGAGTAGATGACAACAAAGCCAGGAAGAGTCCAGTAGATTGATGGGTTAAAGTTAAACACATATAGACACAAGCTAAAAGTTGTTTTTGTGCCGGAAACTGCTTCACTAATACGTGTGGCAGCTTGTAGACTTCGAAACAAAAATACACCTGCTACTGCTATCTATCTCTAAAGGGTGCAAGCAATTGACAGACGATGAACAGTCTGTATAGCATGTATGTACGCATGCCGATATGTCATATTAGTACGGGGCAGGCAGATGTGCTGGTTCAATCGGCGTGACACTAGAGTACCACATTATACTGTTTAACAAGCTGTGATTCATAAGAAAAATACAAAGCCCGTCGATTCAGATGTTATTAAAAGCAAGAAACATAACGATGTCGCTTGCATCATGACAAAATCAGATTTGACGCATAAAAATAATAAGTTAGTACATTTAGGCATAGCTAGCAAATAGCTAGCCTGAGGTAAAATATAAGAAAAGGACCACCTTAATTTGGGTATCTAAATCTGATGGTATTAATTCTGTAATTCGATTCCCTTAAGAAGCACGTCTTTTCCATTATGTGCCATTGTTAAAGCTGGCTGGGATCATGAATGCTGTCAAAGCTTTACCAGATTGCGACGTCGTGCGCATTACTGATCAATTAACAAAGCCAGGTGAAGAGAATCATCTGCGTGATTAACAAAACAAAAAAGAAAGAAGCATATGTTTTGTGCCTGATTTTTTTAGCCGGGAGGAGCGTGCCTCTACCCGTGGGGCTCGGAGCTTGGTTTTATTGGGCGCTGGATGAAGCACACGATGATGCTCTGTTGGTATCGTCCAAACCTGAAGCGAATCTGCCCAAGGTAGGAAACCCCGGGATGCTCGTGCGGCTCGTGTCCTGACCTAGAAATCTTTACTCCTGCATATTTTATATCAGCCGTAGCTTTCAGAGTTTCAGAAATGTTACAGAATACTCCATGCTTGGTACTACAACGATGTCTTCGTTGGAGATTTTCATGTTTCGTGCATGATTCTCGTTGGAGGCACGGATCTATGCTGCAGATTTTTTTCATGCCGAATCGGCATGACGGGAGTAACACGATGAGGCGGCGTACACAATGGGTTCGTCTTATGTCGTTAGTTCTTACGTCTGACGACAGCATTCACAGATTTCCTGTATGCTATTTCTTCAGAAATTTTACGATCCTAAAAGAAAGTACATGTAGAGCGGTCTTACTTATATCTGTAAACTTAGAGAATGCATGTTTAGATCCACGATCTCGTTTTAATGTACCATCTCAGGTTCAATCCGCGCTTGACCAGGTCTGACTGCAGTACATTTGCATTCTCCCCCCTCCTAAATCCCTCTGTCGCAAACCTAAATCCCCAAAAATCCCCAAACCTAAATGCCCTCTGTCCACTTCCCAGGGAGAGAGGGCGACCTCGACGACTCCGGGAGAGGCGGCGCGGAGCTGGGCTCCACGAGGGGCGTCGACGCGGCGGGGGCGGCGGGGCTCCGGGATAGGCGGCGCGCCGCGCGCCTCCGCGAGGGGCGTCGGCGCGGCGGGGGCGGCAGGGCTCTGGTTCGTGGCGGCGTGGCGCTGGGCTCCGCGAGGCGCGTCGACGGGGCTGTGTTTGTCATGTACTGAATTTGAACCATGGACTGTGTTTGTTTCTGTCAAAAAATGTGCTTGCCAGGCTTGAAATGTCATCTAATAACATCACTGTTTGATACTATTCTTATTCCTGGCCTAAGAGAGATGATTTCTGGAACCTGACACAGACCCTGTAAGACAGCAAAGCAATATGAATCGTCTTGTTTTTTGGTTTCTTATTGAAATTCCGAGTTGGTTTTGTTCTACAGAATGTTCTACAGAAGTGTGAGCAACTACTAAATCAACAATGTAGTCTGTCATGTTGTTTTAATCAAAGGCACTTGAGCTATCTTCGATCAACATTCTTTGCTGCATTTTAAATCAAGCCTCCGAGGCTGCTAGTTTGCTACTGCGCTATCTGTAATTCCACACAATGGTACTGCATATTTCACATTTGAAGACTACTTTGTTATGGATCGTTTCGTCACATGGTGGTGTTTAGGGATGATATTAATGCCTACATTTTGCGGAGGGGGGAGAATGCAAATATACTGCCTGCGTGGCACGCCACGTTGGCGGTCAGACGCTGTCACGCGCGGATTGGACCTAGGATGGTACATTAAAACGAGATCATGGACCTAAACGTGTATTTTTTAAGTTTACGGATCTGAGTGAGATCGCTCCACAAGTTTAAGGACCGGCCATGTATTTTAATCTATAAAAAATTTAGAGGTAACTAGTATATGAAGATAACAAGTTTTACACTAAAAAATATGACACCTTCAATTGTCTTCAACAGCTCACTCCAACAGCTCAAATTATATATTTTTCACATGTACATAAATGTGCTTTGAGCATACATTGCAAGTAAACACATAAATGTTGTTTGACAATTACATTATAAGCTAGCTGATCAACACCATAACTCTTCTTCCATGTATATGTGCAGCGGATGATCAAATTGCACCGCAAAAAAGAGATGACTGAACTCATCAGGTTTTCAGGAGGAAACCCTCATCACATCCGGCCCGCAGAAACCAGATGCCCACACGCATCTATGACTCTCCGCGCATACAAAACTCATCTGAATCTTAAGCTGTCCTCTTCTCGCGAATCACGGAAGATTGGTTGCGGCGACCACTTCAGATGCAAGTTCAGTTTCCCGGACTTTGCTCCCTCCAGTTTGAAGCTGTCCTTGTAATCTTCTTCGATCAAGACCTTCGTTAATGTTAGGATGCACCGTCCCATGTAATCCTACAGAAACATATTCAGTGCCTTGGTGTCAGTCGTTATCACAAACGTCTGCAGTTGAACAAGCCACTCGTCCAGTAATGAGATAAAAACTTCAATTGAACTTACTCTACTAAAAGTATCATGATCATATACTTCCAACATAAGCATATCATGTAAACCATCTTCGACAACAAAATCAAAAGTTTGGTTCCAAACTGGATTCAAGCTTTCGCTCACAACCTGCGGTCAGACACATGATAGGAGCAATTATGTTAAATATAGCGTAATACTAATAACTGTTAGGAGTATGTAATGGTTATTTGTGACCAGTAGTTTGTCCATATATGATGAATAAATTACCCTTGTCTTGTACTTGGTTTTTGATTTCTTGAGTGAAAGTACAACATATGGGTCAGACTTTCCATTCATATCCATTGCTGGCAGATCTTCCCCAGATATCACAGTTACTGACAAAACTCCCCGCATAATGATTTCTTTTTTCTTCCTGGAAGACAACCTGTTAAAACCATTGCTCCCTGACCCATTTTCCATGCTCGTCATTGTCCTCTCCAAGGATGTCATAGAAAACTGCTGTCTAAAAGGATTTGGAGTCTCCTCCTTCATGTCAAATGGGCAGTAGAGTAGCTCAAGATGCACCTGTTGAGGTGATATTCAAACAAGAGAAATACTATGTATTTACAACCCTGGATGAATAACAATATAAGAAGATCGAGCTATTTTACTGTGTTAGAGAAACAGAAAATGGAGAGTGGCACTGCCAAGAAAACAGGGCTCACCTGACCCCGATCTTTCCGGTCCCTTTGAATCTCCAAGTCTTTTACAAGCTTCAACCAGACATCCTTCACTTTGCCTGGCTGTAGATCCTTCAGAGTAACTTGAGCACAGCCAATCAATTCAGATTCCTGAATACCATCATCATCATAAATCTTCACTGTCACAGTCTGAGTATCTGCATCTTCAACAATAAACTCAAAGTGTTCATTCCAGATAGGGTTCAAGTCGTTGTTCTGTAAATTTGAAGCACATAAACAGCTGTCAGTATGCATTAAAAAATATACATATCTATTGGAGCACATAAACAGGGAATAGAGTAGCTGATACTTACAATTGTTTTACTTCTCTTCATTTTATCTGGCAAGGGTCGTACATACACAATTGCAAAAGGGTCAGATTTTCCTATCAGATCTTTGTTCGTCAAATCCCTCGCTTGTACTAGCTTGACTTCCAATGTACCAACAGGCTTTAGTTCCAAATCACTGTTGCACACAATAATTTATGGGATTTATCCATTTTTGTATTCATATGTTGATATAGTAAGTAATGACAATGATATTATTCAGTCAAGAGAATAAAACTAGTATGTCCCCAGAAATCACCAGTAATTACCTGTAGTCCCCAGGTATTATAGGAATGACTTTCCTTACAGGCCATGTTATTGAGTCTTCTATAGCATTTTTTATTGTGTCCTGTAACACGAGATGTTCCAGTCACCATCTTGACTGTAGGAAATGCAAACTAAACTTTTATAGCAACAAAACAGAGAAGTATGGTCAAACCTCAAGAGCATCCGAAATCCCAGGTATAGCAGAAATTTCACCACCAATGACCTTCAGTCTGAAATCCAGCTTTTTCTGAAGTGATTTGAGAAAAAAATATCAGATTAATGAGAAAATACCTTCAACCAGATTTTTTTTTAATAAAAAACACGACCAAGAAAAGGAACCTTCTTTCGTAGAGAAAAGCAAACTGCTCCAAAGCAGGGCAACTGATCAACAAGTGGCTTGAAGATCAAGCGGAAAACTCCTGTAAAGCCAATATCTTTCACCTATATGGCAAAAGGCACTCACAAGATTATTATAGAAAGAATAATTAATTTAAGTGTATGAAATACATAGCACAATTATAATAAAAAGATAATATCTACAGTATCACTATCCAATCAGACCATCACACTACTCATGATGTCACATAAAAACTGCATGAAGAATTACATACCCCCACAAAATTGGATTATTAACTAAGATCAACTGCACCAAAGTTAGTTGCAACTTGAATTCATGTTCTTTTTTGCCAGAACTGTCCACTTAATCATTAGTTATCAAGAACACCAATTCAGTGTTCCAATAGACAAAGCCTACTGTCAAACCTTGTGAACTAGGTCTAGTTCACTATGTAAATGCCTCAGTGCCTCCTCGTCAGTATTCATAACACAGGACAACAAGCAACATGAAATAAATCACCTGTATTGGAAGTGACACGCCAAGTCTAGTTTTTACGTCTAGTATGATACTTGGATTGGCATCCCAATTCATCTCTAGTTCCATGACAATGCCTGATTCGTCATTCTCAATGATCGAAACACCTGCACCAAAACCAACAGAAAAATCTAATATGGTAGCAAAATATAAAATGTATACCAAATATTTGGTGTCATTAGGTAGAAAAGAAAAAGAATTAAAACCATTCTAAAAAAAACAAACAACATAATGAAGCGAGCGCATTAAACTCCTCATAAAATAAGTACATTAGCATAAATTAGTATTGTTTAAAGAATACATACACGGCATCATTTTCCAAAGGATGCAATTCTTAATAATGAATTACACACTATTATTCATCTAAACACAGGGCTCACGCTTGCAACCACAAAAATCAAAACCCTTTTAAGTTTTCATGATTCTGAACATTTCATCAAACACCATGTACAATCTAATATCCACAAGCTGCTGACACCAGACAGCGGTGGTTATTGTCAGCTATTCAGTCATTGTACTCTTGGTTAATGCATGCAAAATTAAGTTGATTTACTTTGTCTAACAAAAATACAGTAGAGAAAGCAGAACAATATAGCTCAGTGCTGTCAAGAATATAATGAGAAACAGTCAATGATATATAATAGCTTCTTACCAGTAAACTGTGGTGCAACAGTACCAAGAGTGAGTTTTGAGAACTTGAGAGAAGCTAAGATTATTGGTCGATATTGTTCAAGAACAGGCTCCACGGAGGTTTTGATCAGTTCTGATGCTGCCTGCGACAACAATTGACAAGAGAAGAAGACATTGAAGAAAAGCATATTTGTAAAAGAAGTCAAATCCTAATTCTAGTCTCCCATGGAAAGGAATGCATACCGCGTTCACAAATGGCCATATTTTTATCAGCTCTTGATTGAGCCATTTTAACTGCAAAATTGCCCCCATTAGCATATACTCTCATTCACATCTAGTGTGTAAGCATGAAAATTGAGAGCTAACTAAATACTGTCAAATACCTTTTGCTGTGTTGAGAAAACAACCCAGGAAGGGTACAGGTCAGCTGGGAGTAACTTCCGTGAATCTTCAATAGTCATCTTGGAGAAACTAGCAATTGTGGCAGCCTGTCCAAACAAACAAGGAGAATCCCCTTTTAGTTTCATTTATTAATCAGGAGGAAAAAGATCAGAGATCAAAGCTATCTAAATTTACAGAGTAGCATGCAAGCAATCATATATGGACAACTGGCCTAAACAAAATGCCATAAGCGCAGTGAGTCAGTAGCAGGGAGCAGCCATGAATTTTAGCATGCCAGCAGCCATGGCACAAGAATAGGCATCAAATAGAATAGTGGCAACACGGATCAAATGAACACCGGCCTTCTAGCCCAACATTGCACTATGCATGCTAGGTTGTTTATTAGAAGCGCTTGCACTTGCCCCCACAATTTGAGGCCTCCGCTGCAACTTGAGCCCCCTAACATGAGTGCTTTCCAACTCCAACAAACTTTGTTTGTAGCAAACCGCATCATCATGTTCGTAAATTGAAAGCTCAATAAGCCCAAAACATGTTTCCATTTTGACTAGTCATACGCTCCAATGGAAAAGCAGTCGACATGGGGAGTGCAGCGCCTCTACCTAACGCAGGGACCATCCAGCTCAACGCAATCAATCGGTAGAAGGTAAGCGATTCGCCTTCCACTCGATTCACAAACAACGCAATTAATCTCCTATCAACTTCGAAGCTACCGCTCCAATCTAAACATCACACAAATCAAATTTATTACGGAGAAAGAGAGGGGCTAGGCAATTAGTAGTATAACTTACCAGCTGCCGGCGGCGGGCGGCGCGGGAGTTCTCGGCGCGGGCGAAGCCCACTATGAGAGCCACGCCCGCCGCGATCCCCAGCACCAACCCCACCAGGAACCCCATTCCCCTTCCCCTCCTCCTCCTCCTCCTCCTCGGCGACTCGGCGTTCCAACCCAAAAAAACCCAACCACTACAACACAATCAACCGCATCTGGCCGCGGTGGCCGCAAAGCTTCCAGCGAACGCGCAAAGCACCAGATGCTAAAAGCCGCAGCGCCAGGCGCCAGCTACCCGCGCGCGGGCCTCCGCACTGCCCCTGCCCGGCCGGCACGCACTCCACGGCGCGAGGGCTTCGAGCGGATTGGATTCCCGTGCGTACAAGTGGAGCTCTTCGCTCTGCCGCCGCCGCCGCCGCTGCTGCTGATGTGGGAGAGAAAGAGGAGAGGAGGGGGCGGAGTTTGAAAAGAGAGAGAAAAAAAACGGAACGGGGGAGGAAGAGATCTCGACAAAAGCGACCAGTTGTCTTTGTTTTCTCTTGGACTTTCGTCAGGTGGCCGACGTGATGGGGGAGGCGCCGTTGGGAAACGGGAGGGGGATGGGTCGCGGTGGCTGACAGGTGGGGGCAAGGTTAGGTGGGGTCCACGAGGAAGCGGGTGGGGCAAGGAGAGGTGGGGGAGTTGGGAATAATGTGGGGGGGGGGGGGGGGACGAATCGGTTCCCATTCGAGCCGTGCGTTTTATGCTCCGGGCACACGTTGGCTGCACCTATACCACACGATTCGGCCGGTGAGTGGAATTTTTTGTTTTGTTTTTGTGAACTTATTTTAATACGTATTCGTTATATCTAATTGCAAATTGCTGGTTTTTCTCATAAAAGCTGCCGTAATCACTTTACAAACACGCCGGTGAAATACGAGTAATTAATTTCGCGTAATCAACTGGACATGGTCATACAGTAGGCTTGTACTCCCTCTATACTCAAAAAAAAAAAAAGTCGTTTAGAATAATATTTAAGTCAAACCTTGAGAATATAAATCATAAATAACTCTCAAGTTATTGAGTTTGAAAATGTAAAAATTATATGAATATATTTGTCTTGAAAAATACTTTCATAAAAGTATACATATATCACTTTTCAATAAATATTTTTATAGAAATAAGAAGTTAAAATTATATTTTGGAGACCGTGTCACTGTCCTAGACGAATTCACATGTTAGGAGGGAGTACTTGTAGGCTCCCACCGACGCCGCGGCTGCTTGTGGGCCGATGTGAATAGCCGGCCCGAAAGCCCAACAAAAAAGCCCGGTATAAATTTCAGCTGGCCCATTCGGTCATGGGCCCGACGCCGCCGCCTCTTCCCGACGCCCCTAGCCTTTTCGGACTCGTCGACCCCACCCAGCGATAGCCCAACGCCAAAACGAAAGTTTGTGATGCAGTTACGAGAAGTTATGGAATGATGATTATTCTTATATATCATGCATCTTTATAGTTTCGATTAAACTCATTTCGACTAACAAAATTTGTACGTTCCAAACAAGATTTACATTTACAAAAAAAGATTTCCTACTTGCACTGTCCATTGTAGCTTGAACATTCTGAATATGGTACCACTCGGTACAATCGTAACAAAAAAAGAAAAGAAAAGAAAATGCAGTACAATTAGCTGCTAGATTCCCAGGCTGGAGAATCTACTACATTTTTTTGTGGTCTTCATCATATAAGATTATACTGTGCAGCTCCCAGCATCAAGATGGAATTTACAGCAGCAGTGCATCCTTGAGCAAACTCATCAGTTACTAGCGAGCGTCAGAAGACGAGGTTGGTGAATGCTGACTTGCCAAACCGCACCTTCTTCCATCTAGTCTTGAAGAGGAAAGGATGAAGACCCAATATATGCTCAGGCATGAAGTCGTGCCTTGTCAGTATGCCTACAACAGGCGCTCTCTGCATTGATAGGAATTAACCAGTCAAAGATTTATCACTGTTAATTATTAGAAAGTTTTATAATTTCAAATACTGTCATGAGCAATGAAAGCGATAATGCTGCTAGTAACCAAGAAGAATATGTATGGCTATTTAGAGATTTTTGCCACTAATCATCTTGGTTTGTCTTAGCAACGGTCATGGTTGGAACTTGGAAGCAACATTTGCCAATATAAAAGTGAAACAGGGGTGCCAATGCTATCAGCCTATCACCCTTTGGTTCTAAAAAGGCATTTCTAAAAGGTAATAGACACTGACGATTGCAAAATAGCTAGACCTATCTAGACAAAGCAAAGGAAATAAAAAGTAGAATGAAGAAGAATCCGACAAAAAAATATATTTGTGAATAGTATCACTAACCTTAGACGATTTTGGTAGAACCAAAAGATGCCTCAATCCAACTTCGCGGAAAAGCACATGGGCCTTAGCCAAAGACATAGTCTCGACCACAGTGTAAGGAGACGTGTTTGTGAACGGATGCAAATCTACGAACATTTCCAGTTCTTCTGCACTGAATTCTATTTCCTCTATTCTGTCATGCTTTCCTGAGCCAGGTTTAGCAAAATCATGAGGCAAGAATTGCTTGGAAGCATCCAGTGCTGAAGCTGAGCAGTTAGGAATGAAATCTTTCTTTCTCAGCAGAACAAGCAAGTGGGCTCTAAGAACTAGACCAAATAAGACAGGAGAATCTGAAAATGGTGGCTCATCAACAACAGGAAAACCATTATGTCCAGTTGTCCTTAAGACATGCACTATATGGCCAACCTTCTCTATGCCATTGAATGCCTGTAGAGGACCAGTTACAACATCACTGACAGACAATTGCCTCATGTAAGGTTCAACATGGCCTTCGAGATAAGGAAATCCTTTCAATTTAACAAGCAAATCATAAATATTTGCATTAAAAGCATCTGCCACTGTCTTCGATATGAGAAGGACCAGCATAACCAAAGGAAGCATAAGTAAATTATTAGTCAGCTCTAGGATGACGACACAAACTGAGACAGTCATTCTCATTGATCCTCCTAGAAGGGCAGCAGAGCCAAGAACTGCAAAAAGGCCATGATCTAATGTTGATTGGGACCCAATTAACATGCCAACAAGGCGGCCATAAGTTGCACCTGTCAAAATAACTGGCACAAAAAGGCCGGATGGTAAAGCAAGGCCATAGCTGAAAATGCCCAGGAAATACGATGTGAAGAAGAAGACAAGTATTGAAGAGATATGGAATTCATCATCAGTGCCAGCACTGTAAAGGTTTCTAATGGTGTCATCGTTGGTGTTGAAGAACAGGCTAGCTAAGTCATTGTACTCATTCATTGCACACTGATACTTCTTAAAATTACCAGATCTTCCTATGGATGGACAGGCTTCTTCGGTGTCACTTGGACAAGGTTTGCAAGAAGCAATCCATGGCAAGCCGAAGAGACAACAGGATGTACAAATGGTGACTACTGCAGCCAGGAGCAGCTTGTACTTTTGCCCTTTCCTGAAAGTAAGCTGAAGAGGTTACATGGCAAGTTATTTTAGGGATATATTTCACTTCAAAAAGGATGCGCAAGTCTAACAGATAACTGCAATATGCCAGTAGGTGTACTTTGCCATTTTTTAAAAACAGTTTTAATAAAGTACAGGGAAGTAATGTGTGCATGTCAGCTAAAGCTTTGGGAAATGGAAATATGAAACGCCTGCAGTTTAAAATTACAGAAGTGAAGATCATTAACATTAAGCCAACAGCAGTACATACTCGTTAATAAAATTGTAGAGACGAAGAACCTTGTCCAGGAAAAAGTTGTGCAAGCTTCCTAGTACTCCACCAAGAACTCCTAGAGTGATTACTGGCGGTAAATCGACCAAATGGTAGGTGATGTAATCTGAAGTCACATCAAACATTATAAGTCCACCTTTCCCAAACAAGCCACACTTGTCACTTTTGCAGAAGTCTATCAATGCCCTAAGCACAACAGCAACCATTGCTGTTGTGAAAAATGCTCGCCAGAGTAGGGCACTCCTCCACCTGCAAAGAAAGCAAAAAAGGAGCTAATGGTATTGTAAACAAAACACTGTATATGAATGGTATCGTCTTGCAGAAATTGTGTGGTTCACATTTTAATTAGTAACAGAAAAGAACAAGGAGTTTTCACATGCATATTCAAAGTTGTTACCATGAAGACACTGCTTCAAGAGCAAACAGGACTCCACCAACTGGTGCCCGGAAAGCAGCAGCAATACCAGCACCAGCACCACAAGTAACAAGGTCCCTTCGGTCCCTATCATTCTTGAAGTACCTTAGCCATTTACATGTCAGGTGATATTTACTTGACCCACCTTGTCCAAGTATAGATGCAATGCATGCACCTGTGTGTACTAGAGGACCAGCTTTTCCCACATGCAATGATGATGATACTGCAGCAATGCAACCCACAATCTGTCCAAAAAACAGTATATATGAAATCCAGATATATCAACGGAAGGGAACAATGGTGTTTTTCTTGCATAACAATTTATCACTTATGTATAAGTCAGAGAACATATTTTCTAGCTACCATTGCCCTAGAGTGGTTGGGCAGTCATGTTCACTTTGAGTAAAACCAATCATTCAGAATCGTTTTAGCATCTCCAAATTGAACCCCGACATTCAAGCAGAATAAGATAGGCATGATCTTTCTTATGCAAAGGTTATGTCAATACATCAGAACTAATCCAAAAACTAAAAGGTTTCATACCCCAATTCTTCTAAATGCATTCTTTGTTTCCCTTAAAAACATCAGAAATTAAAATGAAAAAGATTGCCCTGCATTTGTCTGAGATGGAAAACTAAAGAAAGCAAACAAAGAGTCATGCTTCACCGAGATGACAATTGGTCAAGAGAGAAGGAACGGGGAAAATCTCCAGATGACACAGAACTCAATACTAATTGCCAGGTTCTAAATTCTGCTTTTGAAGTGAACATAGAGTTACATCGCAAACTATATATACATGTCCAACAGTCAATAGAGCTGCTCCAAAATGAATAACAAACAAGTTGTACCACAGACACAGACACTGATGTCCTGCCAGAGACCAAACAATGTGTATTTCCTAACTCTTCCATGCATATTATTCGTAGTTATATATACATGATTTCTTAGCCCATACAAACCTGATCATGTCTAACAGACCAACATTTTCAACTTATTTAAATCGTCTCCAATGATGTTGAACAAAAACAGAATGGAACAAAAGACTAGATATATGTTTGCCACAAATCAATCACAGAGACAACTTCTTCTTGGAAAAAAAAATCACAGGGACAACTAATAAGTGTCAAGAATTACCAGTACTCTGTGATGAAATAACTTGAATGAAAGAGATATAACAGTAGTCTACCTTCACCACCAGGGTCTTTAGAGAAAATATGTCGGGGGCATCAACCCCGTTCAAGTAAGCCTTCACCTCAGGGATGCCCGACCCGGCCGCCGCCGGCGCCACATACACCGTCAGCACCGTTGCTAACATCGTAAGGGCGAAATTCGAAACCAGGAACACCGCAAACGCTGTCCCGTATCTGATCAAATCAATTTTGAGTCAACACAGACAACACGAGAAGTAAAGTCCATCAGTTACTCAAACTGAATCCAACCTAGTCTGAACTCTGAAGTAGAAACCACTCTGCAACCGCTGCTTACCTGCCGGCGAGCATGAGATTGGAGGTGACGACGAACTTGGCGCCGGCGACGTTCTCGACGCCGAGGTTGGCGACGAATCCGGCGGCGGCGGAGAGGACGCCGACGAGGAAGCAGAGGGCCCACTTGAGCGCCACGTAGCGCAGGATGTGACCCCGCCCCCGCGCCCTCCAGTCCTGCTTGAACACTTCGTTCTCGATCAACCTGCAGCACCCCCACGAACACCGCGTTTTCCATGGAGTCAAATCGCAAATGGAAAACCGAGCGAGCGAATCGCGCGCCTCGAATTGGGAAGGGAAAAGTGAGGGGGGCGCCGTACTCGTAGTCGAGGCTCTCGATGGGGCACACGCCGACGCCGACGAGGGCCACCTGGGAGGTGGTGTTGGACTGGGAGCGGCCGGCGAGGAGGAACCTCCGCCGCCGCCGTCGCGCCTCCTCGTCGCCATCGCCGTCCTCGTGCGCCGGGTCCTGGAAGAACGAGGAGCCGGAGGAGAGGAGTGGCGCCTCGATGCCACCCTCCGGATCCACCTCGCCGCCGTCCCCACATGACTGGTCCCTTGGCGCCATCGCCGCGGCCGCTCAGCTCCGCCGCCGCCGCCGCCGCCGCGCCACACACGCGACACAAGCCGAGGAGAGTGGTGGTGGTTTGGTGGGGACGTGGGGTTTAACGTCATAAAATTCCGGGTGGAATGGATCGCGAGATTTTTATCTGCGGGTCACTGCCACTGGGCCCAAGCGAAAATGGGCCCCACATGTATGTGACTGCGATAGCAGGCGCTGGGCCGTTTGGGAAGTTGAGTTCAGAAACGGTAGGGAGATGGCAGCACGCCGCTCCGAAGAAGAGCTGAACTGAAACGCCTCTTGACAAGAACTTCCTCCAGCGTTAGCAAATTTTCTCTCTCAATTTTTTTAAAATATTCTCTTTTTTTTTAAGTTTAGCAAAAGTTTTGCACTGACTGTGTCGATCGCTGTTTGGAATAGATCTGAGCTACGGTGGTCGATGGAGTGTAAGCTGGACTCTTGTCTCTTCCTCTCTCGGATTCTTTCTTCCACCACTAACCTCTGTCTCTGTCGTTGATCCTTATGATTAGGTGTCCTTTTAAGTAACACGTCACTAGATTTCGTACTCCTCTTATCCATTGTTTTGCTGGCAGATACATCTGACTCTTGCTAAGAAATTAAATTTAGTACTCCTAGTCCTATATAATAATCGTGGTTTGTTGGTATGGTGGCACTCTCACATGTTAGATTCAGAGCTCACATGCTGTCTTGTCCGGAAAACAGCATGTATTTGTACTACGTCTGCATTTATTTCCGAAATTGTTGTTTAACAACAGCTGCCAATTCATTTAGTTTAACAACAGCTGCCAATGCATCAAGAGATAGTACTCCGTACTCCGTAATTTTATTCAGTAAAGATACTGATGTACTCGTACCAATTTATTGACAAAGTGTAGTACTTCTGTTGATTGTTCATGAACTGCTAATGAACAAAAATTAGCTTGTCTAGGTCATGACAAGATCAGAGTGTTGCATTGCTTTTGGTTTATCTAACAGCAAAGTAAGTAACAGCACTGCAGAAATCATGATATCGCTTGGCAGGCTCTGTCGAAACTGTCTTCAGCAGAGGACATTCGCTTAACCAGCATATGGTCTGGGTGTGCCAGCTTCAGTTGGCTGCAACGGTTATCAGAATTACAGTTCAGATTAAGCGCTCAAATTGTACAGAAATATAACAATTATTAGAGCCTTGACATCTTGACTTATCAGGCAGAAATAAGACAAGGCATTAGGAAATGGCCTTCAAAATGAAAATATAACAGTGTAGAACCCACTTACTTCAGGTAGCGGGATGCAGACTTTCCTAGGTTCAGACTGCACACAACGAGGTTGGCTAGAGTTTCTGCATCCTTGGCATCCTGAACAGTTTGACCATTTTTTGTTAAGCACTAACACTCTGTTTGAGAAGTAGATTATCTAGAGCAAATGCTCAGATGGACAGGTTAACATCATTAGAACTTTTGATCTAAAAACATCATTAGAACTGACCTTGTTCAGTGATTCCAGCAGCAATCCCTCTGCATCTTCAAAGTTACCCATGTGCATCAGGCACAGTGCTTTACCATTAAGAATTAAGCAAGTTGCTGGGTACTTCTCTGACAAGTCCTGGAAGATGAGGTGCGCTTCTTGGATCTTGGACCCGCCCTGGTATAGAATCAGAAGCAATGGGAAGCAGTAGAACTCAGATTTCTCTCCTGCCTCTTTGATTTATCATCATAAACAACTCTCAAGTAACAACCCATAGTATTCCTACCATGACAAGGTCTACCCATGCGTTTGCGAGCTGCGTCAGTGTGTGGTCTTCGTCCAATTGCTGCATTATCCTCAGCTGTTTCTCTGCGTGATCAGACCTGTGCATCTGGAGGCATATCTGAACATTCATCGCAAGCCTGAAAAACACCAGACGTGAATCGGTTCAGTGACTTCAGTCTTCCCAATGGTAAAACATAACATGCAGTAATTCTCTGATGGCATGGAAATCTTCAGCTATATATAATTCTTATGCGAGCAGGCAATCGTATCAATCATGGAACAACACATGGGGTAAAAATAAGATACTGTGCAGAATGGATCAAAAGTTACATGGAAGGTTGGATGATCCTTACAATTCCATAGTCCCACCAGAATTTGTGTGCTTCAGTGCTCCGGCATAGTCCCGCTCGTGCATGAGAACCGTCCCTGCAACCAGCCGGAGAATCGGGTTGCTCCCCACCGCATCATCTGCCAGGAGCTCGTTCAGCTTCCTGATCGCGGATTCCTTAATTACACAGAGATTGATTACAAAACGCACAATGAGATATATAGCGCGGTAATTAATTGGATCCAAATTGAAATGCACGCGCGGATGAAACAACAACAGGAGTAACCTTGCCGCCGGCGCCGCCGGAGAGATACACCGTGAGCAACCTGACGGCCTGGAGCGGCGTGGCCGCGCCCGGCCCGATCTCGTCGATCACCAGCTGCATTTCACACGAGAAACCAACCGCTCGACGAGTCGATCAGCTAGGTCATCCAACACGAGAAAATTGTCATTTTACCATTGTCAAAAAGGATTTTCGCCCAAATACCACTATGCAGTTGAGATTCGCCGAAATACCATTATCAATTGAGGGGCTTCGCTCATGTCATTTTCTTCGAATTCTCTCTTTCCTCTCATAATTACTTAAAAAAAATACCCCTAGTAAAATTAATTAATTCAACTAGGGGTATTTTGGTCAGAAAAAATAAGAGGAAAGAGAGAATTGGAAGAAAATGGTGTTTCAGCGACGAATTCCAACTGCTTAGTAGTATTTGAGCGAAACCCTGTTTGACGATGATATTACGCCAATTTTCTCATCCAACACACAGGGCGTGATCAATCGATCGATGGACACGTGCACGCGATGCGTACGTACCTGGTGGGAGCCGATGGCGATGTAGGAGCGGTAGAGGAGGGAGTCGCGCTCGGCGAGGGCGTCGGGGGAGAGGGCAGCGCGCGCGGGGATGGCCTGGACGCCGGTGATGACGGCCTGGTACGCGCCGACGTAGAAGCTGTTGCGAAGGCCGAACAGGTGGTCCGGCGACGCCGCACCCGCCATGCTTGCTGCTGCTGCTGCCTCACGTACCTCACTACGTGCCTTCGCGCGGCCGTACGTGGAGACGATGGATCGATCGGCGAGCGAGCTAGCACGCGCGCGTCCGGGAGCCCGGGAGGTATGGATCTCGTCGAGGCGAAGCAGTGGTGGCCAGGGAGTGGGGGTACCGTGCCGTGTACGTGCGCGCGTTACGTGGTTACGCAAAGCGCATCCCCGCTATCCGAGACCGAGAGAGATGATGACTGATGGTGCCTGGCCCAGTTTGGGGCTCGGGCTGATGCCTGATGGTCCATCAAAAGTTCTCTTTTTTGTGAAAAAGGCTCGTCAAAATTCTAGCCCAAAACCAACTAGGCCTTGTTCTCTATCCCAGCCCAGTCTATGCGGATACGCCACATATTTCTAGCTAAGAGAGTACTGCATGTTCGGTAAAACTCCATCTCTTATAAATTTAATTAACTTCAGGAGTTGAGTATAGAATAGAGCTATGAAGTAGCTTAAACTTTACTTCATTTCTTTAATTTATTTTGTGATAGAACTCTAATCAGTTCATCCACTTCCTTTTTAAGTGAAGCATAACCGTTTGATAGAGCTGAAGCTGTGGCAAATATACTCTAAATATTGTACCGATTCCAACGCTTATCCTCTCAAGTTTGTTCAAAAGTGTGTTTTGATTAGTACCAAAATAAAACCATTATGGTAGCATCAATTAAGGAGGTTATTAAATGAATCATGTAGATGTAACTAGGATGGCCCTGATGTGGATCGATGCTAGATACTGATGAAAAAAATCGAACACACCAGCCTGAGAGATCTGCTTAACTCCAGTGCAGGTCTAAAGATTGGTGAGATACGAGCGTGCCAGTCAGTTTGATCCTGTAACTGACAAGATATGCAAATAGTAGATCAAAACAACCGATCGGCTGACAAGCCGATGGAGTAGTTCCAGCCGATGCCGATAATAGCCGATGCTGATAGCAGCCGATGCCGATAGGGTTTAAGCAATCGGCTATATGTCCAATGTAGATAATGATATAAAGGCAATCGGCTGACGACGATGTAATAAAATAACAATATAATCCAGTATAAACCAATCAGCAAATAATGATATGATAAATAAGCATCGATCCGAAGGTCAAAGCACACATCGGATGGAGGTCCGATGTCATGAAATCCACAAGATTAGATTAAACAGTGAAGCCTTTGTTGTCATCGGCTAAATCCAACTTATATGTATATGCAATCCTTATGAGCCGATGCAACGTCCAGATAACTCACCAGCTGAAACCCCGATGAAACCCTTATTAGCAATCAAGAAGCAGGCTAGAGATTATGGTTTTAAGCATGACTTAGTAGATCAAACTTAACTGATGCAGCACCAAGTATGAAAAGAAACATAATATCTAGACAATCAAGCCGTTGACTGATTTTTAGGGTGGTAGATGTCTGAGCTAATCTAATCTAGCAACGCGATTTAGCCGATATCGGCAGAAACCCTAAAACGAGAAGCAGCCGATAGAGCTAAATTGATATGCTAAGACTAGATTAATAGAGACATATGATAAATAGGTAGGCAAATATATCATCCAAACCAGAGCGATCCAAGAGGTTGAATGTACTGATGCAGCCTTGAACGACGCCGACGTAAACGATACAATTGCCTGGGCCGACGGAACATTGGACTTACCCTTTCGCCGGAGATCGAACACCGATGCAGCACCGCGTCAGATGCCAAGTCTCGCCGGACGATAAAATAAAGTAGAAAAGGTAAAAGGTGGCGATGCGCCGAATTGTATTGATTGTGAGGATAGATTACATAGACCCCGGGTGTACATATTTATACCCATGGGTTGATACAAGTCCTTGTCGGATAAGAAAGAAACTAACCTAAAGATAAAAGGAAACTAACAAACTATTCCTAATTAATAGATAAATTGCCATGCCGCATCCTCTTTAAACTCAGTCACTTAGGGATAAGCTTCCTTTAGTAGATTGATTTCCTTAATCAAATATAGCAGGAACCCGACTATTGACGACTTGATAACTCCCATCGGCTGATTCCGAGATGCTGCAGCCGATAATGATTCTAAGCCGATGACGTCTTTGCCGATTACCAAATTTTACTGTTAACAGATACATAGGCTAATTTTATCCTTGAGAGTCTAACTCAATTGAATATGGATCTAGAAAATCAAACAATTGCATGGCTAATAGCCATGAGAATGTAATTGCACGTTAATTTACTAGCTTCCAATACAGGATGTCAGACATCGTAATACTTAATTTAGAAATAAACAGAGTAAACCATAGCGATGTAAATGTAAACAATGAAATCGTTATCCATAGATGAACTACTCTCAACAAGAAGAATACACGAAATAGGCATGCTATTAGTGTAGACCATCGAAACAAACATATCTAACTCGTTTGCGCATATAAACGGAACTAACAGAAAAGAATAGAAGAGGAAAATAACATGCGGTGCTTCAACAATAGTTGTAGCGGAAGGATAACCGTAGCCGTTTACATTCTCGCCACTAGCCATGATGAAAAGGAAGTAGTCTAGTCGATGTAGTCATTCATGAACACCGGCGAGGAGTCACGCGATGTGCTCACCAAAAACCTAATTCGCCTCCTCCTGTGCAAGATCAGGAGATGGGGGTTTCAGAGGCATGCTCTCCCACGCATGTGTACGCACTTGTCAGAATGGGATCACCTTATCAGCAACGAAAGTGAAAATGGATGAAAGTATATGTTCTCTATCGCGCATGGGAAATCAGATCCATTCTCCTTTTATAGGATAGAAGGAAAATGAAGAGAAAGAGACTCATGTGATAGGAAAAGGAATAGAGTAACTTATTGTCATCAACCATCCTCCACTACACCACCATCAACTAACCATCAATTAGATACAATTGACGTATGTTGCCAATTTGTTAATCATTTCTTGGAATAATTCTCAGAAAAGGTACACCTTCCTCCTAATTATCCATGATGAATTAAACACCATAACTCCTAGCATTCCATGAGTCTTGAGATTTATTTGATTTAGTTGATTTAAATGGGCCAGTGCCAAATTAAATCTAACATAGGAGCTCTCCAGTTTCATAAAAAAGGATGAGAGAAAAAAGAAATAGTGAGACACTTTCATGACAGGTTTTTAGCTCACCCTTTTTTAGTTACTGGTAGAGTTTTGATGGTGCTCTAGCGGTGGCCGTAGGGGTGAATCATTGACGATCTGGATAGTCTTACCGTTGGTGGCCCATATCATCAGGCCCATTGCAATATTCGGGTGGCCTAGCAACTAGAGCTGAGTCGTTAAGTATTCGAAGTTCCGACGAATTGGCAATGGTTCGGGAATCAGTTGCACGACTGTAGTTTCAAAGCTAGAGCATATCGGTGGTGATACTCAATAACATTGCCAATTCATAATGATTTAGGCGAGAATCCATTATGAACTGATCGTGATGGGCTAGCTATGAAGCCTCTTTTAAAGTAGTGTCGTAACTTTCTATGGCAATAATAGTACACAATGTATGCCCAATCCACAAGTTTCATTTGACTATGACTATAGTTGGGCCTAGAAGAAACAATCGATTTGATCTTCTCTCATAAGCCCAACCTACTTGTTATGCACTAAGGCCCATATAGGCAAACATTGTATTAGGTGGCATAGGGCTAGTCGGCTAGGGTACACCTTCAGTGCTTCCCTTTTCCCTATTTATTGGCTTTGCTCACTCACTCACTCTTGCATCTTATCCCTTCTATCTCCGGTCTCCGCCGCTTCCCATGGATGGTAGTCTTGTGGAGAGCTAAGCGCCTCATATGTTTCCTTCCCAAGGTATGTAGATCTAGTTATACACGATCCCTGCAATCTTCTTACCGTCGTGCCCCCTCCACGGTCACGCCAACCCTATCTCATCACTCAATTGTTGCTCACTTTTTCTTGTCGCCGTTTAAGCAAATCCCTTTATCTCCTTTTACATCTTTTGTTAATACCACTTGATTTGCGATTTACTTTAGATTTGTTATTAACACCGTTTGATTTGTGGTTTGCTTTGTACTATGTATGTTGATTTTGGTGTTTTCGATAGGGTATGATGTTGTTAGCTCTCAAACCTAAATTCATACTAAATACTTCTGATTCACGATCCTAGATTTTTAATTTGAGATCTCTATCCCTTATTTGCTTAAATAGATGAGAAACCATACTTATGTGTGTGTAAATGTGATAGACACTTTACACTTGGATACATATGGGTTTTAATATAGCACACATAAATAAAAGATGACACTGGTGGTTGGTGGCTCCTCCTAGGAAGGTGGGATACATTGTGTCCCTTGTGACTTGTGTTAGTCCAAAGGAAAAAGAGGAAAGTTGGGTGGTCCCACCTGCAGTTCTTCTGCCCTTTACCCTTCCGAATGTTCCGTGTGCATCCTCCGTGAAAACTAACGCGTGCGCTAGTGTTTTCGTCGTCCGACTCCGACGGTTGCTTCCTGTAGGCTGCGGCCGCTCGCCTGCTCGACGCCGCGTCGATCGGACAGTTCCGAGTTCCGACGCCCAAAACCCTCGCAACTTCATCTCTCCCAGGTGAACTCGTGCTTCCTCCTCCTCCTCCTCCTCCTCCACAAATCCCTCCGCCGCGAGTTTTTCTCGGACATGCTTCAGCTTGTGGATCCCCTTAGCCACCGGAGGCGGCGGTGGCAGCGGCCTCTTTTCGCCGCTGGTAGGGTGTAATCTTGGCGCAGGAACCTTTTCCATCAATCGAGATACCATTCCTCTCCCCCCCCCCCAATGTTCAGTCTTATCCCGATTTTTTCCCCTTTGATCCCTCCAAAATTGGACGATCATAGGATGGAGTGTAAAAAAGGGGCTGCATGCTGGCTCAGTAGTCATGTTGGAATTCATTGGCTAACTGCGGTTTTTGTGGTGGATGCTGCAAATCAGTGGTGCGCTAGTAGTTCCTTCAGTTAATGCTGCCTTGCGGATGGGCAATTTTTAGTTACTTGTTTGGGTGGCAGCTTACACGCAAAGGAGATCAATTTTGTGGAGTTTTGCAGTGTTTGCGCTCTTCTGTCACTGCATGGATTGTCAGTAGTGAACTGATGTTCCCTATAGAACCATCTGAATTTCCAGAGCAACTGCGAGGGAATGGTTTACATGTAGATTAGCTTGCTTGTAAAGATGTCACTTTTTCTCACACTCTTATACCAATTTCAGTGACTGGGCCTTCCTATTCACTGTGTTTTTGGCAGGCTTCATATTCTGGCATTCTGCTATTGTTGGAAGCAGTGCTGCAATCTACAGTTGATTTCATTCCTTTAATTCTGCCTTCGCAACAGCGTGGAACAAACAACCATATAATATTTCTGTTCCAGAGGAAAGGATGTCGGGCCAAAGTAATTCCCCCGACATGATTTTTCAGGTTTATACGCCAAGAAAAAGAAAATTTTTGAACTCTGTTCACTACAGTGAATCTAATAGGGCCGTTTCTCATGGATCTGGGTTAGTCACTAGTGCTAAAGATAGTCATCAAGGTGAAGAATCATTTCTAAATGGTCCAGCTGGGTTGAGCTCTATTTTGAGTAACTCACAGGGTTTTGCTCCTCAAGATATTCTGTCAGGAACCACAGAACTGAGTGGCATTAGATGTACAACTAGTTCATGCAAACCAAATGAAACCATACTGCACACCATTTCAACAAATAATGGCACATCAAACTGTCAGGATACTACTCAATCGTTCTCTCTATTGATGGAGTGTACAAATCATACAACACCAAGCAAACCTATGCATCCACATATTACTTTTCAACTAATGCACACTAAAATAGAGTCTAGTAATAGTTGTGCTAAGTATGCAGATTCAACAGATCAGAGCCAGACAGCTGTGGCTCATAAGTTACTTTTCAGCTGTGAAAAGGGTGATCAGAGTATTGTAGCTATGGTTCACCCTTCTCAGAGTTCCCTTGAAAAAATTCAACAGAAGCAAGGGATATCAAGCTATGAAGCTAAACATGATGTACAAGGTTCTACAAAAGCAGATGATAGTTCTAGTATATTGTCTCCTCATTCTTTGGATGATGAAATCATGTCAGTTGTTGGCCTGCTATCTCCTTCTGCTTATGAAAGCCTATGTGATGGTACAATCCAGTTGAGTAGCACTGTCAAGGTGTCTGTGATCGCCTTCTTCAAAAGGTGACTTTCGTGTCTACTAAGAATGATAATTCTATAGTGTCCATATTTGTGCTCTATGGTGCATTTTATTACATCATCCCATCCCTAGTAAGATCGTATTTAGTTTTATTCTTAGCTTCAGACAAATAGTAAGGCTAATAAATATAGGATTTCTGATCCTACCTTGGCAAAAGCCATGAACGTTTTTACAATCTACATTTGATTATTGCTTGCTACTTTATACTAAAAAGGTAGAAAACTTCACCAAATTCCTATTTAGCTGTGACTTATGTGCCTCTTTGAGGAGTTAGTAAGAGTATCCATTTTTTACAAATCTGAAATACCATATTCAACAAGTTTTATTGGATTCTGGAAGCATATAAATTGTGTATCTCATTGTTTTTGTACAAAACTTGATAACCACGCCAGAGCTAAGTTTGTGCCGCTTGGAAGCACAACTAGTCTGATGCTATGCGGTTGATAAATCATTTTTTTGCTAGAGAAATTATAGTTGCTACTTTTGTTCAACTACGTTGCTAGTTCTTGTGCTGAGTTGACTGACTTTTATGAATAATCATTCTTATATTTCTCTATTTAGCTTGAGTCGAAGTTATCTTTGTGAATGATGAATATTTTCACAGGGTATACATTGTTTCATGTTAAATACGTCTTTGCTTGTTTTCTTGGTAGCGGAGAAAAAAATCACGACATTACTTGGCCGAAAATCATAGAAATCAAAGGGAGAGTGAAATTAGATGTGTTTGAAAAGTTTGTCCAGGAACTCCGTCGATGTCAAACCCGATCTTTGATGGTAAGATTATTTCTTGTTTTCTCATCAATCCTTGCTGATATATTAATAAACCTTTGATAATTTATCTTCCTTTCATTCTTGAAGTAAATATCCACTATGTTCATTGCTAATCAAATGCACAGTTAGCTACCTTTTGCGCTAAAAAAGGTTCATCCCACTTAATTATGCTTTGAGGTTCTTTCTTTTAGGCTTAATTACATTTGTGTGCTTATGAATTTAAAACCAATGGAGAAAGAGTTTGTAAATTTTGTCTTCTACGGTAACTGTACCAGTTAATGTAACATTGCTAATAATATTCCAACACCTGTATGTATAGGTAATTTCTCTTTGTTGGAAGTTTGGGACATCAAAAGCTGGCTTACTGGGAATGAAAGAGGTATTACAAGCACTTAATTACATTTTGATCTGTAACAGCTATGGACTTTTCTGGACATTGGATCTAACTCATTTGAGATAACAGCTACGGACTTTTCTGGACATTGGATCTAACTCATTTGAGACACTGGTATAGGTTGCCGAGAACTTTGAAGCGAGCCAGAAGGTTGGTTTTGCAGATGTATGTGATGGTTCCAATCTCTATGTCTGCCCCAGAAGTGATGCTGTAATTACAATCCTAGCGAAATGTGGTTTCTTTAAAGGCATGTCAGCAGCTGATACAAACCAAGACTCGTTGATAGGGTGCATTGTGTGGCGCCGAAATCCACTGTCAAAAATTGTGGATCATAGCAGGTCTGAAACTATTGGAAAGGGATCTCCTTGTGTGCCTCATGTTGGAGCAAGGCATCCAACTTCGTTGCCATTTTCAGATGGACATCAGGCAACATCATGCTCCAACAATCCTGGCATGGACTCTAGAACAAACACAGGCAATATTCAGAATGATATTGATCAAATGCAAGAAATTCAGAGCAATTCTGTGAAAACGCATCCTGTGGCAACTGGTAAACTTCTTTCACTGATTAGCGCATGTACATGGTGATTACTGAATTATTTACGTTTACTTCTTATCCAGGTTTGCTATCTCAGTGTGGGCATGCTAAGAGTACTGGTGAAAGAGATCCTACAGAAAAAGTAGTGCCCCATTCTCTATTCAAACTTGCATCAAAGCTAACCCCGCAGCCACCGTTCAAAGCACCATCACTAATAGGATGCCAGTTGTCACAGGTTTCACCGTTCGAATTGGCATCGCATGAAGTCCCAGAAATTCAGCAACATGTTCAGTCCATCATAGATTCTCATTCTGGATCTTTTGGAGTGTGGCATCCTACTTCACATTCTCAAGGATTGTCTCTGAAATCCTTGCATGTTCAGCAGAGAACTACCCACTATGATTTAGCTGCACAAAAGGTAACCTGCTCATCTAGTTACTTGTGCAATCAGTTCTATTTGGTTGCAAGTGTTAATCTGTTGAATGGTATTATCCTGTAAATTGTGTAGAATCATATGGCGGAGGCCTTCTCAGGCAGCATAACTCAAGAATATGCATCAAATGCTGTTGAGTCTTCAAAACAACAGGAGACTAATCCATTTTTGCTGCAGCCTGATACTTATGGTGCTCATAGAGCTAATGATATAGATGACCTTCCAAAAGTTGACTTCGCTAATCTCCATAGAGTTGAGTTGAAATTTGATGTGCATCCAATCAACAGGGAAACTACAATAACTTCTGATGTGCTGATTTGCCCTAGGTTATCTGATAAGAAGTCAAACAGTCCATTCCAGCAATCATCGCAACCATCATTTCAAGTTGAAGGCATCAAGAATCATGAAAAGGTTGAGGTGAAAGAAAATGTCACAGACATGATTTCAAGGGAGATAACGAATCAAGTATCTCATCGCAAGGCAGAAATAGAGAACTTCAAGAGCAAAGATGACATTGATGCTGAAGACATGCCAGAGTGTCACTTCCAGGGGTTGGATAATGAGAAACTGCATCAAAGCGGTTCAAGTAAACATACATCACCATCTTTGAAGAACTCCACAGGGTCTAAAGCACCATCACAAGTGTTTCCTCCAATTACTCAGAAATCTTATACTCCACTTGAAGTAGAAGACATCTCTTCTGGTCATGATCCAAATATGCCATCTGGATGTCTGAACATACCAAGAGATCAAGTCTCGTTTCCTCGGCATCCTCCACCTGCACAAGGGGATCAACGGTTAGCAGCTCGGCATCCTCCTGTACTAGCAGATCAAGGTTATGTTCCTCGGCTTCCTCCTCCTGTACTAGAAGATCAAGGCCTTGCTCCTCGGTGTCCTCCTCCTGCATTAGCTGGTCAAGGCTTCGTTCCTCGGCATCCTCCACCTGTACTACCAAATCAAGGCTTCTTTCCTCGGCGTTGTCCTCCATTTGCAGGTCAAGACTTATATCCTTGGCGTCCTCCGTTCCATGCAAATCAAGGCCCATTTCCTCGTCATGCTCCTCCACATCCTTGTCCTCCATTTACTCCAGGTAATTTTCATTCCCCGTGAAACCATGGAAACAAAAATGGTACTTTTCCTGATGAACAACATTTGATTTAATGGCCAATCTTCCTGCAACTTCAGGACACGTGAGGCCACCTAGCAATTTTGCTCCCCCTGGCCCTTGGCGTCCAGTTCTGCATCCAGGGCAAGAACACCATCACCATCACTACGGACATCCTGGAAGATCAAATGGTCCATCAGGCTCTGGCAACAAACCAGGCTACCATAACCCCAGCTATGGAAATGGACCAGGAGGTTGCAGGCCACAACACCAAGCTCAAGGATAACATTCTGCATGATTGGTTGCACAGATTATACCCATTCCCAATTGCATTCTGAACAACTAGAGAAAAAAAAACATAGAACAACTCCTCCATTTGGTGGACAACAAAGAGCTCCTCAAACTTTCTCTAGATGATGTTGCCTTTATGGCGAATTTACCAATAAGTTGTACAGTACATAGCCATCTTGTGTTGCTGAATTGTGAAGTTTTGTTGTTAGAAAATTCATGGATTTCCAGAGTGATTCAATTGTGGCCACTAGACTAGAGTAGAGTGAGAGAGTGGCTCACCTGCGGTTGTGCACGGGAGCCACATGAGAAGTGATCTTGTCGGCCCCACCGCAATTCGCGGAGAATCTTCTTTCTTCCCGACCGTTCGACGCGGCTGCGCCAACCGAAAGCGTCTCGCCGCGCCGCCACGTCTCGCCGGAGCGCGCGCGCGCACACCCACCCGAACGCCGCCGCCATGTCCTGCTGCCCCTGCACCACCACCACCTCGTCTCCTCTCTCCCTGCCACGCCCCGCTTGCAGAGGCAGGTGGTCCGGCGGCGGCGGCAGCAGCGCCAACGCCGCCGCTTGGAGGGCGCGTGGAGGAGGAGCGAAGCGGAGTTTGGTAGTCGCGGCGAGCGGCAGCAAGGATGAGACGGCGGAGGGGAAAAAGCAGGAGGAGGAGTCGGAGTTCAACCCGTTCGGGTTCGTGACGGACAACCCGTCGAGCCGCGGCGCCATCCAGCTGCCGGAGTCGCCCGCCCAGGACGGCAATGTCGGCCAGATGCTCTACGTAATGCCCACTTCGCCACACCTCCTTGATTCCGAACTCGTATCATTGTTGACCATTTCTAGTATGCTGTAAAGTAATCTCGACGCGTGCAGAGGATCGAGGACAAGGGGAGGGAGTTCGGCTCAAGAGTGAAATCAGGAAAGCTGCGGTGGTTTGTGAGGGAAACAGGTACTGTTTCTTCATTTCTGTGTTGGTTAGATGAAAGATGATCTTATTGCAGTGATCACTGAACGTTAGTAAAACGTTGTATGCACGTTGATCCAGTGAAATGGGGTGTGTACTGACGACGAAGCAGTATTGCATTGTGAATACAAATTTAGTATTTAAGAATAAAAACGAATGATACTTTCACTAAGATAGTGGATTTTGTCAGACCTTTGTGTATTTCAGTAATATTGATTTCTCCTACAGTAGTACATAAGTTCATCTCCTTCTGCAAAGCTTTTAAAGGAAACAAAACCTGTCCCAATTTGCTATAATTCTGCCTCTATAAAACTTAAGGAAAATGTACCTTTTTTTGTTTGTTTGTCTTGTACCTTGTCCTTGTATAGTTGTCATTGCTGAACCATGAAAAGAAGGGCTCACCAGGTGTTCTTGCAAACAGAGCCATCTTGCAATTGTCTCTGTCAAATAAAAAGCCCCATGTAATTGCTTCATAAATATGGTGATACAATTGTAGGTTCCGCTGGTGCACGACGTGGGACTGTCGTGTTTATTCACGGTGCTCCATCTCAGTCATTTAGCTATCGTATGGTTATGTCTCAGGTCAGACTCATTTATCTTGCAGCTTGTTGGACTAAACTTAATTTATGAAACAATTTGTTGTTCTTGATTTGCATTACCAGACAGAAAATATCAGTGGTTCTGGCTTAAATTAGTATGTGGTTCTTTCTAAAATATGTTTTCTTTCGCTGCAAAGTTTAGCTCCATGCACCATTTAAGTGGTGACTTTAGACATCTAACAGCTGCAGCATGTGTATGTCCTGTTGATTATGATTCCGAGACAGATGGGTGACCTTCCAGAGACTATTAAAATTTAAAAGAAAAACATAGTTTGAATATGGAGCATATTTATGACATTATACTGGAAGCTTAATAAATAGGGATCCTCATGTTAAATATAAATTTATAAATCGTACTAACGATTTGTTTCTATCGATCATTTTACCCACTAAGCAGCTATTGAAATTGCTACTAGATGGCAGATGCTGGCTACCACTGCTTTGCTCCTGATTGGATAGGATTTGGGTTCAGTGATATGCCACAGCCCGGATATGGATTCGACTACACAGGTGTGGCCGTGTGGCAAATGTTGACAAAATTAATGAATCTTACTAAACTCTCATTTATATTGTATCATGTGCAGAAGAGGAGTTCCACAAGTCACTCGATGAGCTTCTTAGTACTTTAAATATCACTGAGCCATTCTTCTTAGTTGTCCAGGTACATGCCCAAAACATTAGGAACCTGCATTTTCATAATAATTCTCATATATATTTTCTGAATCGTTTCTTTCATTTTCATTCTAGGGATTTCTTGTAGGTTCATATGGGCTAACATGGGCACTAAAGAACTCAAGCAAAGTTCTGAAGGTAGCAATTCTTAACAGTCCACTCACTGTTTCTTCTCCAGTGCCTGGATTGTTTAACCAGCTAAGGTCAGTCTTTCTGTTTCTCTTGCTTTGCATCTTAATTGAAGTGCATGCTCAGCATTTTACATTGTGCTACAAGTTCAGGCATATAGTTCTTTAGCTTTTCAACAAAATTTAACTTAAAAACAAGCCATATGTCTGCGTACACCAACATATCAACCAAATCCGCTATACATTGATAATGCAAGAATCTGAGCAAAGATGCATCAGTCACTGCTTTACTAGTCACTGCACATCTGAATGTTCCAGCTCCATTTCCTTGGCATTTCTACAATTTCTCAGGCCCGCCCGAACCCAGCCTGAGCAGAAGTCTGAAAGCGCAAAGCTTGACCTGAAAGTGTGACATAAATTTATGCATGAGCAATTTGACGTCCAGATCTACCCGAAAAATGAACATTGTGCATATTCTTTTTCACATTGTTTTCCTTCTTCAGTTTTATCGGATGTTATTGTGGACTTATTATATAGAAAATGCCTTGAGGGTGGTATGTTAATGCTTTCATCCGCCTTAATAGCGTAGTATGGTTTTTCGCTATTAACTTTTATTTGGACTTTATACAAGCTGGTCCTAAAAAGAGTATGAGTATTTGATACATGTGCAAATAGAATTTATCTTTAACCTGCTTACTGCTCAATATTTTTCACTAATGCTGCAGTTGATGCCATCTTGCCTTTTTTGCCCTTAATATTTGTATCATGGAAGTAAATTCAAGTCACATTTCAATGCAGGTTGCCACTTTTTGGTGAATTTACCTGCCAAAATGCTGTTTTGGCTGAGAGATTCATTGAAGCAGGTAGCCCGTACGTATCTATCATTGTCACAGAAATTCTTCATTCTCCTCTTCAGATATGTTATCATTATTCTTCTTACTGATATGCTCAAAATAAGGAAAAAGTTTGGTTTATTCTTCATATTATGTTGTTCTATATCAGTCCTGTCCATATCTGTGGCATGTTGTTTATTCTCATATTTGCTTATATTGTGTCCACTTGCTTCACAGCTATGTGCTAAAGTCGGAGAAGGCTGATGTATACAGATTACCATATCTATCAAGTGGTGCACCTGGATTTGGTTAGTCTGTACACCTGAATCACATGCCCCCAACATGTCTTTACATTAAAGTTGTATTGTTCTCAGCCATGAAACGTACCTAAATAAATTGTCAGCTATATGACTATGTTTTATCAATTTATAGAATCCATCTCTCCTAATGAAGGAAATGCAAATTCTGCTTGCACAGCCATTTCCATCTAGCTTACCCTCCATCGCAATGATTGGGTTTTTCACATTGGCTTGCCAAGCTTGTCACAACCTCCTCCTTTGCCTGGGCTTGGGGCTGGGCTATATTCATAATAAAGGAAACGAAAATTCCACAGGGGAAACTATTTCCTTCTAGCTAATCCTAATTACTGTCCATGGGAAATACTCGAAGTTTATGTTTACATATTTTCACTCAATGCCTAGCTATTTTGGAAGTTATCTTATGAAGAAATGGCACTGGGTCCACATAAGTGTTTTCAGCAAAGGATCTTGATTATATTGCTTTAGCCTTCATAAAGCAAAACTGCAATTTTTAGAACCCTACTAGTTACACATATGATGATTACTGAAAAGTACCATGTTTAGTTTATTATAGGATATTTGCTTGCATGTTTGGGCCAACAATTTGTATCTGTACCTTAGCCTGCATGGTTAATGTTGTACCTGCCAGGCTACCATGACAATTATATTGGTTGAACCTTGGACTTCGGAGGGAAGGATTATACTTGTTGAAGGCATCTGTTTAAGCTATTAAGTATTACATCATCTATATAAAAACTGTTGTTTTGTTCGTCCATTCTTTATATAAAGCTAATGCCCACTAAATACCTAAAGCTCAACATGCAAGCATAATATTTATTAGCACTCCTAAAACCTACACGCAAGCATGCCACATCAACCCATTAAACACAGGAAACTCAACATGCAAGCATATAATAATTATATCTACAATTTATTTCATTCTAAAACTAAACACACACATGCTAAATCATCATTTTCAAATCATTTTTATAATATTTCAATCCAAATCGTTTCATCATTTTTCCATTGTCTAACATATATCCCGCAGCAAAGCGTGAAGTATCATCTAGTTTATGCTACGCCTTATGCCAATAGCATCGAACAACTATTACTTCTTCTGCAACTTATGTTGTATTCCTTGTACTTTAAGAAAAATGATGTTTAGATTTTTTTTTATATTCTTTTGTCTACTTTTTACCTAGAACTGTCATTACCATCTGAGATTATTTGACAACCTTAGTTACATCTCGCTTTTCTTTTTTTTAGCATTGCTTGAAGCTGCCAGGAAAGCTAACTTCCGAGATGTATTAAGTAGAATTTCAGCCGGGTTTGCATCCAACAGGTAAGTTAAACAAACAAACAATCACTCATATTTATTGCATGTTATTGCTTCTGTTCTAACTAAAAACAGATAACTTAAACAAACAAACATATTTATTAGCTTCTGATATAATTAAAAACAGATAGATTATGCCGTATAACATGCAAGTTACTACTATGTCCATAAACATATGTATGCATGCACAGCAGTGTCAAAAGGTTCATTCTGAATTCAAGCAAGCAATATTAGACAGGTATCAGTTATCACTAATGTTTTCCAGTTCTGAAACTTCTCTCTGGTATTTCCTGCAGCTGGGAAAAACCAATATTGCTTGCATGGGGGATTTCTGATAAGTACTTGCCACTCCCCATAGCTGAGGAGTTCCAGAAAGGTAATCCTGCAGCCATAAAATTGGAGCCAATAGAAGGAGCTGGTCATATGCCTCAAGAGGACTGGTAATTGTTTTTTTACTAGCTCAGTATTTTCTGTCGATCTGTGTCCTGTAAAATTTGTACTCATAGTTCCATCGGTGCTTGCCTGCTTTGACGTGTAACCTTCAACCTTTACCTTTTGGCCAATTCATATACTTGTGCGATCCTTAACGCATCTCACTTGTCATGTTATGCAGGCCAGAGAAGGTTGTGACGGCCCTAAGATCCTTCTTGTAGAGTTTGGCACTATACTTTTTTTCCTGTACAAGTCACAGGTAAAAGTTTGACTATAAGTTACAAGATATGCCTAAATATGCCTCTAACATGCAAACAGCCGACGGCAAAATCAATATCAGGAAGGGATGGGTAAGTTCAAGAAATTATAGAACTGTTCTTAGTTGAGTTTCCTCTTGGTTTTACATATTCACAAGATCTGGTCGTTTAGGATGTTACGTTCCTGTATAAATGCAGTGTGTATATATGCACTTGGTCACTTGGATATAAATATCATGGGTAAATATGTATAAATGTATGTACAACCGCATTTTCATTATCCCCCATTCCCCCAATTTCGTTGTTGTCTACTTGCTTTGCACACTCGACAATAAGATAATTCCTGTGACATTTTCTGGCGATGCGAAGTTGTACACTTGTACTCCACTCCAGCCTTAATAAAAAAACATCACTGAGCCATTTTTCCCAGCTGTCCAAATACATACTTAAAACTTTTAGGAGATCATCATAAGGCATCAATCCTTAAGGTTTGGATGGATCGGGTTGGGTTGAACTTTTTTTTTCAGGATATTTGGTTTGGGAATAGGTGGAAAGAGAATAAGAGATGGACCATGATAGGAAATATTTCCCTAAGATTCAGGTTAACTGGTGGATCAATCCAATCCACTTTTTCTCTCGTTAATGTGTGGGTCAATGGGTCATCCCTTAAATGGTAGGACTTCATATATTCAAGCTGCAGGCATGCTCCACATTTCGTATTGATGCTCTGAATTCAGGCATATAATCATGTAGTAGTTTTTAAATTAAATTTGACTTAAACAATCATGTGTCCTCATACACCAAATCCTCTAAGCAAGCAGAAGGCAGAGGAGGACTCATTGATAGTCCAAGCGGAGATGCATGAGCATCTGTTACGCGCACAGCAAGCCAGGATCGAATTGTTCCAGCTCCGTTTCTGCCGGTATAAGATTCCCTGATCCCGACTCCTGCCTGATCGTCGGAGATTGGCGGCTTCAGGAAGGGGGTCCATTTCTGCCAGTCAAGATTCCCTGATCCTTCAGGAAGGGGGTCGCCATGTCGAGATTGCTTGCCGCCTCCTAGAGGAGCCGCGAGCCCACGCAGCAGCATCGACAGCTCCGGCTTGCCGGCGTATCACCATTGTCGCACGGCGGCTAGGGCCAGCGACAGTAGCGGATGCAGCAAGCGAGACCACGTACCTGCGTTGGCCGCGGTTTTGCAAAACTGTGTTGTAGGGGGTTTTCAGAATTTGGGAGACGACATTAACGGAATACTGTTCCAACGAAATAGCTAATATTTGCAGCACGATATCTTAGTTATCAGATCTGATATCTCTGATATCAAACATGATACCCTCGTAGTTATGAGATCTTATAACTAGGTGTCAGCATGGTACTGTAAATATCAAATCTAGTATCGGAGATAGCAAACATGATATCTGGTAGATATCAGATCTGGTACAATAGGCATCATGCTGACGTTAGCATAATACCGAGGAACTGGATTTAGTATCTCCTGTACCAAACATAATACCTAGTAGATACTAGATCTGCTACCTACCATAATGATGTTAGCTATTTTATTGGAACGATATACCAGTTCTATAGTATTTTTATTTCGGAATATATCCATGTGTCTACCAGAGCGATTTGAATGAGGGGGCAATATGAAAACCTAACGAAATTGAGTGAGGACATATCTCACCCGTTTGATAAAAAATGTGTGGTCCATTCACTCTCGAAACTAGTAAACACCGCCTCGCCTGCTCGCCGGTGTCGTTGCCCTTGTCCACCGCCTCTTTCGCCGGCAGACGGCTTCCATGGCTCGGTAGTGGACCTCTTCTTGACCTCACGAACAACGGAGGAAGCTAGCAAATATATATACTATGGCCGTGTAAACTAGCTGCGAAAACTAAGAATCTCATATTTGTTGGAGCCTTTGCTTTGTGTTTGGCTCTATAATTAAGTAGAAATGATATAGTTTTAAATAAATCTTGAAATAAACATTATATATACACACACACTTTTCAAGGTAACACGTTGGCTCGATTGCTGGGCATAACTTCAAAAGTGTGAAGAGAATAAGAAGCTCATATATTCTATATGTCGAAACTTAGAAGTTACAGTTATAGATTTTCGCCAACTACGGATGGAGATTCACAAATAGATGATCAGTAGTTGTTTTCTCCTTATTTATTGGTTTTATTATTCAGTTTATACTGTTGCATGAGTGTTTGTTCTCTTTAAGAAAATATTGTAATAAGTGAATGAAGTTTCTTCGAAATAAAGACCAGGATATAGTTTAGGGCATGTTAAGATTGTAGCCAAAATAAAGAGTGAAGTGCATGAGCGGTCCCTAAACTTGTGCGGGCGTGTCATCTAGGTCCCTAAAATCTCAAAATGCATTTTCGAGTCCTCAAACTTGTCTTGAGGTGTCATCTAGGTCCAGAGGAGCTCTAACCCGCTCCATGCGCTGATGTGGCATGCCATGATAGCACCTACGTACCACGTGTCAGGCACATAGAAAAAATAAAATTAAAAAAGCATATTTTCTCCTCTCTACCTTAGATTTTTTGTCTTTTTTATGTTTACCTAAGAGGAGAAAATATGGTTTTTAATTTTATTTTTTATATTAGATTTTTTGTCTTTTTTATGTTTACCTAAGAGGAGAAAATATGGTTTTTAATTTTATTTTTTATATATGCTTGACATGTGGATTTCAATGACACGTAGGTGCCACCATGGCAATGCCACGTCAGCGCATGGAGCCGGTTTGAACCGGTTAGGACCTATATGACACACATGACAAGTTTAGGGATCTAAAAATACATTTTGGAAGTTTAGGGATCTAGATAACACACCTACACAAGTTTAGAGACCACCCATGTACTTCACTCCAAAATAAACTTTACCAAATTTTAGCAATTTAGCGATATTGCTAAAATTTTGGTAGGATTTCTTATGTCTTTACTAGAGTTTGACAATAAACTAAATGAATACACTATTTAATATTTTTTAAAAAAAGTGATATGGTTTGAAATGTCATCAATTTTAACGACCCCTTAAATTTTAAAATACTACCTGCAGGAGAACTGGCAGTAATTTCTTTGAACTTCTGATGATATCAGTATTTTCGGTTGATTCATGTCCTGTTTCGCATGCTAGCTAATCACAACTCACGAAGATTTGTCCACTTGGGATCGAGGTTGAATTCCTCTACACTCGCATGTACTATGTACTTGGAGTTGGATGCAATATGTTCTACTTGGTCCAATGCCACGGATGGATCTCAATCCTCAGCGTCACGGGCGGGGCGCCCGGGCGCGCTCCCGACGTTTTCCATCCGCGCGCACGCGAGCCGTTCGGTCGCCGGCGTCGCGCGCGGCGCACGCGGGCGCGCATGGCGTACGACCGCGCGCGGCTGCCGGTGGCGAGCCGGAAGCCAACTGCGCGCGCGCGCACACACACACACAAAACAGTTTGATTAGCTTTCTGTCGAATCTGTCATGCATGCACGCATGGACCGGCATTTTTCGTAACCTTGTTCTTGATGTTCTTGATCTCTCTTCTGCTGGTTACGAAAAATTTGTGTGGATGCTGGCATATGCTGCTGTTGCTGCTGCGTTGAGTGACTCATGAGATGCTAGCTGAATCAGCAAGGAAATCTGCTATAGGCGCATATCTGTCGCCGGTGTCGCTATTCACAGCTAGCCATGCATAGTACCCCCATCGTCTCCCCTGTCCTCTGCTTTGCTCCATCGAAGAAGCCATTTCCTCCTCACATGACCGAGCTACTGCGCGCGCTCGCGTACGCTGCTGGTGAGAGTGGTGATCGCGTACCTTGTGTTTTGCGACGGGACCATGGCAAATGGACCACCTGAATTTGCAATCTTCCGGTGCCATCACCATCGTTATAATGCTACGCAAGCGGAAATATCGTCACGTCGTTGATGCAGAGCCTAGTGCACTGTCGAACACACGAGCGATTTCTAGATTCTTCTAGTGTACCTTACTATGTTACCACAATAGTATGTAGTTCCATGTAAAACTAGAACGAATATAACTACACCGTACATGCAAAAAAAGTACGTAACCTTTTTTTCAGTACATACGTATTTACGTCGTATCGTACGTATACGTAGTAGTGGCATACGTAGTTATGCAGTATAAAAATGTACGCGGCGAGAACGAGGACACGGCACAAGCAAAGGATAATGGCCAGCCGCCGCGACGTCGCGGCGCTCGCGCTGGCCATCATGCTCACCATGGCGTCGACGCGCGGCGGCGGCGGCCGGCGCGTCGCCGCGCAGGGGGCTGTGGGGGAAGGACATGCCGGTGAACCCGTTCTGCCCGTGGGACGCCGTCAAGTTCGGCGCGTGCGCCGGCGTGCTGGGCGTCGTGGGCGTGCAGGCTGGCGCCCACCTCGGGAGCAAGTGCTGCGCGCTCGTCGACGGGCTCGCCGCGGCCGAGGCGGCGGCGTGCTTCTGCACCACCATCAAGGAGAGCGTGCTCGGGATCCCCACGGAGTGGACCGTCGGCGTCAGCGTCCTCGTCAGCACCTGCAAGACGGAGCTCCCTGACGGCTTCAAATGTGTCTGATTAGATCTGCATTTTAGAGTAATTCTACGGTCTTTGAGAAGGTATCATGAGATACAAAAAATTTAGTGTAAAATTTAGTATCTTATGATACCTCATAGTACCTAGGTACCATAAGATACTAAATTTACAATAGAAAAAATGGTACCTTGTGATACCTCCTCAAGGAACGTAAAATTGCTCTGCATTTTATAATTTCGTTTAGTGTCCAAAGTGAAGCAGCATTGTAATTCTTTTGCTTACCCTTGTACAAGCTTTTGCATTATCCATAAAAATGCAGTCACTTACTGCGTTCGCTACTGTGCTTCGAGTTCATCTGAACAAAAGAACAAAACAAAAAAAAGAACTTGATTGAGGCTACGATGGTGATAGAGTTTGCATCCATGATATGAGAATTCTGAACTATGTCGACGGCATCTCGATCTTGCAACACTTATAATCAGAAAATGCATGTGACGCGACGCACGTCCAATCGAGCTTAACTATCACTGACATTGTTGGTCAATAATTAATAAGAACTGTCACTGATATTGTTGGTCATAATTAAGATCTTAAAACCTGCATGGCGCACGTCCTCGTCACATGATGATGTGCATTTCGCTTCTGAACAACTCGTCAGTATGGGGCTACTCTATGCGCTGGTCTCAGCGATTAGGATGAGGGTATGGCAGTATGGCTGAACATCTGGGGGCATGTAGACGAGGCAGATCGATACTTGACTGCCTTAGTAATAGTTCGACCCACAACCAGATCTGCGTATCGATCTGGGTTAGCTTGGTGCAAGCAAAACCAAGCAAACTAAGTACAGTGAGCAGGCCTTCATCAGTTTGCTATGCGGTGTAACGATATGTCTCGCATTCTAGTCAAGAACTTTTGATGTAATCGCTGCAGAAAGTTCTCTAAACATTTGATAGCATGAGAATACTGAATTCCTATCACCACCATTCGACCAAATCAAAATCTAGTGCTGGCAGACCAGTATACCAATATGGCTAATACTCCTTCAGCAATGTGCTGGCATTGATGGTCACCCTTTAGATAATACTACTAGAGGAAAGTACAATGGGCATCTGAATATCTTTGTCAGGTGCACTGAACTTGTTAATAGTTCTTACCATAATGTAAGTGCCATCAATTAGATTTTTACGGTGTTTGTGAGGTACTTAAAAGGTGGATTAATGTGAACCGTTGATCAAAAGAGGGATAAGGTACGGAATAAAATTATTATAACATGATGGCAGTATTAACTAGTAAATTATAGGTATTTAATGTGAATTGAATACCTGGTTCTATTGACCGGTATCGTTGTACATATCGATACCATTGTAGAGAAATAAAAACGTAAATCATGGCTACCCCGTTAATTTAGCGATTGATTCAATATGTATCGGAGAGAAAAAAAAATCAAAGATCATATCTCCTTTCTTCTCTACCTTCAAAGATATCCATGACTTATTTACACAGTTAATTAGTTATTTATGTAGTCGAGGAAGAAGTTTCATCTTTACTAGGGATAAATTTATAAAATATTATATAATTTAAATCGACGCAAACCTTCGGTGATATTTTAACCAATCATGTTTATGAAACACAATACAAATCTCTTCTAGTAAAAAAGATATAAATCTCAAAAGAATTAAACAGAGGGGTTTTGACGTCTTCTTGAGAACATAATGTAAATCTATAGAAATGAACGCAAATGAAAACTTTTACTCCAATAACATTTTCTTCGGAACAAAACGTAAATATAAAGAAAATCATGCAAATGAGAATCTCAAAGAACACAACATAAATCTATAGAAAATCATGAAAATGAGGACAGCTAGTACTGGGCAAATCACTTAACTGGTACCTATGCGGTACCGATAAAAATTTAGGGACAATTCTACCATTTCTCTCAACTAATATATTTGTATTTTTACCCTTAGTATCTAAGTACCAATACTAATACTTAAATACTTTAAATACTTTTCATATGGTACCTGTTATTGAGGAGCGTTGGATTTTTACTTTTTTTTTTGGAATGCAAGCACCATAAAAGTTCTCTTATAGCGAGATGGTTCAGAAATTCTAAAAATATTGAGCGCGTGCATATTTCTCTGAATCAATCATGGATATATATTTTCATCAAAAAAAAATCATGGATATATACATGCCCGCTCCAACTGAACAACACTACATGATGATTCAGATTGAAGAGCAGTACTGCATATGGATTATATGAAAATACAATGGAGTAGCAGTACCACATCTCTGAACAGAGTTAAGCAACATTATTAATGGATCAGAGAGGAATCCATGAATCCCATTTGAACTCTGGAACGAATTAATTAAACTGTAATAAAAAAAAACTTCTCTGATAGGTTCATCGGTTCATGCATGTACAGCACGCGCTACGGCCTCGCTCTCGCCGTGAGCTGTGAGATTAGACAGAGAGCAAGGGAAGTAAGCAGTGCGTTGCAATCATGCACGCTCATGGCGACGGGCGCGGACAAGCGAGTGTCACACGCCGCTGCGCCTGTTTTTTTGGCGGCTTGGCAACGGGCCAAGCCTCCCAACACTGGCAATCCCACTGGCTTCACGTGGCCGGTTCGTTCGTTCCCGCGCGCGCCAACCCACGCCCCCGTCGCTCAGTGGCATGGCATGCGCGCGCAAAGCTCTCGACCATTCCTGGCCGCTCGATTGCTCAGAGATGGTTTTTCATTTCTCGACAGGGCATCATCATTTCGTTTCTTCCGTATCTAAATAATCATTATTAAAATAACATCATAGATTAATATAGAATATACAAATATGCAAAACTAAATTCAGCTTCTATAAATTGTCATAAAAGAACAAATTAAACTAAAAATAATTACTCCATATGTCCCAAATTATAATGCCTATATTTTTTAAATGGTCTTCATTGATATACTTTGACCATTAATTTATTTCATGTTTAGTTACCAACAAATATAAAATTAACATCACATGAAAAGCCTTTAAAATATAAATCTAGTAATATAGCATGCATAATAGTTAGCATATATATGGTTAATATGATTATTAGTCAAAAGTTATCGAGTTTAATTTTTCTTAAAAAGAGGACGCCTTATAATTTGAGACGGAGAGGGTAACATACATTAATTCATAATTCTACTTGTTATTTTCGTTACAACTTATAAAAGTTGAATTCGAAGCTACATGTGTTTATAGAGTGATAATTCCTCCGTTTCACAATGTAAGTCGTTCTAGCATTTCTCACATTCATATTGATGTTAAAATGCTATAATGACTTACATTGTGAAACGGAGGAAGTATATTTTATATTAATTTATCTCTAATTTTATATAACTATTTAGACGATGAAGGGCCTGTTCATTTTGATGTCAAAAAAAAAACTTACCAAATTTTGGCAATAGTTACCAAAAAATTTAGCAGGATTTCTTATATAATTAACAAAATTTGACAGCAAACTAAATATAGCTATTTTTTTTAGTAATTTTACTAAAATTTAGTAAGGTTAAAAATGACATTAAAGTAAACAAACCCGAAATGCAAGAAGCAAGTGATGAAAATACTTTCCCGGACCGCTCGCCTTCCCCGCCTATAAAAGAGCGCGCGCGCCACGGCCTTCGCCTCCCGCCACACCTCGCAGTTCGTAGCAGCGAATAAGCGAGCTCCATTTGATTCTTTGATTACAATGGAGTCCACCAAGGTCTCGGCGATGCTCCTGCTCGCCATGCTCGCGCTCTCCTCCTCCCCGCTCGCCCTCGCGTGCGGCTCGTGCGGCTCCGGCGGTAGCGGCAGTGCACCGTCGGGCGGCGGCGGCAGCGCGCCCTCGGGTGGTGGTGGTGGTATCGGAGGAGTCGTCGGAGGAATCGTCGGGGGTGTCGCTCCCGTCGTCGGAGGAATCGTCGGCAAAGTTCCTCCTGTCGTAGGAGGAGTTGTCGGGGGAGTAGCTCCGGTCGTCGGTGGAATCGTCGGGAAAGTTCCTCCGGTTGTAGGAGGAGTTGTCGGGGGAGTAGCTCCGGTCGTCGGTGGAATCGTCGGGAAAGTCCCTCCCGTCGTCGGCGGTGTCGTCGGAGGTTGTCGCCCCGGTCGTCGGTGGAGTCGTCGGTGGCGTCGCCCCGGTCGTCGGAGGTGTCGCCCCCGTTGTCGGTGGCGTCGTCGGAGGCATCGCCCCGGTTGTCGGAGGAATCATCGGCGGCGGCAGCGGCGGCGGCGGCTACAGCCCGAGCCCGAGCCCGCCGAAGCGACACGGCGGGAGGAAGGCGTGCCCGCCATCGCCGACGCCGACGCCGTCCACCCCGACGCCGTCGTCCTCGGACACGTGCCCCATCGACGCGCTCAAGCTCGGCGTGTGCGTGGACCTCCTCGGCAACGAGGTGCACATCGGCGACGCCCACGTGACGTGCTGCCCGCTGGTGAAGGACATCGCCGGCCTGTCCGCCGCCGCCTGCCTCTGCACCGCCATCAAGGCCAAGGTGCTCGACATCAGCATCTACATCCCCATCGCGCTCAAGCTCCTCGTCAACTGCGGCTGCGACGTCCCGCCTGGCTACACCTGCGCCTAAGCCATCCTCATGCACGTCACGTCCCAAACCATGCACGTCACGTCCCAAGCCATGCACGCATTCATTATTCTCTCTCGAGTACACAGTTTAGCTTCAATCAAATTAAGGTCGGTCGTTAATTTGGTCAAATCGGTCGGGTGATGAAGCCACTCGCTTCTGGGATGTTCAATTATTCAGTGAACTTCTTTTTTATTGGATTTGCTTTTCTTGTTTTGCAATGTTAATTTGTACATGTAGTGGCTCCGGAAATTGTCATCAATTGTACTGTATGCATGTATTGTAAAACTATTTAATTTAATTCCCAGATGTAACTCTTGTTTGCAATGTTTTGTGCTATACTCGCGAGCTTATCTAGTTACCCTATAGGAACTATAGGAACTACATACGTACTACACATATTAAGATACAGTTGATAGCACAAGGAGTAACTTCTAAAGCTGAGATTGCTATCCATGAGAAATTACTTAAGCACACGGTAATAAGTTTCCAGGTGGCAGAAAGGTAAACTCATGTACAAATCGACCCTATTAAGCAAACTCTCTCGGATTGAGGCTGACTATATTTCTTTCTGAGGTTTGATAAAAACTATCTAGACCAGGTGAGTAATATGTTTGCACATCAAGCCTAAGCAGCAGAATCCAGTAAGCTCAGGTACTCTGATATAGCCTGCCCTTCGTTGCTAACATCAATATCATAGTCATCCAAGGCATCCCCCGTCATTTCATGGGCAAGCTCGTTTTCCATCGCCACATCCCTGACTGGAGGAGGATTTGCTTCTTCTTCACCCTCAGCTGACTCCTCGCTCATATCTTCCTCCTCATGGTTCACAGTTTCGTCATCGTTCACAGCCTCTACGTTGTTTGCAGCTTCTTCATTGATCACAGGCAACACATGACTCTCCTCCATAGCGCTTCCATCTGGAACATTAGCTGAAGTGTCAACCGGAGCCTGTGAATTGTTTACCCCTGAAGCAGTCGTGGCAGCAGCAGCCCTGGAGCTTGATGACCCTGAGCCCGAGCCTAGCAAGAACAACGAGAACAGAAAGGGGCATAAATTCGTTTTCATCTGAGACCTTCTGATTTTACAGAGCAATCATGAATGTATTATGATCCATACCGCGAGATAATCGCTTCGCCTTTGACATGATTTTGTGCTGAAAGTGAAAGAGACAGAAATAGAGTTAACAACTGCAGAGTATCTCAATATGAGTTCCAAAACGGTGCAAAGAATTACTTGTAGGATGCAATTTTGCTCAGGATCTGTCAAGAGATCTAGTGCTTTGTCAGCATCATTTTCATTTATGCGGAGTGCTTCAGCAGCAAGTTTCTTCTCAAACCTTAAAGATACAAACAACTGATTAGTCACAAATAGGAAGTACGACAGCATAAATATGTGGAATTGTAAAAAGAGCGCTACCACAAACAACTGAGTGCAATTTATTTTGCTTTATATTACATCAGCACTCACTATCCATAATTTAAAGTGCAACTGGGTAGTCAATATATATTTTGTCCCTTTGTTTCTTTCACAATGCATGTAGACTGTAAAAGCTATTGCTAAAAGGAAAAGGGCAAAGAGAGAACTTTCAAGCATTTCAAGATGGTATGCCTGGTATCCAGATTATATTGAGTGTCATAAGACTAAGATTTCCATCATGACTTATAATACAATGATCCTACAATACATTAGTCAATAAGACAATAACAGACAAGAATATTTCTAGAAGATAATGTATGGACTGCCAAGCAATAGGTGCCCTAAAGTTCTCAACAGATCTAGTCTTCATGGCTGGTAACAAAATGCTATATTAGATCATCATGACAAAATCAACATCTAGAACTTCAGGATTAATGTAATAAGACCAACATTCTTACCCAATTGCAACCAAGCCTTTCAACTTCTGCATATTCACTGCCTTGTTCATGGGAGTTTTACCATATTTCTTTTGTTCCCTAGGACATCACCAAGGAAGTTCACACTATTCAGCAAAAAGGAAAAGCAAATGAGAATAGAAGAGAAACCCCTTGATGAGAAGCTCACATGATCTCTTTTTGCATCTCCATATCTTCCTGTACTCTACGAATTTTCTTTTCACGCTCTTCACATAAGAGATCAACTGAGGATTGGATATCATAGCCAGTCATCTTTAATGCTCTTTTTGCAGCTTGTGCTCCATAGCCCATGCTCATTAAGATTGATATAGCTTCATCTGGTACTTGAAGCTAAATATCGCATGCAGTTAGGAAATATAAAGTCAAGAAGTTACTAGAAGCTATGGTACTAAAATATTCCAATGCAAAATAATAATAGAAAACGCAGCAGACAAAATTAACAACTGAAAATACCTGCATGTATTTTGCTTGGGCAGAAGTAAGGGATTCACGCGCCTTTACAGTATTTCCATTGTGATATGCTACCACTCCTTCCAAAAGCTCCAGCCTTACATATCTAAAACACATGGCAATTTTTCATGCATTGGAAAACAGCATAAGTCAAAACTAGAATGTGTAAGATTGAACCTTGATAAACACCACTATAAAAAGTTATACAATTGTAACATTGCTTTTCATATATAAAATTAGAGAATGAATGCTTTCATCAGTTCATAGCTAAGGAACAGTTCTCACTTCTCAATGAAAATTCAGACTCTAATATGGTAAAAAGAAGGGAGAATTGATAGTAAGTGCTCACATTGCAAGATCTGCATGACGGCCAGCTTGGAGTAATCTGAAACGAGCAGAGTCTTTACCATGAGAACGTTCAAATCCTGAGCGAGCCCTTTCTAAGCGAGTTCCTGCAACTTCTAAGCGTGATACATCACGAAGCACGAAATAGCACCAAACTATATCTAGCTGAAGCATCGGCACATTATCAACCCTCTGCAGAATATACATGGAGTGTAGGTAAAATATTTGCAGCACTCTATGATACATGTAAAAAATGTTCTTCTTGCAATTCAATTTACCTCAATGAGTTTAGGGTCACAAAGAGAGAAAGCTTCCTGTTGTTCACACAACAAAAGGGTCAGGAAATATACAAATATTTGGTTGCATATAAAGCAGACCAATTAAAAAGCTGCACATGCTTACTGATATTGGAAGGAAACAAACAGTCAAACAAGCATGGTAGGATCAAGCAAACATACATACCTCAGCCATTGCTAAGACATCAAGTGCCTCCTTGTGCATGTCCCTCTTGATAAATGTTTTGGCTTTTTGATGAAGCATCAAAGCCATCTTTACCGCCCTAGAGATAACAGATGATGATGTTATATTATAAAATAATAATAAATCATAGTATGAGAAAACTGTTTAGACGATTCAATCTCTTACTTGAGATCATCTACAGATCCAAACATCACTTTCTGGCCACTCTGATCCTCAAGATCTAAGTTGAAATCTTCTTCATGAAAGGAGCCATCAGTATGCCTTTGACATAGTGCTTCTGCAGCATTCCTACAAAAATTATTGTGTCATCCATCGACCAAAAGAAGTGTGTGAGTTTCTAGCAAACCAACAAAATTATGTGGTAATCCTAATACATTATACATCATTTCACTGTTCAATAGGGGCACACAATTTGTGCAGACTCTCAGCCTTCTTTCAGATTCAGTAGGAGCTATTCCAGGCTCTGCACCCGCATGCTTCGTGATCAATTACTCAGAAACAATGGTACTCAATACCTTTTTTTGTGCTTCTTACTACTTCACACAAAACAAAACATACAAGTAACCATGGGGTATGGTTACAAACAACCACCAAATCAATAGTCTTTGCATATTCATTAGAACATCCCAGAATTGGCATAGAGTAATCCTTTTGTAAAGATGACTAACGACTTGATACCACATTCAGTAATCAGTACCCAAACCAAGGGGCACGATGGATTCTATGTTCAGTGGTGCGGTTGAGTATGCAACTAAAGAGTAATAAGTGAATCGTGGTTCCTAATTTCAGGCTGCAAATCCTGCCCAATATGACTGGAATTTTGACTGGAAACATGGGAGCGGAATCCTCAAAATCCCCCATCGATCCTCTAGAATTTGATCGAAGAGGAACGGAGACCTCCTTACCAGAGCCTGACGAGCCTATTATTATGCTCCTCCTCGGCCGCCGCCGCGGCGGCCTGGGCGGCGATGGCCTTGCCGCGATCGGGGGCGAGGAGGGTGGAGAGCACCTTGGCGTTGCCCTTGAGGCCGGCCTGCTGGAGCGACGCGGGCGGATCGTCCTTGAGCACGCGGCCGCCGAAGATGAGGTTGATGCGGTCGGGCTCCACGCCGCCCGCGCGCCGCGCCACCTCCGCCCGCAGCATCGGCACCGTCCAGCCGCCCAGCTCCACCTCCAGGGAGCCGGCCCACGCCCCGACCACGCGAATCCTCTCCGCCGCCGCCGCCGCCGCCGCCGGGGAGGCCTCGTCGGACGCCATCGGACTGATCGGGGTTGGGGGTTTTGGCTCGGCGTAGGCGGTTTTTGGTGTGTGCTCAACAGATTGCAACAGCCAAAAGGCAAGACGAACGGAACGGGATTGTCTATGGAGGAGACTTGGCACTCTTGACTTGGATAGAGTTCGTTTGGGCTAAGATTTCTGGTATACTTATTTATAGATGATTTATTTTGCATCAGATTTGGTGCATTTTTTTTAATTAAGAGACATGCTTTAAATTCTGATATGGAATTGTCGGCTCAGGTATGATCATATATACTTCTATACATCAATAATAAGCTAAAGGGTACATATTTACCTTCTACATATTCAAACAAATTACACTAAAACATAGGTTTTACGTATTATTATTTACTTGAGTGCTTGTATTGGTTGTTTAAAAAAAGATTGGAGATTAAACTATGGCCTTCCCCAAACCTATTTCAACACAACCACGTCATTATTGAGCCACATAAGGCAAGCGATAAAATTCTACATATTTTGGACTCAGATTTAGGCCTTTCGGCAACACTATTTCAAACGGATCTAGTTGTTTATCAATAAAGACTCGCGAAGCTCATGAGTATTTGTTGAAAAGCTTATGAAGTCTACTTTTTGTTGATTTTGGTCTCATTTCAAAATTTTTTCTAAGATGTACGTAATCATCCAAATAAGTTATGCACATCATCTAGTCCAAATTAGATTTGGGCCTTGGGCCTTGTGACCGTGTTGTGGGCTAAGCCAAAGAGGTGTGCGCTCTAGGGCTAACTCTAGGACACCTCTAATCGTATACATTCAGTAGTCGTCATCGCTTAGAGTGAGAGTTTTACTTATATTATTATTTTACAATCATGCAGTTTCACCGGTAGATCGATTTAAACAACCTCACCTTTGTGTGCCAATCATTCATTATCCTTGTTTTTGTGAATTTCTTCAATTATATTTGCAGAAACATAACCTTCGTGATAAGGTCAATTACTTGAGAGAGTGGTCAATAATGACTAAATGCAGATATAATAGTTGCGAGGTGACGATCGGCCGACCAGAAGCCTCCAAATCGAACCTATCGGAAGATCAAACACCTATTCACACCAGGTGGTATTAGAGCACAGTTTACCCCTTAGGTAATTCTTTTCTCCTTTATACTAGTGTTGTATCGACCTATAACCAGGAACAAATTGAATTCATTACCAAACCAATTTGAGTTGTTATATTTTCCTATTAGATTATGATTTGTTGAATTTTAGATTGCATTGTTGTATCGAGTGATGATTTTAGTCTTGATTTAGTTTGATCTTACGTCAGTCATCACTTTGGTCTAGGATTTATCCGTTTGTGAGCCCATTTGTTGGCAGCATTATTTCACATAATTTGAGTTGAGTTCAATTTGTGTATGTAGTTGTTACTGTTGGGACCCTCGAAAATTGAACCGTTGTTATCGGGTTTCCGTTTTGTTTTTACTTTGCAAGTTCGTGTTAGTCAAATTTCAAATTTGTAAGGTTACAAGTTTTGTGAGGATGAAGTCAAATCTCAAATTTCAAATTCCGTTTGGGAGCTTAAGATTCTGAGTCAGAAGCAACTGATTGTTAGTTAGTTTCTAAGAATATGAAAAAGTTAGATCATTTAGCTTTCAACTTGTAGTTTATTTTCTAGATTTTATAACTATAAATTATTTGATTATTTGATGTTTAATAATTTAAACAGTTTGAGGAGCTCAATATTCTGGACAGCTGCTAAAAGCAGACTAGTACTGGCTGTGTTTGAGATGAGATGAGAAGAGAAGATTGAGAAAATACACAAAGCGAGCGAGGTGAGCTATTAACACATGATTAATTCAGTACTAACTATTTTAAATTTTAAAAATAGATTCATATGATTTTTTTAAAATAACTTTCCTATAGAATTTTTTTTAAAAAATATACCATTTAGTAGTTCGGGAAGCGTGCGCGCGGAAAACGAAACAAACCAACTCACAAACTCCCACCGCCGAACAGAGGCCCCCTAGTAGATCTGTTGCCGTGGTAGTTTCAATCGGGTTATGTACTTAAGGTGTGTGTGAAACTCACGAAGATGAATATTAAGTTAGCGTATGTAAAACGAAAAAGCTATTAGCATATAATTAATTAAGTTTTAATTATTATAAGCTTGACAAATGAATATATTTGATATTTTAATATAACTTCTATATAAAAAGTTTTCGTACTAAACATATCATTTAGTTTGAAAAACATGCTAACAAAACTGAAAAACGTGCTAACAAAACTGAGGTAAAATCTACTCCATATGTTTACGAGAAAAGAACAGGCCTGAGTCTGTGATGGTTCTGTTGGAGATAGAAAAACTTCGAGTTCAGAAAGTTAAAAAACACGTTTGTCTCCCTGCGCAAGAAAGGAAGCATAAAGGAAAAGACACGTTTGTTTCTTACTCCCTGCGCAAGAAAGAGGGAGTCGAGAGTTAACTCGACCACCTCCACCGAGTCCCAACGTCCAGGACTCCGGGGCGTGTCGTCCCGTGTTCAGTTTTCCCTCATTACGTCAATCTTCCCGTCAGACACTTTCGTAGTAATTTCGTTTTGTCGGGTTTTTGCACAAACGGAATCCATGCGAAGTGAGCATTCCATTCTCGAGCGGTTGCGACATGAGGGATAGATGTCTCTATTTGCGACATGAGCATTCCATTCTCGAGTGTCCAATCTTCTGATAGGCCGGTTCGTTTTGTCCCGTGTTGATAGAAGTCTCAAAAAAACGTACGGAGTATAAACGTCTTTACGTTGTTAACTCGAACCGGCCTATTAGATTTAGACACTATCCGCATTAAAATCTCTATTTGTTTAGCTGAGTTTCTAATTTTAATCGACGTCTGCATCGAATTGTAGGTTGTTTAGTTTAGGATACAACACGCAAACAACGTATAGTCGTTTATTTTGTTGCCGTACTTATGATATGCTTGAAAAATACAGTTGTTTACCCTCATAGTCGATAATAAGTTATACAATTCCACACTTTTAGCTCTTATATACGAAGATTTGTTCTTCTTCCTTTGCTCCAAATAGATAAATTACACCCTTTGTGTTAAATATGTGATCCGAATTTTGGGCCCACAATATTATCGGATTAGTTTCCTAGTAGAAGTCCTATTAGGTGTCTTTCTTTTATCCCCTATATATACTCTTGTAAGCCGTACGGGAAGGGGTGACGTTCCCATTACGATTCCCCTACGTTTATAATCATCTCCTCTATAGTGATCATTGCCTGTCGGCGCCCGTGGTTTTTTCCCGCAAGGGTTTTCCACGTAAAATTCGTGTCTCCGTTGTACATCTATTTTTATAACAAGTAGTATCAGAGCATTGGAGATCGATCTACTGCAGTCCTGGCCACCGGCGATTTTTCCCGATCATAGAAATCGATCTAATCGGCGGCACACATAGTCGTGTTCGTCGTTCCGTCGAAATTCTGTTCGGCGAAATCCAATCCAAAGCGGAGTTGACTTCGTCCTTCCTACCGCGCAAGAATCAGAGCAGCAGCAGCGCACGCGTCAGGAGAGGAAAAGCAAGCAGAGAGAAAACCCTTCCATCTGCAGTGCACGTTCACCGAGGAAAAGTAGGGCAGAAGCCAGAAAGCCATCGAGATAGGAGCAGAGCGCTCCTGTACATGTGAATTTTTATTCACGTTGAAATTGCTACGCGCACACAAGCTTGTCTACCAGGAAGATTCAGATCTACACTACATGCACACGAGAAGTGTACCAGGTTTCGCGTTTTTGCTAGTTTACCCTAATTTCTTACTAGCAAATTTCAGGATTAATTCCCATGACGAGTTTGAAGTATGATCTACCGCTCCTGGACCGAGACACAAGATTCTCACTTTGGCAAGTTAAGATGCGAGCCGTTCTTGCACAACAAGAACTCGATGATGCGCTTTCTGGATTTGACAAGAGGACACAGGATTGGTCCAACGATGAGAAGAAAAGGGATCGTAAGGCTATGTCATATATTCATCTTCATCTATCTAACAATATTTTGCAGGAGGTGCTTAAGGAGGAGACAGCCGCTGGGCTGTGGTTGAAGCTGGAACAGATATGCATGACTAAGGATCTGACCAGTAAGATGCACCTGAAGCAAAAATTATTTTTGCACAAGTTGCAAGATGATGGGTCTGTGATGGACCATCTCTCCGCTTTCAAGGAAATTGTTGCTGACCTTGAGTCTATGGAGGTAAAGTATGATGAAAAAGATTTAGCCCTTATTCTATTGTGTTCATTGCCTAGCTCATATGCAAACTTCAGGGATACTATACTTTATAGCCGTGATACTCTAACTTTGAAAGAAGTTTATGATGCTTTGCATGCCAAAGAAAAGATGAAGAAGATGGTACCCTCTGAAGGTTCAAATTCACAAGCAGAAGGCTTGGTTGTTCGGGGTAGCCAACAGGAGAAGAACACAAACAACAAATCAAGAGATAAAAGCTCAAGTAGCTACCGTGGGAGATCAAAGTCCAGAGGCAGGTATAAGTCATGCAAATACTGCAAGAGAGATGGACATGATATCTCTAAGTGTTGGAAGCTACAGGATAAAGACAAGAGAACCGGAAAATATATACCAAAAGGTAAGAAAGAAGAGGAAGGTAAAGCCGCAGTTGTTACTGATGAGAAGTCTGATGCAGAATTGCTTGTTGCTTATGCTGGTTGTGCACAAACTAGTGACCAGTGGATTCTTGATACTGCATGCACCTATCACATGTGCCCGAATAGGGATTGGTTTGCCACTTATGAAGTTGTTCAAGGTGGTACTGTTTTGATGGGTGATGATACACCATGCGAGGTTGCAGGTATTGGAACAGTTCAGATCAAGATGTTTGATGGTTGTATCAGAACATTGTCAGATGTGCGGCATATTCCGAATTTGAAGAGAAGTCTCATCTCTTTATGTACTCTTGATCGCAAAGGGTACAAATATTCCGGTGGAGACGGAATTTTGAAGGTAACTAAAGGCTCTCTTGTTGTGATGAAAGCTAGTATTAAATCTGCCAACCTGTACCATCTACAAGGTACAACTATATTAGGTAATGTTGCAACAGTTTCTGATTCATTATCTAATTCCGATGCTACTAATCTTTGGCATATGCGTCTTGGTCATATGAGTGAAATTGGTTTGGCAGAATTGAGCAAGCGAGGATTGCTAGATGGACAAAGCATCAGTAAGCTCAAATTTTGTGAGCATTGCATCTTTGGCAAGCATAAGAGGGTGAAGTTCAACACATCTACACATACTACTGAAGGTATTCTTGATTATGTGCATTCTGATTTATGGGGGCCTGCTCGTAAGACATCTTTTGGAGGTGCTCGTTACATGATGACCATCGTTGATGATTATTCGCGAAAAGTTTGGCCTTATTTCTTGAAGCACAAATATCAAGCTTTTAATGTGTTTAAAGAGTGGAAAACTATGGTTGAAAGACAAACTGAAAGGAAGGTGAAAATCCTTCGTACTGACAATGGGATGGAGTTCTGTTCTAAGATATTTAAATCATATTGCAAGTCTGAAGGCATTGTGCGTCACTACACCGTTCCTCACACACCTCAACAAAACGGCGTAGCTGAGCGTATGAACAGGATAATTATATCAAAGGCCCGTTGTATGTTGTCTAATGCAGGTTTGCCTAAACAGTTTTGGGCGGAAGCCGTTTCTACTGCTTGTTATCTTATCAATCGATCACCCAGTTATGCCAATAAGAAGACTCCAATTGAGGTATGGTCTGGTTCCCCAGCAAATTATTCAGACTTAAAAGTATTTGGTTGTACTGCTTATGCTCATGTTGATAATGGTAAATTGGAGCCTAGAGCTATTAAGTGCATTTTTCTTGGTTATCCGTCTAGTGTGAAAGGCTATAAGTTATGGTGTCCTGAAACCAAAAAGGTTGTGATTAGTAGAAATGTTGTCTTCCATGAATCAATTATGTTACATGACAAACCTTCTACTAATGTTCCTGTTGAGAGTCAGGAGAAAGCAAGTGTGCAGGTGGAGCACTTGATCAATTCAGGGCATGCACCAGAAAAAGAAGATGTTGCTATTAACCAAGATGCACCTGTTATTGAAGATTCAGATTCTTCTACTGTTCAGCAGTCTCCAAAACGTTCTATTGCAAAAGATAAGCCCAAAAGAAATAGTAAACCTCCTCAAAGATATTGAAGAAGCGAACATAGTTGCTTATGCTTTGAGTGTGGTAGAAGAACTTGAAAAGAATCATACTTGGGAATTGGTGAAGTTGCCAAAGGAGAAGAAACATATCCGTTGCAAGTGGATCTTCAAAAGAAAGGAAGGTATGTCTCCAAGTGATGAGGCAAGGTACAAAGCAAGGTTAGTTGCTAAAGGCTATAGCCAGATTCCAGGTATTAATTTCAATGATGTCTTTTCCCCTGTTGTGAAGCATAGTTCAATTCGCACTTTACTCAGTATTGTTGCAATGCATGATTATGAACTAGAGCAAATGGATGTTAAGACTGCATTTTTACATGGGGAGTTAGAAGAGGACATTTATATGGAGCAACCTGAAGGTTTTGTTGTTCCTGGAAAAGAGAACCTAGTTTGTAGGTTAAAGAAAATCTCTTTATGGGTTGAAGCAGTCACCTAGATAATGGTATAAGAGATTTGACTCTTTCATGCTTTCTCAGAAGTTTAGAAGATCCAATTATGATAGCTATGTTTATCTCAAAGTTGTTGATGGTTCAGCTATATATTTGCTTCTTTATGTCGATGATATGTTGATTGCTGCAAATGATAAATCAGAGATAGCAAGTTGAAGGCACAATTGAGTAGTGAATTTGAGATGAAGGATTTGGGTGTAGCGAAGAAAATTCTCGGTATGGAAATTACTAGAGAAAGACATTCTGACAAGTTATATCTTAGTCAGAAAGGTTATATTGAAAAAGTTTTTCGTCGTTTCAATATGCATGATGCAAAACCAGTGAGTACTCCTTTAGCTGCACATTTCAGATTATCTTCAGATTTATGTCCACAGTCAGATTATAATATTGAGTACATGTCTAGAGTTCCTTATTCAAGTGCAGTTGGTTCACTTATGTATGCCATGATATGTTCTCGTCCTGACTTATCACATGCATTAAGTGTTGTCAGTAGATACATGGCTAATCCTGGCAAAGAGCATTGGAAAGATGTTCAATGGATTTTCAGATACCTACATGGTACATCTAGTGCTTGTTTGCAGTTTGGGAGATCTAGAGATGGACTTGTTGGTTATGTGGATTCAGATTTTGCTGGAGATTTGGATAGGAGAAGATCGCTCACAGGTTATGTTTTCACTATTGGAGGATGTGCTGTTAGTTGGAAGGCAAGTTTGCAAGCAACTGTTGCCTTATCTACTACTGAAGCAGAGTATATGGCTATTTCTGAAGCTTGTAAAGAAGCTATTTGGCTTAGAGGTTTATACACTGAGCTTTGTGGAGTTACGTCTTGCATTAATATATTTTGTGATAGTCAAAGTGCAATATGCCTTACAAAGGATCAAATGTTCCATGAGAGAACAAAGCACATTGATGTGAGATATCACTTTATTCGAGGTGTGATTGCTGAAGGTGATGTCAAAGTATGCAAGATAAGTACTCATGATAACCCAGCTGATATGATGACAAAGCCAGTTCCTGCTACTAAGTTTGAGCTTTGCTCAAGCTTGGTGGGTGTTACAGTATAGTCCTAGAGACTATTTGGCGTGCGGTGATTTTACCTACATGAGGTATTTTTGGTGATTGATGTTTTTATGCTACAAGAGGAAATTCGTCTCAAGGTGGAGATTGTTAAATATGTGATCCGAATTTTGGGCCCACAATATATTCGGATTAGTTTCCTAGTAGGAGTCCTATTAGGTGTCTTTCTTTTATCCCTATATATACTCTTGTAAGCCGTACGGGAAGGGGTGACGTTCCCATTACGATTCCCCTACGTTTGTAATCATCTCCTCTATAGTGATCATTGCCGGTCGGCGCCCGTGGTTTTTTCCCACAAGGGTTTTCCACGTAAAATTCGTGTCTCCGTTGTGCATATATTTTCATAACACTTTGTAAAGTAGGCGCTTTTCTATCCGCTTTTCTTCATTGGTGTCTCAAAAGAGTTTCTTCCACAGTTCCACTCTTGGCCAATGTAAGACTTCTATTTTATTTATAACAAAGCTAATTAAGGGATTATTAATTTGTAATGGTAACTGTGCATCTTCCACTCAGTACTCCTATTATAGATTTTGCAAATCGCACTCTTACAAACTTCTTAATATTAAAAAACAATCAAATCTGAATGGATAGATACATACTCCATAAAATAAGGACAAGTTTATTTTGTACCCTTCAACTATTATGTTCATATAAAATACATTCGTCGGCTATAAAACCAGACATCCAACACCCCTCACTTGTCAAAACCGTTCAATTACAACCCCCTCCAAACCAGTCCAAACAATAGTTTTTGCCTTCGTGGCAACTGAGGTGGTGGTCCCATCAACAACCATCTATTAGTCGCTATAATTTCGTCTCTTCTTTTTCGTCTATTCCTTCTATAACAAGTAGCAATGCACATGAGCACTGCCATCAAAGTTCTCAGCCACCAACGAAGTCCTTCATGCGCAATGTTGGAGCCGATATCCTCCTCGAGGACAGCCGTAGTCAGAATATTCTTAAGTGACGCTTCATCCACATAGCAAGGGATGGGAAAAGAGAGATTGGGAAGCTCAAGTTAAACCAACAATGATGGCCAACGGTGAGAGACGAGTGACCTAATAAGTCAAAGCAAAGTTAAAATTTAATTTTTTTTAATTTAATTTTAAGATATTTTCAATGCAAGTTATTTTTAGTGTTGGCTTTAAATCATTACGAACAATATATAAAAATTTTAACTACAAATTAAATTTTGTTTCCTAATAAAAAAGGATAAATTGGAACCATGCCATTATAATTTTGTAAAGTTTGAGATATGCCATCGGTATCTCAATGACATGTAAATGACATGTGGATCAGGATGGCATATCTCAAATTTTACAAAATTATAATGACATGGTTCCAATTTTCCCAATAAAAAAAAGCTTATTAAGAAATATGGCAACCGATGAGACTACGACTTACCATCTGACCTTCCCTGGCCTGGCCCAGCTATACTATTTTTAAAGTGGCCCATTCCAATTTTTTTCAGCCGTCCAGGCTACAGTTCAGGTTGGGCCACAACGCCCACACAGATTTGCGGCCTAATCGGAACCCAAGTATTGACAAGAACCAACCGGTTTTCTCTCTCCCCACAAAACAAAAACCTTTTCTCGGGACCAAAAATCCGGCTGGAAGCATGTCAAAAAAAAAAATCCGGCTGGAACTTGGAACCCCGACCCGAGCCCTGACTGCAATTTACTCCGACGTGACCACTGCACGACGAAGTGGGTGGCAGGTGCGGTGCAGCTGCAACAATGCTGTGCTTCCCCTCTCCCGAGGAGGAAGACGAGTGGGCCCCACCACCGACCGCCGCAGAGAAAAAGCCCATGTCGTCATCAAGCCCGAGGCGCAGCGGCTAGCCCATCTTGACCCACCCAGCCACACGCATGCGCACTTCTCCCACTCTCTCTCTCTCTCTCTCTCGCTCCAGTCGCCATCGCCACCCGCGAAAACCGCAGCGCGCGCCCCGAGGATGGTGGCCGCCGGCCGCAAGCGCCGGTCCCGGAGCGCGTTGGCGGTCGTTCCGGCGACGCCGTCGCCGCCGTCGCCGCCGCAGTTGACGTCGTTGCTGGCGCTGCTGGCGTCGTCGGTGTCGCTCGCCCTCAGGTTCGCGTCGGACCGGGACCTGCTGCTGCACCCGTCGCAGACGCTCGAGCTCGATCCGCTCGTCCTCGCCGCGGCGCGCGGCGTGTCCCGCCTGCTCGCGATGCTCCCGCTCCACCTCCAGACCCTCACGCTCACCTCCATGTCGCTGTCGCCGCCGGCCCCGTCGCCGCCGCTCCCATCCTCGTGGTTCCTCCGTCTCCTCTCGGAGTCGCACTCCCTCCCGGACTCCGCCTGGCGCGACGCGTTCCGCATGTCCAGGCCGGCCTTCTTTCAGCTCCTCCACTCCCTCGCGCTCTCCGACCCCGCCGCCGCCTCCTCCTCCTCCCTCGCGCTGCCGCCCGACCACAAGCTCGGCGCCGCGCTCTTCCGCCTCGCCCACGCCGCGCCCGCCCGCGCCGTGGCGCGCCGGTTCGGCCTCCCTTCCCCGGCCGTCGCCGCGCGCGCATTCTACGAGGTCTGCCGCACGATCGCCGACCGCCTCGCCATCCTGCTCGACCTCGGCGCGCCCGACCGCATCGCCCGCGCCGTCCCCGGATTCTGCGCGCTCTCCCTGCCCAACTGCTGCGGCGCGCTCGGCTACGCGCGGATCGGGGACGCCGTCATCGCGCAGGCCCTGGTGGACGCCGAGGGCCGCTTTCTCGACGTCTCCGTCGGGTGGGACACCGCGATGGCGCCGGCGGAAATCCTCCCACGGACGAAGCTGTACAGCTCTCAGTCACTGGTGCTCGCGAACGCTCCTCACGGCGAGCTCATCGGCGGCTCAGTGCCGCGCTACTTCTTGGGGCCAGCATGCTGCCCAATGCTCCCATGGCTCGTGACGCCGTATAATGACATGGACGCCAAGAATGGCATGTCCAAAGAGAGCATCTTCAACAATGTGCATTCACACGGGATGCGGCTGGTGAGGAATGCATTTGGGCATGTGCGATCACGGTGGCGGCTTCTTGACGAATGCTGGAAGGGTGAGTGCCAAGAGGCACTGCCGTATGTTGTGGTTGCTGGCTGTCTTCTCCATAATTTTCTCATCAAATGCGGCGAACCGGATCCTGAGGAAATTCAGGAAGGTGCCGCTGCGGAACTATTTTCGGACTTTGAAGGAGAGAAAGACAAGGAAGGAGAGAGGATCAGGGATGTTCTCGCCGTGCACTTAAGCCTGGTAAGCCGAAACCAGTGAAGAATTTATGTGTGCTTCACAGTATTTCGCAATGTACATAGTAGTCTGTAGTCCCCCAGCATCGCATGGAATGCTTATGCAACTAATAATACTAAGCCTCCATTGGAGCTGCTTCTGTCTAATATAGTTTTATCGGTTAATGAATTCATTTGACTAGCCAATATCTAACTTCATTAGTACTTATGACATAATAAATCATAAATGTTGGATCACATACCATGTCGAATGTAATCATACAAGTGTCACGCATAGTATGGTTGTCCTGTTTCTATTAGCTACATCTATAACTAGTCTTTATTTGCAAGTTATATGTTCTATTGCATATTTTCTGAGAGAATGTTCTACGGCAAAGACGGCATGTTTGGCATGTCCTGAATTACAACAAATTAGACTAAAAGTTAGAACTCCAGGAGCATTTTGTTCATTATGCTTACCATTTCACCATTTGCTTTAATCACTAGTTAGGCATGTTCTACACATATTCAAGTGGAGCTCGTAATGTAGCATTGTGCTCATTTTTAACTGTTCAACAATGATGTCAGGTATATATTCCTTTGTTCTCAACACTTTTAGAGTTTCAGTTTTCTTATGTCCACAAAGTCTGATAATATACAGTTAGGTTTCTAGTTTCTTCTGACTACAGTAAAGTAGTGCATTTTTCTGTCTTCTTATTTGACCTTTCTAGTTGAATCCAGCTGCTGAACAACTATATTCATATGTTCTGCTTTGCCGATGATTGTTATTGTGGGCTATGGAAATTTTGATTTGGAGATTGCCAATAGAGTTTTGAAAAAAAAATATATCTTCAGATAGGGCCTCCTCTCCATTACTCTGTTTCAGTGAAAAAAGTAGTGGTAGTCTCATACTCCCTACTTTGAAGCTTAAATTTATACCCTTTTCCAAACAACAATACTTGATCTCTGTGAAGTTTAAGCATTATACCTTTCAGCATAACTTAAAACTGAATATGATTCCTTACCATTTTTTTTTGTGGGAAAGGAAGGAATACTAAAGAACACTGAAGATAATGCAAGCGTTTGGCCTACTATATTACTCTTGCAGAGTTTATATGAAATTTTGAGTCGTGAATGTTAAGAGACTGAGACAGGCTATAATTCCCATGCATTTGTCAGTTCACTTTAAAACTAACCTCTAATGCTCCTGAATTACATGAAACAAGAATGTACTATGGTTTTAGGATACTGAGGAAGTTGTTACTGCAGATTACTTTAGATGCATACTGTAGCAACCAGCGCTGGATGCAAGAAATGTAGTGCAGTGATAGTATGTATTTATCTAATATCATTTTTGTTCTTCTGATTTTATTCTTCCTGTTAGAAGTTGCCATGATAACCAACACCCCCAACCCAAAAATAGAAAAAAAATCAAAGTCGCCGACTGTTAGCTATAAAATTAGTATTGTGACGCCATAAAGGAGATACTACTAGATAAGTACTAGCTGGCTAATTAATAGTTTCAAATTTGGATCGTGAAGGAAATGTTAGACCATATATAGTACTATATAGCTGTTCTGAACATGCTTCGTTTTTGTTACTGAACTAACAAAGGGTGTAAATGAAGTCCCATGCTTAGTAATGCTAAAAGATATGTAATTGTGAAGACAAAGTTGGGGAAATGAAGAACATCATATGACAGAGCATGAAGAAACAGAGAACAGAAGAACAATTGCGTACGGTATGCTCAGAAGTGACAGAGGAAATGCAGTTCAACAACGAATCACGGTAAGTAGAGAAATATCTTTTCAAATTCCCCTATATCTCCAACTCTGATCTATTATATTTTTTTAACCTTTTTAGCATAAGTAGCTTTGGGACCATTTTGTCCAATTTTTTCTCTAGATGTTTGCCATGAACTAACTACTATTGTGAATGAGTATTTTAGTAAGAGTTTCATGTTAGAAATCAATTCTGCCAGTACTTTCAACTCTAAAGAGTTTACTTGGGAAAGGGAAGCTATAACAGCTCTAATTTCTTTTTTGATGTTGAAACTGTCAAAACGGATATTTTTCCGATGGCTAGAGTTCATCATCCACTAGAATAATAATTTTGGGGGGTAAATTACGACAAATGCAATCCTTCATGGCTTGAATTGCACATTCCAGTTACCTCTGAAGTCAAAGTGATACTGTTTGCTTACATTTTTGTTTTCACTGCCCGTACATCCACAAAATCTACCAAAAGTGGCCTTACCGGCCGCAAATCACACCGCTGTAATGTTTGTGGTACTGTCTTTCTTAAATGGTATGAATTGGCGTACGGTTGTTTGGTTGGATTGTATTTACAGAAGTTTATCTGCAGTTATTCCGTCTACAATAGCACCATCTACCGACAACAACCAACCAGCAGGCTGTTTCCTGTGAAGCAGAAACACGACAATAAAAACTGAACAACTACAGTTTACACTAGCATGAAAACATAAGAGTTTTACTTACTCCTACGAGACAATCTCAGGACTTGGAATTCTGGTGGTTGTCAGTTTACTGTATGCCTGTGATTCTGTGTTCCTTTCTTTATGCCATGCACTCATTTCTTGTATACTCCACTTCGGGTGTGATTAGTTCACGCCAAAATTGGAAGTTTGGTTGAAATTAGAACAATGTGATGGAAAAGTTGAAAGTTTGTGCGTGTAGGAAAGTTTTGATGTGATGGAAAAGTTGAAAGGTTGAAGAAAAAATTTAGAACTAAACTCGGCCTTCATTCTGGTGGTTGGGAGAGTTTTTTTTTTTAAAACCTTGAAGCATCCCTGCCCTCATTTCTTGCATATCAGATTATACTGCCGCTTTACAAGCATCCAATATACATGGATATAATAAATACACATCCACACATATACGAAAGAAAAAGATGTTTAACTGCTCTATGATTACCAATCAAGCATGACAGTACGTCTGTACTGACGCAACCAAAACTTAGTATACGATCGTACTAACAACTACAAGAGGGCTAGTGAGCAACCTCCACTTAATTACTCCCTCCAAAATAAGTGCAGTTTTGCACTGTTCATCTCCAACGTTTGGCCATTCATCTTATTTGAAAGATTTTTTATGATTAGTATTTTTGTTGTTATTAGATGATAAAATATGAATAGTATTTTATGTGCGACTAATTTTTAACTTTTTTATAATTTTTTCAAATAAGACGGATGGTCAAACGTTGGACACGGATATCCATGACTACGCTTATTTTGGGAGGGAGGTAGTATTTGACAAAAAAACCATCAATTTCTGCTCTGAAGTCTGGAAGACAGCTAAAATTGGTGAGAGTTACAGTTGCATCCACAGATACACTGTAGCCACAGCCAAAATAAAATTACGGCAGGAGGCTCTTTAGAAATTTAGTGAGATTGAAGTATCTCCTTTTGTGTTATGGCCGGAGGCTCTTCAGAAATTTAGTGAATCGGAGATTCGCCACTAGTACCTCTTTTTTTCTGTTACGGCCGGGGACACGGACATGTAACGTGTATGAACCAAATATCACGGAAATTACTGAGGCATTGTTGATTTTCGTTGGCACGATTAATCGCAATTAACCACTCCATGTGCATTTATTGTACAGCAATAACCTCACCACGAGCTAGTCTACAGACAAGTGGAGCAACCCAAACCGCTCCCAATGGCGTGAATTGCTGTCGTCGCATCGGCACGATGCACCGTGCTTCCTGTACATGCAGCAATGGCGCCGGAGCAGTGCACAACTGTGCATGCAGGAGGAAGAAAGAGCACAGTGCTCGACCATTACCAAAGCATGGAGATGAACAAGCATTAAACCCTAACAGTAACACACCGCTGCATCCGCCGCCGGCGCCGCGATCACGCGCGGCATCGTCGTCGTTGCGCGCTCAGTTGGGCTTGAGGTCCTGGAACAGGCGGTCCCACCTGACCATGTCCTCACCGCCTTTCTCGCCGTCCTTCACGGCGTGCACCGTCGAGGCGGCCCTGCCGCCGATGGCCAGCACCGGCGACCGCATGGCTTTCGGTGTGGTGGGAGCGGCGGCGTCGGCGGCGACCTCCTTGGTCGACTTGGGCTTGGACCTGCTCCTCCTCGGCGTCTTGTCGACGTCGGGCTGCAGCTGCTGGCTCGGCACGAGCACGAGCGCCGAGGACGACTCGTCCTCCCGGCCCTGGACGACGACGACGACGAGCGCGCGCACGTACCTGGCGACGCGGTCGACGGCGGCGACGAGGCGCGACGACAGCGCCGCGCGGCGGCGGCTCCGGCGCGCCAGCTTGAGGATCTCGAGGCGGTGCTTTGCGACGGAGACGCCCATGCTGTGGAGGAACTCGTGGTCGAAGTAGGCGAGGTCGTCGGCCTCCAGCTCGTTGCGCGAGAACACCAGCGCGTACTCGTACGCCACCGCCTGGTCCAGCCTCGCCGCCGACAGCCACGCGTACCAGTCCATTCCCATCGCCTCTTCACTTCACTTCGCCGCCGCCGGAATCTTCTCCGCTCACGTGACTCTCTTCTCCGCCTCTGCCCGATCGGATGATCGGCCGGCCGAGTGACAAGTCGCCGGAATTTATAGCAAGCGAAGGATTGTACTGGCGAATCTGGGAACTGCGGGTGATCTGGGCCGTCCGTTTCCTGGAGTACGAATCGGACGGCAGCACGGGCAAGGGAACAGGTGAGGCTTGTGACTTTTGTCATGTACTAGGACTGTCTCCATGAAGGTAATCAATGCCTAAGCCTAACGGATAACGTACCCCCTACATCAGCAGATTAAATCGTATGTCGTCTCACCATGAAGTTTTCTCCATATGTTTCGCCAAATGCAGTACTCCTAGTAGTAGTAGGTAACATGTGAACTGTTTGTAGATGACTAGATCACACATGCTCTACTGAAGAAGGTGCATTGCATTTGCTTACTCCAAGTCTGCACGATGGTCACAAATTCTCAAATTGTTCATGAGATCTCAAATTCTCAATTATTTCAGTTTTCAAGCATGCATAGCATAGTCCAATCTGTAGTAAGAAACAACCAAAGTATGGCCTATCCGACTGGTCTACTCCCTCCGTACCAAAAAAAAAAAAGACAAACTATGATTTCCGTGTCCAACGTTTAACCGTTCGTCTTATTTGAAAAAATTATGAAAAAAATTAAAAAGATAAGTCACGCATAAAGTATTAATCATGTTTTATCATCTAACAACAATAAAAATATTAATTATAAAAAAATTTTATATAAGACGAACAGTTAAACGTTGGCACGGGAAACCAAGGTTTGCCTTTTTTTTGGGACGGAGGGAGTACAAAGCTTACAGAGTCACGGAGAAGCAAAACATCTGAACACTGAAATCCCGAACACACCATGATTTGTCCTTTTCCCTTGCACGATGCAAACCTGTTTTTAGTCACTCATCACTCCCCCTTTCTTCTTAATTCTGGCTGGACAATATGGCTGTTTTATGTACAGGAGTAACATTTTTTTTACCACTGATCAAAATCGAGCAAAATTAACTTATCTGAATTCAAAATGTTTGTTTGGAATATCTGTTTTTTGTTCTTGATTTTTTTAGTGGTTAACCTCGCATTTTCTCTAGCTTAAGAGAGCAGCTAAACATTTTCTTTTTTTCACTTCCAAAATATACTCGATATTGACATCATTCACATCATATAGTACAAATCACCAGATCAGATTGATGAACAGGTGCGGGGCATGGCTGCCATGGCAGGCATGCCATATTGCGATGTACAGTATCACTCTTCACATCTACCTGCCGAGCCCGAGCGAGCGCCGCCGCCGCTGCCGCGTGTGCACCATCCAGAAGACGATGGACATCATGACGGCGCCGGAGATGAGGAGCAGGCCGAGGTAGACGTGCCGGCTGTAGAGCTCGAGGCCCGGGCAGTTGTTGTCGCTGATCGCCGTGAACGTCTCCCGGACGAAGCTGCAGTCCTGGAGCTCCATCAAGAACGGGCCGTACTGGTACAGCCCCTGGCTGATGCTCGCCGCCGCCGTCATCTGCCCGTACGCCGCCGGCGTCACCCTCCCCTCCGTCGCGCACACCTCGGACCCGGGCGGCCCGGTGGTCTGGCACTCGAACTTCTTCCACTCCGCCGCCGCGGTGTCGAAGTTGACCTCGCCGGGGGCGCATTTCCGGGGGCTCATGTCCGGGTTGAAGGGGTCGCAGAGCTTGGGCATCAGCGGGCCGGACTGGTTGATGTAGAGCGGCCGGAACGACGGCGGGAAGTCCCTGTTCGAGATGTTGACGATGACGTTGTTCACCAGCGCCACCAGCTGCACCGTCACCTCCTCGCTCCGGTACATGGACTCGTTCGCCGTCGCGACGTCGACGCAGGGGAGGATGTCGTCCAGCGCCGTGTGCGCCTGCGGGTGCGTCACCCAGTCGTCCATGGCCACGCATGTGTCGGCGACCACGCTGCCAGCCCAGTTCTGTCAGTGTCAGTGCCTGAACACGCTGCGAATGCATTTCTTCATCGGAAAAATTCAGGCTTACTTGTGCAGGAGGAGGAAAGCAGCAGACATCATGATTGTGATGACGAGAACGAACCAGCCAGCGATCACCAGCCTGCATACATGTGAGATGGGAGTTTGTAAAGATTAGCAAACAACAGGAACATATTCAGTTACAGTAATTAGCTGCAAATTAGAACAGCTTTTCTTACAGGGAAACAAGAAACCGCAGCCCCAGGATGGAGAAGACTGCACGGGAAAAAAAAAAGAAGCCAAGATCAGTTGCAAGTGAAGCTTTGACAGTACAAGCAGAATCAAGTCAAAGATTGGTTAATGCTTACGGAATCCGAATATCGCAAGGCCAAGCATTACAGCTGCAATAACCATCAAATTGTACTGCCTAAAAGGAACAAAACAAAAGGGAAATCACAATGAATACGTTCAGATTTTTCCAGGTAAAAGTTCAGTGCTGATTGGGTTATTACGCAGCCATCATACGCACATCTTGTCCATCACATGCTTGATCTTCTTGGAGTTTTCGAGCGCGCGCGTGGAGAACTCATTTGCAGAAGAATTCAGCTTATCCTCGATGACGTCGATCTTCTGCTGCACTTGAACTGGTAGGAAGACCTGATCCACCCCGATGTTCTTGGCTGCAGCCAAGCTACCTGAGAAGTTCCTCAGACTATCCACCGTCAGATTGCCTTGTCCGACAATGTAGTCCACGGTTTTGATCGTGCTACTGTGGAATAGCTCCTGCCCACAATGCAGTATGATACATCCGGCTCTGAAATTAATCACCAAACGGAGAACAAAAGGAGAAAGATTCTTCATCAGTTCAGTTCAAGGCAAGAACGATCGATCAAAGTAATGGCGAACTGGAGATAAGAACTGAAATATGGTTTAAGAGTAATTACATTGTGGCCAAGGTGAATATTATGAGGAGGATCAGCGAGATGAAGTAGGTCGCCGGCGAGTAGGTGTTGTACTTTTTCCGGCAGAAGCAGCAGCAGCAGGAGATGATGAGCAGGACGATCCCGAAGACGATGAACCACAGCATGCCGACGAGGATGAGGGGAACCGCGGTGTATGCCACAGACTGCACAAGGAACAGAAATGCACAAGATCAAAAGAATTAATGGTCACATGGAGAAGCAATTAATTACTGAATTACAGGAGTAGGAAATAATTGAATTGGTGTACTTACAGCCCAGTAATGCTGGTCGCTGATGTTCCAGCCGCCGCTGTACATGGTGAGGTTGGCGAGGGGGTCTCTCCGGTGAGTCCTCGCCGCGGCCAGCGGAAGAGATTTGGTTCCTGGATGAGCAGCGTCAGCACCGGCTCCCGGCGACGGTGTCTCGACGATCAATCGCCTCCATGTAGCCAGCAACCCACTTCTTCCTTGCTCATCTGGATGTCACCATGGTGCAAGTCACGAATTGCAACAGACTGATCAGGCTTGAAGAAGGAAGCCATGGTCGATGGATACGCTATCTGCACGCACCTGACATCAGAACACGGCTGGATACCTCGAACCCAGCATCCGAGACGCAGGCGTTGGCGAGGAACAAGAGCAGAACGACATAGGCGACGCCGCCGACGCCGCCGCCGATGAGCGAGGTGGCCGGCGGCGCCATGGGAGAATTCTTTTACAGGAGACCAGACCAAACCAGATCGATCGATCTTTCTTCTGCCACAGAATCCAATTTCACGTCCTCAATGGGGAATCGATCTCCTCCAGTCCTCTTCTGCGATTGCTCCCGTTACCGCACCATTTTCGGGAGCTCGGCGATGGCAATGCGCGAGGAGACGAACCTCCAGGGTGGGCCCCGCGGTTTGCACCCGCCAAAACTGGTCCATAAATAGCAGCAGCGCCAGGCGTTTCTGCATGCAGCTTTGCTTTCCTATTTCCGGTCAGTCTTACGGGAGGTCAAACAGATACGTCGCACGTGTAATCTGGCCCAATCAGCCCATTGTGGGCCTAAATGGGCCTACCCAATGGCATCCGGCCCATGAAAGCCTGGTGGAGTTTAAGTTGGGCCTAAAGATTAATGGGCCAAGCCGGAGTGTACACCAATTCAGAACTTGAGTTCAGAAGTAAATTTCTTCGTTTTGTGACTTCAGAATTCTCCTCCGATCAATCGACCTAAATTTCTGAAAGAAGATAAAACAAGGAAATGATTGAGGGTATGCACAGGTCAACATGTGTATCCTCCACCGAAATCCAGCTAAATATATTCAGGAAACAGTTTGAGTTTTTCGGTTTGTCGTGAGCATTCAGTAGGGGTTATCAAGTCTTCTGGTCGAGTAGAAAAATCGAGGACAGGATGGGCGTGCACTGAATACATACATATCCGTCTTGTTTCATGTGACTCCTCACTAATTTTCGTCTCCAATCGATCAGGCTTCAGAGTGACGACTGATGACACGCAGGCAGGCAAGGCAAGGCAATCATCAAAATTGTCAGCTGGTTGTCAGCATACAGCCTACAAGAATAACTCAAGCACAGAGAAAACAGTAAACAAAAAGGCCGCGTCAGAAACTGAAAATATATATAGGTTGCTGCCACAAATGTGCATGGTGCTTCGTCTCTACACTATCTGCTGCTGCAACTAGAACAGTACACATTCCAACGCATGAGACCATGCTGCGACAGAAGAGAAGTGAAGGCCTAGTTAATCCCTGTTCTGCGAGTCTGCGACACTGCAATTCTGTAACGCGATCGATCGAGTAAGAAAACATCAGAAACTTACAGTGGCATACTGGCAAGCATACGTGCTCTGTGCCGTTTACTTCAGGCCCATTGTATACTGGCGCTACTCTACTCTCTCACTCTCTCTTTTTTTTTCACTGCACTTCCAAGTTCCAACGCTTGACAACAACCGGCTGACAGGTTCATAAGCTGGTAGCATGACAATTGACAAGTTGCCAACGTCGTAATTGTGTGCACGCAGCACACCTTACATCCTTGAGCACAAAGCAAATTAGTTAACGGTTAACCAGGCACTTTATTGCTCTTCGGTCAAGTTTATCATATATAACAAAAAGAAATTTTATAATATTGTGCTACAAATTTCTTTTAACTTGTGTATTCCCTCTGGCTCCGGCTTTTAATAGATGAAATCGTTGACTTTTAAATAACGATTTGTTTTATTGAATTATTTGTACAAATATGAAAATTAAAAATAATAAGTCATGCTACATTTAATGAGAAGCAAGTCACCAAATATAAATAATAATATTTTTTTAATAAGACAAACAATCAAACATATGTTTAAAAGTAAACTACACCATCTATTTAAAACCGGATATAGAATAAGAATTAAATAGTGAAAGTATGTGACATAAAATTAAATTTGTATATTCATATCCTTAAATACCTATTTATCAACATGCTCTTGTATCACATAAATGGTGTTTTAATTAATAAGATTAGATACTTTATTAAAGAAACAAAATACTCTCTTATATTTTAGAACGGAGAGAATAGTGCATTTTATATTTTGCAACGGTGGGGTTATTGGCTTTGAAGAGTCAAGAAACGGTTTGTGAAGACCGGACGTCCAACCGGGCGGCGCGCGAGTCGGCGTCGACGGCTACGGGACGGATGGCGCTTCGCTGTCTTGCCGGCCGGCCGCCTCTCGCGTCGCACGGCGCTGGTCTACCACGCGAGCGCTGCAGCCTCCGGCGCCGGCACGCCGTAGCCCACTTGACATCGCCATCTCGCCGCGGAGTGGCCGCCGCGCGACGAGAAGAGATATGCATGGATCGGTCGGCGCACGCAGATATCTCGCGCCTCTCGCCGGACAGCGATGTCTCGCCGCCGCGCGCGCGACAGCAACGTGTGCCAGGGTCGTCCATGCATGTAGCCGGCCATATGCATGCGCATCCATGATCCGTCCGCTCCAGCCGGCGACACGAGCCAACACGTACGGGCCGCGCCCATTACGCGCGTCCTGCCGCAAACCTTGGCTAACACACCCGGCATGCATGTGACAAATTCTCTCACCAACCCATCCATCTCTTAATTAATAGTAGTATCTACTACCTCATTCGTTCCAAATTATCACTCTATCCAAAAAAACAAACTCTAACTACAAATCTGAACACATATATATCTAGGTTCACAGCTAGTATAGGACCTTTTTTTAGACGGATGGGTATAAATTAGGATGTAGCACTACATATGTTTAGATTCGTTATACGTAGTGTCACATCATTTCAGTCATTGTTAGTTTTTATGTGAGGTTTGACTATTTGTCTTATTAAAAAATTATAAATATTTATTCATTCGATCTGTTGTGACTTATTTTATCATAAAGAAACTATAATCTTAACTTGTACTTTTACATATTTATACTAAAATTTTAAATAAGATAAATAATCAAACGTTAAATGAAAATTAACAGCATCGTATATATTTTTGGATGGAGATAGTATGATTAGCATGCTGGAATATAGTACCAATCATGATCACTCGCGTCACAAGTAGAATTGGTGTGCAACTTAATTAACCGGTCTACTCCATCTCACTGAGTGAATATAGTATCATTGGACTTTTGGAGTGTTCTAAAAAAAAAAGACTTTTGGAGAATGTCATCAAGAACAGAAAAACGAATTGACGAATGGGAGAGATCTCAAACGAGCTACGGAGTAATTAGTTAGCTAGCTAGCGGTCAAAATGGCGGTGTTACACAGGCGCGCATGTTACATCCGCGGGATACACGAGAGAGACGCCAAGCTTTGTAGTATCATCTTCTTCACAAAAGGTGCAGCATTTCCTGCAATGCTGTCCCAGTATCGGTCACTGGCTGTACGCACTACTATTCTATTCGATGATCAGGACTCGCGCTGCTAGCTAAGCTAATTATACTTAGCTAATACTAGCAGCTAGCTATGGCTAAGCTATAGCTAGCTAGCTAGCTAGTAGCTAAACTGCTAAACTAAGCTAATACAGCAAGCACTAAGCCAGTGAAAGTACCAGCTTTCTAGCTAGTACTGCGTGCGTGCGTGCGTGCGTGCCACTCAGTTGTGGATCGGCGGCTTTCTCGTCGCCGGCGAATAGTCCATTCCGGCGATGTCGAGGATGTCAGGGTACGTCGTCATCGTCGCCGTAGCCGTCGACGACGTCTTCTCTTGCTGTCGCGGCGCCGTCTCCTGCTCCTGCTGATTGGCATCACCTGATCTCTCTAGGCTCTGCAAAGATATTCACATCGCCGGAGGTAAGTTAATCCGTTCCATTTTCATGCGTGACAAGACAAGATTGCTCAGCTGAATCTCCGAAAGCCTGCAGGGAGTGCAGTGTACTAGTGGACTGACCTGATTCTGCTGCTGCTGCTTCGCTGCTGCGCCTGCCTCAGCCTGCACCACTGGCCTTTGTACCTTTCCTGCATCAAACGTCGTAAAAGAACAGTCGGGTTAAAGCTGCCAGAGGAAGGTGAAAGATGCGAAAAGCTGCAGCTAGCGTCACTAGCAATTTTACAGTTTACAGCCGTTTTACAAGATCCCAAATGTTCATTCATGCCGGTTCGGCGACTGTGGTGCTGAGTTTCTACTGTGGGATCTCATACTGTTCTGACATCACTGACTAGTAGTATCGTTACTGCCCGGAATCGATCGATCGAACTGTGGGCCACGCACGGAAACCGATGCATGCAATTAGCAGAGATTATCCGGAAGAGAGCAGTGAGATGAATGAACTAGACTCAAGTAGCACACGGTACTAATGATCATAGCTAGTTGGTGAAGAACTACATAATACTTCTCCCTTTACATTTTCCAGCCAAAACGCAGCATCGATCTAGGAGAGAAGAACTACTACGGATCACTACTAAGAAAGTAAGCTGCTGCTGCTAAAATAGAAAAGGGCAAAACTAATTAAGGCGATATGTAGCTAGCTAGCTGTGCTTAATGGTGATTAGGTTCATGGCCACTTGGCCCGTAGTAATCTTCATGGAACCTTGGTACAGACCGAGCAATCGCACTGACCACTTCGCTATCCTTCGCAACAACAGAAGAACTGGGAATCGTCTGCTCCATTGTACCTGAGTTGCAATGCCCATCGGATGTGCAGTGCTTGTTCATCAAACGAGCTGTATTTAGTGATTGCTCGGCCTTTGAGTCACGCATGATCTCCTGCTGGAACAAAGATGCAAAGAAATGAGCAATCTTTGAGCATTTTGTTTCTGACAGGAAGAACAACTTGGAATTGCTCATATATTAGTACTCACCTTGTTGTTGATTGCTTCATGTAACTGCCTGTCCAGCCTGATCCCTGCATTTTCAGGAGCACAAAGAAGCTTTTCAATGATCACTCCAAGTGAAATTAATACACCACTGATCGGTGAACCAAACAAACGGAGAAGATTGATGGGTGGCTGGCCATGAATGGCATACATACCATGTGCTCTTGTAGCCAAGAGGAGGAGGAGAAGAGAGGCCAAAGCCAGCAACGAAGTCCTCGTCCGTGTGTGCATATTCAGACAAAGCTTTGTCCTGACAGGAGATGAAATGGTGTACTATATGCAATGAGAAGTGAGCAGAACAAGGCCACGAGGGTACTGAACTCAGAAGAGAATGAAAGGATTGGAAGCAGCTAGGCCTAAGACGAAATGGACTGAGGGGGCTTGTATTTATACAGAAGCAGTGGTCTCTCCTAATCCTATGGCCCACTGCACAGTCATATACCAAAGTGCCAATTAGGACAGAGCTTAGAAAACAATTAGGCATAATGCCAGCTTAGCTTAGTTGTAATTCTTTATTCAAGCTATGTGTCTTGATTTTCGGTTGGCTGTCACTTTTTAAGGAAGGATGTTCCCTCAAAACTTGGTAGTACTTGTTTATTTTTACCTTGTGTGTCCTGATCTGAATTCAGTTATAATACCAGGATTTGTCCTTGTTACTTTCTCCAAATTCCCCTGTAGCTGCTCAGTCTTACCAGCAGTGGCAGCATTAGCATGGTCCCAACTGCTTGCAAGTTTGGTTAATTAGCTTATTACCACTGTCTGTTAAAAATCAGATATTCAGAAGGCGTCAAGTGCTACATACTCTACTGAAATACTCAATTTATCTGTCTCAACTTCTGTCACTATCTGCTGACGAAGTAAAAAAGAAGTCCGGGGTAGTTCTGTTCTAGATTGACCTGAACATCTGAACTTAGGTTGACTTCAATCAACCAGCCTCATGAATTAGCAATTATATTGCCATATGTTAATTGGCACTAAGTACAGAGTAACAACCAGATAAACTAGTCGAACTGTTTAATTAACTTTTTTTTAAAAAATCAATCTGAAGTACAGTATAGATCAGTTTTCTTTTGACTATATATTCTGAAAGGTTGCCAGGTAGCAATATGACATATGCATGATGATACTTACGTAATAGCCATTCCTGATCATTGCGGTTGAACACATGATCATTGCGGTTGATTAGCGAGAGAGGGTTGAACACATGATCATTGCGGTTGAATACTTGCGTACGGATAACACGTCGCCGTCGTCTCATGATCGTGTCGACCCCGATCGTGCAATCCGGAGGAACACGACGTACTGTTATACGATCACAACGTGACAAACCGCACCGTCCTACTACGCCACGCTCGCCAGCATGCGAGGCCACGCGCCGCCGCTGTCACGACGCCGACGTCCACGACGTGTAACGCGCAACGAGAAGCTCGCGGCGAAAGATGCACGGAGCTCGCGCCGCTGTCTCGCTGGCGACTCCTGGCCCGGCTATCCCAGCTGTCGTACACACCGGTAGCTAGCTGCCGGAGACGCCCCTTTCGACAGACGGGCCGGCCGGCAGCGTCGCCACCACCGCGAACTGTTTGGCCCGCCGGCGTAACGACGTGTCGAGGGGCGCGTATGTAGGTAGGGCCACGCACGCGCGCTGGGTGTCTGTGGACGCGGACTTTCCCGGCCAATTGCCTGCCTGAATATAGCAGCCTATGCTCGGAAATAACCGGCGCGTCAACGAACGAAAGCTGCGTAGCTAGTTCAAGGCCGGTGTCACGTAGGTCCTGCATGTTCGTCGTTCACCGCCGCGATGCTACGCGCGTGGTTCAATTATTCAACGATCGAGGAGTATGACCTTTCTTGCCGACGGTTCAGCCAGCGGCCGGCGCGCGGTGGCATCTCTCGTGTGAGCGACGTCGGTCCATCCCGGCGCTCGCTTGCGCGCGCGCACGCCGCCCTGTCGCGCGCACGGCCTCGCGGGCACGCGCGGCGGTTCGCTTCGCGATCGGCAGCGACCCCGCTGGGTCTCGCGGTCGCGGACATGTCCCCGGCCCGCGGCGTGGCGCCATTACTGCGCTGCTCCATCCGTGCCGTGCAGCGCAGCCACCGCCCGCGCGGCGCGTACATACGTGCCCGCGTGCGCGTGGCCCGCCACGTACGTATAGAGACGATCCGTCTCGCGCGACGCGAGCGAGCAAAGCCGTGGTACGGCGACGGGAAACGACAGGTAGGGGACGCGTGTCGTAGCTGCCGGCGGCCGGAGTAGAACCGGCCGACCGGCGGTGGCCGTGGGAAGCGGCAGGAGAGACCATTCTGGTGAGGCTGTCGGCTACCAAACGGATACCAACACCGGCGACGTATGTTGCTAGCCTGGACCAGTTCAGGAAACGGGTCACATGGTTGATATATCGTCAGACCTACTCGCTTCTTTCTCATTACGAGAAATCAATGTCGCAGCAGCAACATGGTCATACTCATACATACTCCCTTTGCCAAAAAAAAATTAACTTCAAGCTATAAATCTGAACATAATCTATGTTTAGATTCATAATCCAAAGTTTGTTTTTATGGAACAGAGGAGGTATGTAGCAGCTGCCATTCCAAACATTGATGAATCGTATATGGATAATTCTCCATTCGATCAGGAGGTGTATGCCCGGACCCGGTTGCTACGGAAACAAAAGACAGGTTTGGTTGTCACAGTTGAGAGTTGCTGCACAAAGCAGCGCAATTAAGCCATTAAGGGCAGGTGAGCACCTGCCTCCAACTGACAGGTTTTCGGCAGCTAAACACTGGAACATCTCGTTGCCATGATAAAGCCCCAGCAGAAGGTACAGACTACAAACGACAAAAGAATACTGCAGCTAGGCGAAGTATGGGTACTACTAGTGGTATGCATCTTCTCTTGCTGGCTGTAGCTTCATTGCTCCTGAACTGTTCGTGAATCCTCCAGTCCCCATGCAGCTTAAAAATTAAGCTATAGATTGCGAAGCCATCAACTTCGGTAGCTGCAGCACCGAGAATTAATTATCAGTGTCCAGTATCCTCCTAGCAAAGTCATGATCTTACCACCATCTGTAGATCTGTTGATGTCACTCCCTCGCCTGCTTTCTTCTGCTCCCTGCACTTGACATGTTGCACAAAAATATGTTATTCAAGTGATATTTCTGAATATGGTACCAACTTTCAAGAGCTTCCAGACGGCTCAAATGAACGGTGTTCCACATACTCCATTGATATTTTACAAGGACATTCCTAAATTAGAGTTTAAGACATTTCTTCTTTGCATTTGTCCTACTTTGCTGTAGATATTCGTGTCAATTCTAGTTTATCCCTTGTTTGTTTTACCATGTCGTGTTTGTTTAGTGCACTGAGGAAATAAAATCTAGTATGTCGCATTAAGCTGTTTGCTAGCCTGTGGCACTATATCATTTCGTTTTCCATACCAAGATAAATCTCAGAGGCCAAGGAGACTGCTGCTAGTACCAGTGCACCCACCCCTAACAACTGGTTTTGCTTGATTTGACAGAAGACTATCACCTATTCCAACAAGGTTTGAAGTTAATTGTAAAGTAAACATATGATTCAGCATGACAAGCAAATACTTTCCTGTAACCTCCTTTTGGCTTTCTATAAAAGGCGGGTCTGATGGCCTTTGATTTTTTTAAAAAAACTTTGCTCTAACCTAGCCATCAGGAAACCAGAATCACATGGAAACTAATAACCGCAACCCTGAGAAAAGCTACTACACAAGTTTTGAAGTTTTTGACCATTTACACAGTGCAATGAATATCAGAAGTATAATTGGTCCAGTTGGGATATTCGAGAATCACCTGGAATACTTGTGTTAAATTCCTCCAAATGATGCAACAAGAAAATTGGGCAGGCACGAAGCCGTCTGCATGTAAATTTTCCTAACTGGACAGAGTGACAGAAATGGCAAGGAGAACTCCACTAGAGGGGAAAAAGATCACTTTTGAGTTCAAGAAACTAGGAATAAGAGCATTTTGTTCCGATTCAATCTGGTCTTCAAGTTAAGTTCTATCACATCAAGGGCCAGTAAAAAGATCGTCGAATGAACAATACTTCATATATTGTTTCCAATGCAACAACAGTACGTGTGTAGATAGTACCCAAATCAAAATCAAGAAGACTGTTAACTTCAGTGCCAAAACAATATGTTTAACTATAATTTGTATGAACAAGTCATGACTCATGAGTCTTGTACGCAAGAGATGCCGTTGTTCTTACCTTTAGTTATGGCATGGGATGTCCTGTCCTTAATATCATTCATTAGTTCGGTAAGATAACAACCAAGAAGTAACTGCAATATGGGTGCTACCACTGTCACTGATTTCATTTCAGTTCAACACAAAATTTATTATTTATGACCCCCTGAGACAAGGTTGTCTGCTTTGAGAAATATCAGCATGTCGTAATTTCAATTGACCACGGTAATCATATAGATCTGTGAGGAGCAATAGCTCTCCGAATTCACACTAGTGCCCACTTCCCAGGTGTCCTCAGCTTGGGCAAACATTCCATTATTGAGGGATATCATCATAATTCCTGCACATATGATATGACCATGTCCATTAATGCTTGAAGAAAAGCAACAATAAGCACACTGCTGAAAAAAACATCAGACCGTAGCTCCTCTTTCGCATGTTTTACCTGTGGGCAGCTGTGCAATAGTTGAGAGGAAATGCAATCTTTTACTTCAATGTTAAACTCATGTGCACCACAAATCAGATCTCCTTCAGACTTTCAACACAAAGAAGCCTATCTTTAAAAGAAGATCAGCATAATCTTAGTGATAACCAGAACATGTTAATACCACTGCTCTCAGTAATCAAACTATTAAAGTACGCCACTCAATGCATTATCACTGTCAGACTCTGCTCCCGGAATCTTAGTCCCCAGTTCCTTCCTTGGTTTGGGTGATAATCCCTTTGAAAGCATCTCCTCATCATACTTTCTAGCTAAGTCCACCATTCCCTTCTGCAGCAATGCATCAATAAGGGAATTGTAAGCAAATGCATCTGGGCTGAGTCCTTGCTTTTCCATTGCCTTCCACACAATGAACACTGGCCTAAGGAATCCCCACCGCCCAAACCTCTTGATGAGCATGACATATGTGTCCATCCTTGGCCGACAACCCCTCTCGAGCATTTTCTCAAACAGTCCAAGGACCTCCTGAGGCCGGCTCAAATATTGGAAGAAGCAATGGTAAGTGAGCACATTGGGCTCAATCCCAAACTTGTGCATCTGTTGAACAAATGCATACCCTTCCTTGAACCTCCCTTCCTTGCATAATAATTTAACAATCGTATTAAAAGTGGAAGCATTTGGCTTGCAACCAGCATCAACCATTTGCCTATACAACCGAATAGCGAAATCGACTCCCTGTGCAAGCCCAACTGAATGGATTGCAGTATTATACGCAACAACATCGATCGCCATGCCCTTCTGCTTCATCTCCTTGAACACCTTGAAGGCCTTCCACGGCTTGCCTGACTTCGCAAGGGCATCCATGTAGATGGAGTAGGAGTGGAGGTCCTTGGCAACACCGCGGCTATCCATGTCGAACCAGAGTTGGCGGAGGCGCGCCCAGGCGCGGGTCTTAGCCCACCCCCGGAGGAGCAAGTTGTAGGTCTTCGTCACCGGCGGGAATGGCGGCGGGTCCTTGCCGAAGCATAGGTGGTGGGCCTCGTCAACGCGGCGGTGGTCGCAGAGCGCGTCGACGAGGGCGTGGAAGGAGGCCTCATCCCGCAGGCCGATGGAACCGGCAGTGGAATCGAACGCGCGGATGGCGTCGTCGATGAGATTGGCGGCGGCGAGGCGGTTGAGGAGGGAGCGCAGGGCGGGGCGGAGGAAGGACGGGTCCGCGCGCCCCGGGTCGTGGTGGGAGACGAGGAGGGAGGTGGCGAGCGGGAACTCGAAGTGCTTCCCGAGGACGTCGACCGCGCGGGCGACGGTGGCCGGCGTCGGGGGCACGTTGGCGCCGTCGGGGGAGGCTGACCAGTGGAAGAACTCGAGCGCGCGGCGCCAGTCGTTGGCGTAGAGGGAGAGCGTCTCGAGCACCGCCGTGGCGTCGAGAGGAGAAGGCGGCGTGGCGGCGACGTCGCCGGCTGGCGTGTGCAGGGTGGAGAAGGGGAGGCCGTGGCGGCGGCGGAAGAGGGAAATCATCTCGCGAGATGGTGACGGAGGCGAAGCGCCCGCGCGTAGCACCCCTTGCCTAAACACCTCTTCAGTCCTCCCCACGATCTCGTCAAAATCGCGTAAAAATGGGCGTTTCGCTCATGAAAACATGGCAAATTTCGTAGCCTCCACACTCCATTCACGAGATGAGAGGAATAAATCGAAAGATAAGCACATCGACAGCAGCAAACCCAACCTGAAGTAAACACAAACACAAGAGGATTTAAACTTCTGCATAACTTCTTTTTCTTTTTTCCGAAAGGAACTTCTGCTTAATTTCTGTATGCTATAGATGGGATTTAGCAGTGCAAGACTAAAGTACATGTACTCCGTGATGGTTCTTGCGTGGTTACAAACTTACAGGGCTTTTACAAGCAAAAACTCTGCTGGCTGTTTTTGAATTTTGTACATAATCTACATGATGCCTCCAATCCACAACTTAATACATGCAATTTCAGTGTGTTTCTTCTTGTTAGTCAGCTTCATCGACGGCAAAATCTGGTTCTGGAGGCTTTGGCAATCTCACAATTGTCGGGCTGGCCCTGCTTCTGAGCCTGTGAACTCCTCGGAGTGCATTAGCTGCAAAGCGAGATGCGTAGATGGTTGCTGCGAGGCTAGGGTGGTGGCTGCTGCTGCTTTGCCGGTTTGCAGCCTCTTCTTCCTTGCGATGCTGCTCGGCCATCTTCCTCTTGTAATAGCGGCGCCATGCCGCTTGAATGAAACAGGCCGCCCATGTCCTCCAGTGCTGGGAATAGAACCGGAACGTGTGCTGAACTTGCCTACTGTGGAGCCTCCTGAACTGACTGGCCACAAATTTCAGCTCCTCAGCACACAACGCAAATGCCTCAACCTCAGTAAGAGCTTTCACTGTCCTAGTTGAAGCTGGGAAGTTAGCAGCAGATTTAGGATCCAATGCCCATGTGAGCAGCTCATCACCGCAGAAAGCGCCCTCCTTTAACTGGACCTTGTTAAAGAATCCACTTCGGCCCCCATCGGTGGTCTCACTCTCCAAGCAGCCATGGAGGATGAAATGCATCTCATCCACAGGATCGCCTTCTCTCAAAATGTATTCATTTTCAGTGTATAGTGTAGGCCTTAACCTCTCACATATTGCATCCAGCAATCTTTCGTCCATATTCTCAAACAAAGGTACCTACAAGCAAAAAAGGACAATGCTATTTATCAGCACAAAATTGCTGAAAGGCTTAAAGATACTTGGACACAGATATATCTAACCCTTTTCACTAAACCCAAACAGAGATGGCGCTTAATGTCCCTCCGAAGGTCTTTTGGAAGGGTTTGAACCAAATTTTCTTCATCTACTCCTCTGGTCTCCAACCACCTATAGCGTTCATATCTCCTTACTCGCTCTCTTATTTGAGGAGGCAGTGAACGATGATGCATCCACTGCTCAGCATCACGTTTCTTAACTCTCATCTCTTCAAGCCGTATAGCAACTGATTGAAGGTAGGTCTGGAAAAAAATATTCAGAATAAACCAAAGAAAAAGGACAGAAAATAATTAAGTAGCGCATTTTAGTACCATTTCACTCACCTGCATGTTGCCGATGAGGAGAGCAAAAAGAATTAGCCCAATAACACATATTGCGATAGAGAATAACACCTCTCCAGGATATATGCTTGTTTGAAGCCCTTGACCAAGGGTACTGATGAAAATGGAAACGGAAGTTAGTCATAAGAATGATGGACAATAAATATCAGATATCGACATAGCCATATAGACATATAAGACTTTGGCTTCAGAAATTGATCGTTTGAATACTGACACAATCTTGGGAGGTACAATTTTATCACCAATTTCTGTGGTATGTTACACATCACAAAATTAATTTCATGAGAAAAATAAAAAATGTATATTGAAGCTTTAAAGGTCCACCGTCCATAAAACCTAAACAAGTTTCACCGGTTCTAAGATCATGTGTCAAGGGAGTACAAACAAAATGACTAACTCTAGAACACATATTTAGATACCAAAAAAAAAAAAAGGTCCCAGTTCCTAGACCTATGTTCCTCCTCAAGCTTGCCCCCATTGGTTACCAGGAATGTGGGAAACTGCCAACTACTGCTACTGCTACTATTACTAGGCAGCTTGGATTGGTAGAAATTTAGGAACGAAAAAAATTAGTCATTAAAATCAATAAATTTAGTTTAAAGCACTAAGGTGCAAATAGACTAAATTTAAAGTATCAGCCTTATTACTAATAATACGGCTTGTACAAGACCTAGTTAACAATTTAGCTCTAACCCATGTGAATATTTTTGTTGTTTTAAAAAGAACACAATCACCTATCATGCTCAAATTAAAATTATATCTATTCATTCTCTGTATGCCACGCCATCCAACACAGCGCACAATCATTTGATGTGCTCAGTGGCACTGATTCCACTACGGTTGGATAGGTAGTCAATGGACTTATCATGCTAGCCCTAATTCCCTCGCAATACTCCAGTTCCAGTTTATCAGAATCGGCGTGATGCATAAAATGAAATGTTGCAGAACACAGCAACAGCATCCTTGGTATATTTTTGTCCCTTTAGAGTTTAGAAAGTGGTGAATAATGGAATTTACACACACTAAGGCCAGCAAAGCCTTGCATTTCATAAATAAGCATTCTGCATCACGAGATATTTCTCATACAACAGTCATCAGATAGATCAAGTATTCTCCATTACCTTAGATTTTGTAGCCCCCACCAGAAGCAATAGCAGATTTTAGAGATAAAATTTCCTGGACGAAGTATTCCAGACACCAGCGCTTGTTCAAAAATACCAAATTGGAAAGAATTAGTACTGCATGCACTGAGAAGTTCTGTTCTCTTACTAAGCCAACTGGTATAGTTGCCAGTATGATTATCACTACAGTACAGGTAGCTTTTATTACAGCCATCATTGCTATGACAGTTCGAGCGCCAGCAAGAATCTTCCCGCTCTATGGTCAAAAAATACCACAAAGTACCAACATTCTGCACCACAAAGTTTAAATGAAAAGGTACAATATGTCAGGGAAATGTGATTCTCTACAACATTCTACGAGATAATGTTAATGAACCTCCTGTGTTAAAAAAAAAAGATAATGTTAATGAACAATGCTGCAAATTTTTTTAATAAAAATACTGTTGGCAACAATAACCGGCGAAAAGTATCTAAACTTGGTAGCATGAAGAAATACAAAATTTCTAAATAAATAGGCACAGAGTGTATTTGTTTTTAATCTAACAAATATAGAAAATTTCGAAGAGTACTATTCAATGCTACAAGTCCAAGACAAGAATACAAGATCCGCAAACAATGGAGAAGTCAGAAATCAACTCTGTTAATAGTCCAGGTTCTCATCATATCGTAAAAGAAGGAAAATAAAATAACATTTTGATAATGCCCTCCAGATGAAGACACTAACAGCTGAAGATACATACAAGCACTTACATGACCAGCCAGCATAAACCATAGAAGATAGTAAGCAGCACCAAGCCAAGCAGTTTCAATGAAAACACCAGCCGTCCTTTTCAAATCTTTGGTCACAGGGAAAATCCGTAGCAACCTTGGAATATATTGAAACAATACAACCCAAACCAATGCATTTTTTGTTGACGGTACATCTGGACCATCCAAAGTATGGAGATATCTCCAAACAACAATCTGTTGATTAAGAAAGATAGTTCAAAGAAAACAGGAAAAGAAATGCTTAAAACAATGAAGTAGAGTAATACAAATCATATCTAACAAAAGCATATGCATATGATACTACAAGTTGTGATACAAACAATGAAGGAATGTACCTGTGGAAGTGGTAGCAAAGCAAAGAAGTCCATTACAAAATAACTCTTTAAGTACCGAATAGCAATCCTCATTGGATCAATCACAAGCTCACCAGTTCCAAACACTCGAGAAGATGGAGCAACATAAGCAGTGCGAAATTGAAGAAATACACGTATAAGATAGACCAGATCCAGAATTGTTCGTATTATTGTTGATGTCACTGCCAATTTTTTATCAATACCAATGCAACTGGACTTGTCGTCGCCGTCGATAATGGGTAGGAAGAAAAATAGTGGATCCACGGCAACAGCAAAAACACATGATAGGAAGCAAAACCAATTCATTTGAAAGAGAAACTTTTCCTGGGGATCAAATATAGTCTTCTTAAAAGATTTAAGATCTTCCGCAAAAGCTGTCTTAGGAGCACCAGATGTAAGTGATTGCCGAAGTGATTTAAGTCTTCCAGAACCCTTTCTCACCCCTGACAAGAAAGATCTTACGGGATTAAATGAATCATAACCAAAACTAGGCATGCTAAACTTCAGGGTGCTCCTCCCTCCCACTTCAGAAGGTACAGATGACCTAGGGCTTGACTCATCCAATCTGCAGAATTATTTGGATATGATTAAGAAAATCACAACAGTAAAACAAGAACAGCAATGTTGTACACACAGTAATAATTGTCAAACATATAACATTTGATAGAAACATGAAACTGTCCTTTTACACTGAACCATTCTAGCAGGAAGGACCAAAGGAGCACTTAAATGCACTGGGCAATTCTCGGGTTAGATTTGGTGTTTTTGTTCAAGAAACACAAGATTAGGCAACCCTGACAGAAAAAACCGAAGTACTACCTATACAACCTAAGAAAATATGTATGCGAAGAATGGTAAACAAAGACACATAATAGGGCCGTCAACGAGCCGAGCATGACTGCCTAGGCTCGAGCTCAACACAAGCTCAAAACGAGCCTATGTAATCTTCGAGCTTCCAAGTAGAAACGTTTGGCTTGACTTCAATCTTGGCTACCGTGTTTGGCTCATGAACAGTATAATGTATATTTTATGGATAATCTCTTGGTAAGCAAAATTGATTTCTAGTTAATTACATTAATAAAAGAGAAGAAAAGGGACTAAGATAATATGATGCCAATACATGCTAATTCATTGTGCGGAACTGCTGTTGGTACACACTAATGTGTATTTGATCTACTAATTTATCAAATAAACAATAAAAGTTATGTAGAGACATGCTCATTTGGAGCTCGAGTTCGACTCTTTGGCTGAGGCTTGGGCTCACTCGTGATTATGCTGTGGACGTAACAAAGTTAGTTTTACAACAAAAGATTTCCGTTTTATACAGGAGAAAGGACAAAAACTACTGGAAAGTGACAAGATAACATTTGTATAAGGTGTTCAAACATAGGAAAACTGCTTTTAAGGTAAATGAAAGAACCTCTTAAACATTTCTCTTTGTCCGTCGATGTATTGAGCTTTGTGCGCAGAATCAAACATTGTCGCACAGGAAGGTTGCACAAAGCAAGTCCTGTTAAATGTGCCAAAGTATTATCAACAAAATAGTTTAATTGTGATAGCTAATGTAAATATGATTATATACACAAAACTATTGGCAGAACCACCTAAGAGAATATTGAAAGGTAACTCATAGAATTTAACATGACAGTAGAAGGGTCAATGGTGAAGTAGAAATAGTTTAGATTGACTCCACGAATTTCTGTATAAGTGAATGCTTGGATTTAATTGCACAAAGATATATGTTGAAGTACATGATATCTTTCACAGGTTGTAACTTATAAAAAAGGCATAAGTGGAAGCAGCAATACCTGTCAAACAAGAATCAAATGTACTGGAATTGGACAAAATAATAGTGCACAGCTCCAAGAACTGCAAATCAAGCAATCATTTATGAAATGTGCATTCATTTCCACTTTAAGTCATGCTGTGAGAAGCCGCCCTTGGTCCAAGCGTGATACCCTGATCCAAATTGAGCAGATACGCAGAATCAGTATAAGCAGAAGCAAAAGAAAAACACGCACATGGTACAGGGGATTGTTGTGTAAGCATCGTGCAGTCACAACTCACAACCGTCGGAGTGGTAAAACTAAAATTAGGAAACCATACGAACAAGAACTAAATATAGCAAACTCGAGCGACCTGCTATACAAGCAAACATATATAAATATGCATGATCACCAAGCTATAGTCTCCGTACCAATGGAAAGTTAGAAACTAAACCTCCTTTCACTAGCAAAGGAAAAATGAAAGTAGCGGAAGCCGCGTCCACCCGCCTCGCGCGCGTCCTCCCCCTCCGTCCCAATTGATCCAGATCTACACGCGCAGAGGAAGTTCACGGATCAAGACTCCCCGAACGCGAGCACGCACAACAAGCAGATCGAAGCAACTACCACCAATTCTGACACGAGCTATCCCCAAAAAAACACGAGAAATTGAGGACGGGGGAGATGATGGTGACGATGGCAGGTTGCTGGCTCACCTGCGACCCGCGGAGGAGGCGCGGATGGGCGGCCGAGGCGAGACGGGGCCAAGCCGGCGGCGAGCACGAGAGGGGAGCAACCGCTGCTTCGCGGCAAGTTGGGGGCGCAGCGAGAAGGGGAGGTAGGCAGCCGCTCGCACGGGGAAGACGAGGCGAGACGAGAGGCAGTCAACGAACGAGGCCTCGTCTGTCTGTCGCGGTGTCGCCTCTCGTCTCGTCCTGGCTCCGCCTGCTGTGTTGGACTTGGGCCGACTTTCAAGAGAAGCGTCGACGGGACAAGGCCCAACCGTGCAGATAGGTAGAGGGCGGTTGGCCCGAGAAGAGACAATGCGTCGCGGCCTGTTGGAATCCCCTTGAGGGACCTGGGGGGCTAGGGTTGAACTTTAATCACTTCCCTCAACCGGATACAACGCGAGAAGGCTAACGGGCGATCGATCGCTGCCAGTGATCTTTTTTTTCTTTTCCTCTTTTAGTAAGTTTATACATCTAAAATTTACACATCTAAAGTTTATCCACCTAAAATTTGTGAAGCGAATGTTTATAAGTCAAAAGTTTATATACCCGATTCAGGTTCAAATTTAAATTCAAATATTTCATATTTTCCTCTTGTAGTAAGTTTATACACCTAAAGTTTACACATCTTAAGTTTATCCACCTAAAATTTGTAGAGCGAATGTTTATAAGTTAAAAGTTTATATACTCGATTCAAATTCAAATTCAGATTCAAATATTTTATATATAAATATTTCTATACACAAAGTTTATACGTGCAAAGTTTACGGTACAAAGTCTGTGCACATGAATGAGAGTATTAGATTTTTTTCCCCTAATTTTCTTTTACTTTTTTTTTGAAATTTATGATGTAATAGAAAAGTAAAAAAGAGAGATGAAAGAGGAGTATTTAGGGGGGAGGGGCGGGTGATCGCTAGGAGGAGAGGGAAGCGATCACCCGCCCACTAGCAATACCCGGTATAACACGTTCTTTATCTTTCAAAACAAGTGTAAATATAGTCATGCGATAGTATTGAGGCCGGTTTCTTCTAATGTGACATCTACGCGATGTGTGTTGACTTAAGTCACCGTCCTCCGTAACGATTTTATGGTAAGGAAAAACGATAAGGCCCACATACGAGGTAGTGAAGGAATAAGGGAAGCATGTTTCACTGGCGTATAAGGTCCATCTTTTTTTTTTAAGCTAGAGTGACGTCAGCTAAAACAAGTCTTAATATTATTTTAAGATCTCGTTAACACTCCCCGCAAAAAAAATCGCGTTAACACTAGTATTACAACATGAGATGATGAGAAATATGTTGTACCTAATTTTATGGTTAATGGACACGATTTAATCTAGACTCTAACAAAAGAGACGTAAGGTGAACTTACCATACTAGTTTGCATTCCACAAAATTCATATAGTGGAATGTACCACTTCAAAAAATACGGCTTTCGAAATCTGCAACAGCGAAGTTCATCTTAGCTGTTCGCACTCCACAAGCAGCAGTTCCTCCTCGAACAGCTTTTTTTTTTTTTTTGAACACTCCTCAAACAGGTTGATTGGTCATTTGCACATTAAGGAGCAGCCGCCGCACTGTAGTACGTGGTAGTAGTACTAACCATTGGTCGGTTCCCTTAGAAAGAAATTTGCCAATTTGCCAATTGCATCAGGATCACTCTCGTCTTCTTCGCTGTTGTTTTGTCCCTCTCTATCGCGGATAGAGACATCGCGACTGGACTGTCTATCACCGGCATCTCCGAGTCTCTCCCTAAAAGATCCTCTGCTCGACTGCTCGCTTCCATAAATCGCGAAGATCAGAGTAAAGCTTGCACAGAGCCATGGCAGCTACCAACAACGTCGGCGCGGGCGCGCTCCCCGTCGTGGACCTGGCGCCGTTCTTGGCCACCGGCGACGACGAGGGCGGCGTCGCCCGCGCCAGCGCCAGCGCCACCGGTGCCGTGCGCGAGGCGTGCCGGGACTACGGGTTCTTCCGCGCCGTCAACCACGGCGTGCCGGCCGAGTTGATGGCGCGCGCGCTCGAGCTGTCGGCCGCGTTCTTCGCGCTGCCGGACGAGGAGAAGGCCAAGGCCCGGCCGGTCGAGGGCTCCGAGGCGCCCCTCCCTGCCGGCTACGCGCGGCAGCCGGCGCACTCCGCTGACAAGAACGAGTACCTGCTGGCCTTTGACCCTCAGCTCGGCTTCAATCTGTACCCCGATGAGCCATCAGGATTCAGGTCACATCAAGAACTCAAAACTGCAATAACTCGCCTGAAGTTATGAGAAACTCTTTTAAAGATTAGTTGATCATCCACCCATTTCTTACATACCAAATAAATAGTTATATTTTTTAAAAAAGAAATTAACAAGATACAGTTTGTGCGTTGATATATTACATACTAGGTAAAATCCCGCGCATTGCTGTGGAAATTTAGTATGATAACAAAAAAAAACATGTAAGATAGTTAGATAACACCAGATTAAGTAAATTAATGTGGTTTATGATAATTTAAATTTAAATAGTATGTAGAATGGTGATTCAAACGTAAAAAGTAAGGTGGTATGACTTTATGGAAGAAGAAAAGTAGGGAGATAGTTTGGACCGTAAATTAATCATCTAAAGGCTAAAAACAATTGATGTGATATGACTTAATTAGAGGAAAAAAGAGAAAGATAATTTAGACCATAAAATAATCATTTAAGCACTAACTAAGTGAGGATGAACTACTTCATCCGTTTCACAATGTAAGTCATTCTAACATTTTTCACATTCATATTGATGTTAATGAATCTAGATAGATATATATGTCTAGATTCATTAACATCAATATGAATGTGGGAAATGCTAAAATGGCTAACATTGTGAAACGGAGAGAGTATATAAGTATATATGATATCATAAAACATAATAAAGATATACATTGAAACATTATGTGAATTATGTTGGATGATAATTTAACATGTTTGTATTTGAAAATCTCTTAAATTATAAAAACTATAAAGATATAGCATGTTTGCATGATGTTTAAATGTGATGATCGTTAGTGGATGATGATGTGGCATTATATTAATTAGTGGATGATGATGTGGCATCTTGTTAATGGATTATGATGTGGCATCTTTTTATGTTAAGCTTAATGAGTTAGTGGGGGATAACTTTATAATAAGATAGGATTAACATATACTAGAAAAAATGCCAGCCTATTTTAATCTTATTATTATTCACTGTGAGAATTCGTTTGGATATATATATATATTTGTCTAGAAAATCATGTCAAGTTTGCATGTGAGTTTTTTTTTAAATAGATTTCTTATCGTTATATATTTCCAAAAACAAATGAACTTCAAACCTGATTCAAATACGGATCTATATTTCTAAAAGCGAACGAACTAAGAAACCGACTCATGCACATACACAGATAACGTACCAAAAGTGCCGGTAAAAATATCTTTAATTTTTATAATAGTAGGGATAGGGATATATATTAAAATATTTTTTTATAACTACTCCCTCCGTTTCATGTTATAAGACTTTCTAGCATTGTCCATATTCATATAGATGTTAATGAATCTAGGCACACATATATGTCTAGATTCATTATTAACATATATATGAATATGAGCAATGCTAGAAAGTCTTATAATATGAAACAGAGGTAGTATTTAGTTAATATTAAAAAATGGTTGGACGTATACCCAAAAGATTAGAATACATCTCCCTGAAAATTGTTGCTTTCTACCTAAAAGATCCGTCGTTTTCGTCATCATTTCTAAAAGAAACTGTTCATCAGGGAGGCATTATATGAGTTGTACGGCAAGCTCACGGAGCTGGGCGTGCTCATCCAGGAGATCCTGAACAAGTGCATGGGCCTCCCGCCGGGCTTCCTCAAGGAGTACAACGGCGACCGCAGCTTCGACTTCATTGCGGCGCTGCGCTACTCCCCGGCGACGGCGGAGGAGAACAACGGCGTCAGCGAGCACGAGGACGGCAACTGCATCACCTTCGTTCTCCAGGACGGCGTTGGCGGCCTCGAGGTCCTCAAGGATGGCGCCTGGGTCCCCGTCGACCCCGTCGAGGGCAGCATCATCGTCAACATCGGCGACGTCATACAGGTGACTGCACAACACTACTATATTCAAAGTTTTATATAGAATGAGTAGTAATTTGGATCACATTTTACTGTCAAAGTTTTATTTTAAACCTTACTTAAACCGATTTTTTAAAATTTTAAACAGTGTTTGAAACCATAGGTTCCCAACACACACTGTGCATACGGAAAGCGGAGCAGTCTATTAGCGCGTGATTAATTAAGTATTAGCTATTTTTTTTAAAAAAATAGATCAATATGATTTTTTTAAGCAACTTTCGTATCAAAACTTTTTTTTAAAAAAAACACACACCGTTTAGCAGTTTGAAAAGCATGCGCGTGGAAAATGAGGCGGATGAGCTGGGAACCGGTAGTTCCAAACACAGCCTAGGTAATTTTATTAGTTTTACAGTGTGGATCATCCAACTCTCTTTTTTAGCTTTGTATAAGCTTATGGTAAAGATATGGCATGCAGAGTTTGTCATGTGTCGAAACCAATGTATTTGGGATTATTGATGTGCACTAAAAAAACTTACTTGGGATGATCCAAACTAGAACAATAGCAAAATTACCTAGTTCTGGATATATGGATGTCTTAAAATAAAACTTTGGCAGCAAAGGTGGCTCACATTGCTAGTCACTCTTTTATTTATGCACTGTTAGTTCACTGCTGGAGAATCGCTTTTTAGTCCCAAGGTTGGGAACCCCCTATAGTTCTGGTTTTCTAACCGGGACTACGAATCCGGGACTAAAAATGTCTATTTTTAGTCTCGGTTGAAATAACGTGGGAAACTGATTTGTAGTCCTGGTTGGTATAAACAAGCGGGACTAAAAATCTGATCTTTAGTCCCGGTTGTTTATACCAACCGGGATTAAAAATACTAGGAGACCTGCCACGTCGTGCTAATGAATAAACCGGTACAAAAGATGATCTTTAATCCCGGTTGGTAACATTAATCGGGACTAAAGATCATTGCACTTTTAAACCGGGACTAAAAATGATTTTTACTCTCGGTGTTTTAAGCAACCGGGACTATTGTTGTTTTTAGGCAACCGATTAAAGATGGTTTCTCTAGTAGTGGTTTGAGAGTGATGTTGCCGTTCATTTGTCTACTGATATGATTGTTAAGGTGCTGACCAACGGCAAGATGAAGAGCGCGACGCACCGGGTGGTGAGGAAGCCGGCGGTGCACAGGCACTCGCTGGTCTTCTTCTTCAACGTTCACGGCGACAGATGGGTTGAGCCGCTGCCGGAGTACACGGAGAAGATCGGGGAGGCGCCGCGGTACAGGAGGTTCCTGTACAGCGAGTACCAGCAGCTGCGGATGAGGAACAAGACCCACCCGCCGTCAAGGCCCGAGGACGTCGTTCACATCACCCACTACGCGATCTAAGTCTCAAGTGTCACAAAAAGAAATAAGGCCAGGCCACTGATGCGTTGAAAGTAGATTCATCATCAATATTAGTAAATTATTATGCTACCTAATAGTATCACATTTCCATTGTCGTCTAGTCCGGTTAGGATACCTGGCTTTCACCCAGGCGACCCGGGTTCAAATCCCGGCAATGGAATCATTTTTTTCAGTGTTTTTTTTTCCTTGCTTCATTTGTCTTGACTGCATGATCAAATTCTTCTGTATCTGTATCCCTTAAACAGTTCAACTTTCTTTGTTTTTGTCTTGACTACATGATCCAATTTCCGCCGGTCACATTTCATCTCATCATCTTTATCAGCGTAGCCAATTCTTTTGTCTCCCTTTAACAGTTCAACTTCTTGGCAATACGTTTTACACAGTGATAAAACTGAAAGTTCAAACTTCTTTTGTTTACGTGAAACAGTTACTATATTAAATTACAAAAGAAAATTGTAAAGAGATTGTACAGAGTTATCTACCATGTTTACACTATGATAGAACATTTAACGGAAAGTTCAACTTCTTGGCAATACCATGTTTACACAATTACACTACGATAGAACTGAAAGGGCTTATACTGAAATGCCGGTAATAACAGGAGAGAGAGAACTGTAACGTCAAAAGTAACAAATATTGAAGAGAAAATGTTCTAGAGTGTAACAAGTGAAAGCAACAAACTCCAAACAAATAAGAAGCATTCATTCAGGATTGACCTACAACAAACATCCATCACTTTCTTACATGCTTATTATCAGTGCCAGAACGCTGACCACAGTTCAATTAAAATTTTTCAGGGCGCACCCTGTTAAGAAGGCCCAGTAACTTTACAATATTAATATTCCCTCAAGGCCAGCTAAGTTCAATCCCGGATTTAAATATTTCTACGCATCGCTTGAACTACAAAGAGCTAGTAGTACAATCCAGACTTGTTACCACACTGACAGCCAAGCTGTGTAACGAGCCAAAGGAATATATGAATAAGGACGCACCACTGTTTCATGTGCAAGCAAAATGACGGAGATTTAACCCAAAAAACAATGTCGGACAGGGAAAGGGCAAATGACCCTGGAAGACTTAAACCTAGGCCACGTACATGAAATCTCGGAACGGTGTTTGGTTGTTGCAAATGTTTACCGCGCGGAATGATTAGCACCATTTGACAATAGCTGAACCCCATGTAAGTCCAGCACCAAAACCTGATGCTGCAATAACATCGCCTGCCTTCACCTTGCCAGCTCGAACAGCCTCATCTAATGCTAATGGAATTGAGGCCGCACTGGTGTTTCCGTAATTAGCAAGATTTGAAATAACTTTGTCAGATGGGATATCCAACCTACTGGCAGCAGCATCAATAATCCGCTGATTAGCCTGTAAAATGGCAGGTCAATTAGATTGATGCTTCCGGTCAAAGTAAATTCATCGATATAAAGATACTCACTTGATGCAGCAACAACCAATCAATACTGGAAGCAGGTAAACCAGCCTCTTCCAATGCCTTCTCAATAGATTGTGGCACACATCGCACAGCAAAGCGAAAAACCTCCTTTCCATTCATTTCAATGTTGGAGAAGGTTGCCTTTTTAGGTGGGAAGCTAGGGACACCATTGGTCTTCGACAGGATAGACTCAACATGCGACGAGACACAATTTAAGTGCCTAAAATAGGTAAACAGAGAAATTAATAAGACATGGTAGCAGAAATGTGATCTCAGTTAAATATTAAAAGAAGTCACACTTTTGTCCGTTGCCATCACTTTGAACGCAAAAACCTAGCAAGCCATCTTCATCAGCACTGCATGCCTGAAAAACTGTGAATTAAATAACTTGCAAAAGATTGTGTACAATGCGTACCACTATACAGTTGCAATATATAAATTATCATGTTTGCCCAACAATGGTCTATGAAAACCAACTTAAGCATGGGACGCTCATACTTAGTACGGAGTAATAATTTGGTGGATAGTGGAAAGCATATCGATATTTCAGCAAAAGTAACAAATACCTGAACCAAAACAGCACCAGCAGCATCACCAAAGAGGATGCATGTACCTCTGTCTGTCCAATCCACAAATTGTGAAAGAGCATCGGCACCAATTACTAGAATATTCCGGATGCCTCCACCTACGAAATTGTCATATATTAATCGAACAAGGTGACAACAACAACCTCCTGTGAGTGTTTGATAGCCAACAATCCTCACAAGGAAAAAAAAAAGAGTTACCTTTGATAAAACGAGTAGCCGTAATTAAACCAATAATAAACCCACTACATGCAGCAGTGATATCAAAGCCAAATGCATTTGCGCATCCCACCTCCGCCAGCACCTGTTTATATTTTTACCAGATGTTTTTAATGCAAAATTGTGCACATCTTTTTTTAAAAGAACATAAGAGAGCAGTCAAGTTAATAAATCAATATACATTTATGATGGGAATTTATAGTTTTACTGGTAGATGTAGTTCAAAGCGATTAAAATACTAAACAGGCAAGAAAACATAGAAGGAAATAAGAAAGATACAAAGACCGGATTCATTGTGTTATTGTGTATATATTATTTTATAGCTACTCCATCTGATGCTACATATAGGAAGTAATACAAATGTGCAACCAAACATTTTAGTTTGACCATCAGTATGTCAAAAATTATCGAGATTGGTCAAGTGTGTATTGCAGGATATAATATGAAACACACTTTCGTAATATATACTTACCTTCATGTATAACAACATAATACTCCTCTATTCAAGAATATATGATGTTTTGGATACTATCGTGATCTCCAACACCTTGTTGTCGTAACATTTTAATAGCTATGTATAAATTTAATAATATTTTGAATCTTTCCCACAAAAAAACTTCTATGCTACCATTTCACATGATCAATCTCAATTGTTTGTTACATATTAGAGGTCAAAATTTAAGATGTTTGTCTAAAACAGAGAAAACAAGTCAACAGATGGGAGTGTAACAGGAGATATTTTTATGGTCCTATTCCTTGGGAGTACATACATCGTGATTAACAGTAGAATATACCTCTACCACTCAATGTCTCCTAAGGATAAAAAGACTCATAATAGAAAAACTAGTGGTCAGGGAGTAAATATAAAAGTGTCAATCTCCAACATGAAATATATACTAGCAACTGGAGTTGAACAACAATTCATTGAATAAACCTAACGCTAAAGAAAACCCCATTCCACTCTAGTTATGCTATACATTAAAATACAAACAGATGTAGATTATCAAGAATGAGATGACTTTAATCAAAACCAGGAATAAGCAGTAACTCGCACAATACCCACAGGTGGCATACATGTAAAACTAATTAAGAAGTAAATACACACAAGACCATGGTCCATGGGATTGGGGCCAATATCATTACTTTACAGAACATAACATAATTTACATCTAACATACTAATATTCTTACTTGCAATTGGGAATGTCATGCAATTCTGATCTTTGAAGACATATATTAGGTTGAGAGATAATTACTTTCTCTTAATATTTTTAGTAAGTAGTAGTAAGAAAACATGTGAACGATAACTACTACAATATAGTACAATGCTAATGCATATTTCTAGCCATACCTGAGCAGCACCTCCAAACAGATCATCTGGGGTAGACGTGCAAAGGAGAACAAGGTCAACATCATCAGCATTTACTTGAGCCATCTCAAGAGCTTTTTTTGCTGCCTGTACTGAAAGCTCGCGCAGTGTCTCATTTCCTAAACATGAAAACTATAAATTACTCCTGAGAATAAACAAATGAAGCACGCTGCACACCTGAATAGCTATTGATCATAATACGTTCACAACACAAAAGACCAACTTTCAATGGTGTGGTTCACATCTATTGTATTAAAGATAACTAGAATAAATATGTGAAAAGTGCCACGCTGTTTATATACAATCTTGGAACAGTAACAAGATACATGTTTACTGGAGTTTTACTTTGGTAACAGCAAATTATCAAAATTCACTCTTATCTATCTTCGTACATAGTCTGTGAGCCATGGTATCTGAATGATGCTGTTAAGCCTAGACCATAGACACAAAAATGCCTTGTAGCAGAACATATGTTCATCTATAATCTATCAACATTCTTCATAGAATCAACAAGTCCACGATGTAAAAATACTTCAATCATCAATGGTGGTGTGATGTACCAATCAACTATGATGATGTGCCACAAATATTTATTATGCATCCACATAGAGGAGGCACAACTGACGCTAATGAAACTAACTTGTCATGAAACTCGATGGAATAAGGTGAACTAGAAGTACCTGAAAGAACTCGCCTATTCCGAATCCCAGTCCGTGCTGCGATCCATTCATCTGATGTTTCAACTATTTTAGAAAGGTCATCATTTGAAACGCTAAGCGATGGAGTGGCCGATCCGCATCCAATGAGTTTTGAACCCATACCGACGACCCTACAGGTTCCCATTAATTTTATGAGTTCATTCCACAGTCGAAAATAATTTAGACTCCTTAACAAAAAAAGTGCAGATCAACGAGTAAGTCCAACCAGTGCTGTTGGACCAACCATAGCAATAGTGCTGCAATACAGTGAAAGGTACATCAACTGCATCATTTGCCACCACATTTAATGACAATGCTGGTCTATAATAAGAGGAACCATGAGGTACCATTCTTCCGCTATACACGGAAACGGCCTATTCCGGTCACACATAGTAACAATAAACGAGTTGAGGCAAATTCACATCAGCAATGGGGTATCAAAATATCTCAATGGAGTATCAAAATATCAGAGATTCTGAGCAGTTATAGCAATCTGACTACATAAAACTAGTGCATTTCGACAATAAGAAGCCCACATAAACCCCTAGTACAAGATTATAAGGAAAGTCCCGGTGGCACTCCGATCCGACCAACCTAATAAATGAACAATCATCACAGGCAACGGCAAATTTCCCACCTAAAACCCTCTACCACTGAACAACCAAAGCACATTGAGCAGCATGCGTGATTTAAGTCAAAACCCAGGCTAAATCAACAGCATGCCAACTGAAAAATCGCACCATTCTTACAGAAACCAGGGGAAAGCCCCGCAGTACGCACAAAAATCACATTAATGGTAACACCGTTCGCGATCGAACAACACGCAAATGGTACCTTCTGCGCGAGGTGAACGGACTGTAGGATCTCTTTAACTTTTACACAACCAGCCACATCTCGCAGCCAAAGTGCTTAACCACTGGACCACGAGCCACGCGCCCACGCGTGGGGCACACCGGCACAGAGGCACCGCGGGGGTTTACCTGGGGAGGCGGGGCTTGGGGGCCGCCGCGGCGGAGACGACGCCGTCGTCGACGGTGGAGGCGCAGCACCGGAGCTGCGCGGCCGCGGGCCCCGCCAACGCCACGGGAGCGGATCGGAGGAAGCCAACCCGGTGGTGTCCGCCGCAGCCGCGCCCCGCCGCACGCGGGCAGGAGACCGCCAGCCGCGGTGGCGCGAGGCCGGAGGCGGTGACCATACCTGAAAAGCAGCCGGAGATCTCGCGGCGGCCGCGGCCTGGGCTCGGGCTCGGGCGGGGTAGGAGTTCGCGAGCGAGGCAGCGAATCACTCGGTCAATGGCGGCGAGCGGGAGGGGAGGGGAGGAGGGGGGGCATGCGTTGCTGTACGCGAGGGGTGGGGGGGAGAAGATGATATAGGCGCGGGCGGGGGAGAGGACGGCGGGGGGGATGGGAACGGTGGGCGGGGTGATGTCTGGAAGGTTGGGTGGGTGTGGCCGCGCCAAGTGTTGTGGGGGCGAGCTTCGGGACGTCCGCCCGGAGGAGGGGGGAGGGGGTTTTTTAATGGGAGCGCGAGCGATGTGGGTGATGACTGATGACACAATCTAGGGGCTGGGTTGGCTCAGGTGTTCGGTTTCGCCTTCGGGCACGTTCAACCTCAGGGGGCGTTGCGTGCTTCACCGTGGTTTCTTTTCTTCTTCCCAGTCATGACTTGCCTGCGCGATGAGAAATGTGAGATTGTGACCGTGAGGCGTTCTTTTTTTTTTTTTGGTTACTGCGTCGACTGAGAATAAAAATATGTTAGCAGTAGACATGATATTGTTACATAAAATTCCATAAAATTTTATGGTATATATACATATGTTCTTTTAACATAGCTGATCTATATGTGGATGTATGAGATGTAGATGTACGTTTATTCTCTTCTTTATAAAGTTAAATATAGTACATTAGTAGCACTATTTTTCTAAGCCTACATTATTAGTACGTACATAATTTAATTAGTAATTGTTCTATTGATTATAGTTATATATATGTGCATATGTGCTAATATGGTACCGTCTTAACCCTTACGTATGGTTTGTCTATTATGCATTTAGGTTCTAAACGACCCACGAGTCCACGATGATAATATGGTAGCTACAATGCTAGGGGCTATGTCATGTGATTTTCTAGGTCAGTGATTGACTACTTGTGCTTGTGATTGATAATTTTGCACCGTCACATTTGAATTGATTCCTTGATCATTGACTATAGCCATTGCTTATTGACAAACATTTTCAGGATTTTAAAAATATTTTATATTTAAAAATACTTAGTGTTACTAACTCATGAAATCTTAGACTATTTGGGTTATAGGTTATAAGTAATGGTATATTTTCTTATTGGCTATATCTTTTAGTCATATTTTTTAAGAAGAACAGTTGTTTCGTTTTATGTCCTAAATTTTAATACCTACAGTATAGTTTTTCTAATACACGAGATATAAGAGAATTAGGATAAACAAAATTGATTACGTTCTTGAAATATGAATTATGAGAGATAAAGGTATGATTAAATATGAGATGTAACATAGAGAAAAGAGTAACTAAAATTAAGTAAAAAAAATGTGCCTCCATATTTTTTAACAATACCTTTTTTGTGGGGTTAACAATACATTTCTTTAACTACGTAGTTATATCTAGAACAATAATATGTTTATAAAAGAGGTGCAAATCATTATTTTTTATACGATACTGACAATTACAAGCTACAACATTGAATAACTGTACATCTAGAACAGTGAATTTAGACATTTAAATATATTTTTTACGCATGTGATGAGTTTCTAATGTGAAAACAAACTAGTTTTAACTTTTAAGCTCTCTTTGGAACAAAACGTTCTCAAATTTTGCAGAAATGGTCTTGGAGCTGCAGTCCCTTTTTTTTTCGAGTACAGAAGGGCCGCCAATTCCGATCGTGCGGCCACCAATCGTCACAGGGACACGTGTCCTCAATCGAACGATCCATTCCGTCTACCCCAATCCAATCTCCAAGCCCGAATGCACACCTCCTTCCCCTCTCCACGCCTCATCTGCTGCGCCCCAAAACCCCGAACCCCCACACTCACGCGCGGCGGCGTTCGCCGGAGAGCCTCCCCTCCGGCCGCCGCCATGCCGCCGCCTCTCCAGGCCCAGCGCCTCCTCCTGTCCCACCGACGCCTCCCTTCTCCCCACCTCCGCTGCTTCACCGCCGTCTCCTCCCTCCCGTCCGCTCCCGCCAAGACGGTGGCGGCCGCGGCGGCCCACGCCCCCTCCTCCATCCTCTCCATCCGCGAGTCGCTCCTCTCCGGCGAGAGGACCGCGGCGGAGATCACCGCGGAATACCTCTCCCGCCTCCGCCGCACCGAGCCGAGCGTGCGCAGCTTCATCCACGTGGCGGACGCCGCCGCCGAGCGGGAGGCGGAGGAGCTCGACCGGAGGATTGCCACCGAGGGGCTGGATGCGGTGGGGCCTCTGGCCGGGGTGCTCGTCGGCGTGAAGGACAACCTCTGCACCGCCAATATGCCCTCCACAGGTGGGTCGCGAATACTGGACGGTTACCAGCCGGCGTACGATGCCACTGCGGTGCGGCGGCTTCGTGAGGCGGGCGCCATTGTTGTGGGGAAGACTAACCTAGACGAGTTCGGCATGGGGAGCACTACAGAGGGCTCCGGGTTTCAGGTTTGGATACACTAAGACCAGTTCATTGTATCTTTCTAGTCAGAATTCGTTAAAGTTTGTAATCTAGAACAGCAAAAATGTGTTTATATTTGTTAGTGAAGTCCAATGAAATCAAACACAGATATTGTATATTTGGACTTATCAGTGTGAAACTCAGTTCATATCGCTGGTTGGCTTCTTGTAGCATAGGAGTATTTTCTTAGCAAGTGCTTCACCTATGGTTTTAACCGTTGCATAACATGATAACAAAGCATTATAATGCTTGAAGCAAAGTGTAGATATGGGGTGATCTGACTGGTATTAATGGTGGTATATGCAGGTCACAACAAACCCTTGGGACGATTCACGTGTGCCTGGGGGATCCTCAGGTGGTTCTGCTTCTGCGGTCTCTGCTAGACAATGTGTGGTATCCTTAGGGAGTGATACAGGTGGAAGTGTGAGACAGCCAGCATCATTTTGTGGTGTGGTAGGGTTAAAGCCAACCTATGGCCGGGTTTCTCGTTTCGGCCTCATGGCTTATGCTTCATCACTAGATGTTGTGGGATGCTTTGGTTCATCAGTTGTTGACACTGCGACAATCTTGTCAGTAATTGCTGGCCATGACAAAATGGATTCAACTAGTAGCTCTCATGTATGGAACTGAAACATATCCTTGTCTTACATTTTTCCTTTACCTTTTTAATTCTGATATGTTTTTTGTCTGTTTCAACTGTTACAGAATTGAAATCTAGTGATCCTTAGGCATCTATACTCCAGTTTAATAGCTAGGGCTAAAAAACATTTATCTCAGCTTCTAAGCAATGTAGATATCAGAAACAAAAACTTGCCCAGCAAGATCCTATGTTGCATTGACAACTATCTTTCTGTGACTGATTATCTTGATGTCTGATCATTCCCATAAATCCTGACATTAGTGTGTTGTGGTGTGATACTGATGGCAATCTTGTAATAAATTTGTGGTTAACAATCTTAACATTGATTTGGCAAAGAGAAACTAACTGTTGTCCATCTCCATCTTATAAAGTTCTGATTTAATACATTGCATATAAAAAATATGGTAGGTTTACAGTTTTGTTCCATTATCTTACCATGATTTTGGTCACCTTAAGATTTACACATGTGCAATTGGATTTGGAGCTAGAAGACAGAATGCGTAGGCTTGCTGAATCTGTTTTTTTTTGGTTGCTTCTATAGGATGTTTCAGACTATAAATCAGAGTTGGTCCCACTAGATTTGCTAGAATCAAAACCATTAAATGGTATGAGAATTGGAATTATTCAAGAAACTCTTGGTGAGGGTGTAGAAACTGGAGTCATATCATCAATCAAGGATGCTGCTTCTCACTTGGAACAATTGGGATCAGTGGTGGAAGAGGTTTGTTACTCTTCTCTTACACTAAAAAGTACGTTATTTCTTGTTTCACACTGAGTTGTTGAAAAATTAAAATATTTATGCTGTTCTACTTCTCAGGTTTCTCTGCCTTCATTTTCTCTTGGCCTACCCGCATATTACATACTGGCTTCATCTGAAGCCTCTTCTAATCTATCACGTTATGATGGTATCAGGTGATATTTCTGTACTTTAATCTCATCATTTTCCCTGTATTCTTAAAGTTAGAAATATTTATATTTTCCAGGTATCGTTTACAGGTATGGGAGGCAGGTTTCAGGCGATGACTTGAATGAACTTTATGGAGGTTCCCGGGCTAACGGTCTGGGTCACGAGGTAGTCCATCAACTCCCACCAACCTCCATCTCTTATTATTGGAACTTATCATGACTAACTTAGCTATCTATAACCAATACGGCAAGTTTTTTGTGCATCACATGGACCGCAAATCGTTTGCTGGTAATTTGCATGAGAAAACAAACAATCTAACATTGTTCTGATTATTTTTCAGGTCAAAATGAGAATTTTGATGGGAACTTATGCTTTATCTGCTGGATACTATGATGCATACTACAAACGAGCACAACAGGTAATGATAAGACAGTAGCATCCTATGCACTTTGCATTTTGATAATTTTTACATCTCAGCAGGCATTTGTGCAACCAAAAAAAAAATAATAATCACGTTCACTGTAGTAGGTAAGGACACTGGTTAAGAAAAGCTTCAAAGAAGCTCTGGAAAGATACGATATTCTTGTTTCACCTGCTGCGCCATCAGCAGCTTACAAGATAGGTATGCTAATAATATGATTATTTATTGTATGATTCCTTCACTGCTTTCCTTCAGGATTGACAACTCAATAAATTTTGGCAGGTGAAAAGATAAATGATCCATTAGCTATGTATGCAGGAGATACCATGACGGTAACAATCCTTAGCATATTTCTCTTGTTTAGATTTACAGCTACTTTTGGGTTTGCTCCAAAGTAATCCATTGTCTGCTGCATTCTGCAACTTCCTAGTTCTTGCAAAATTTGGTACATGTTGGTAAAACTACTAACCTCTAGTAGATAATCTCATGGTCACAAGTGATGTCAAACGTTCTGCAGTAGGAGAATCTTAAGGAGTGGTAGTCTAATGACTGATGCAGGTGAATGTTAATTTGGCTGGTCTCCCTGCATTGGTTGTGCCTTGTGGATTTTTGAGGTGATCTGCGGGGCTCCCGTTGGACTTCAGATGATTGGATCCCCCTTCAGTGAGGTAATAAAATGCTAGTGTGGATCGTGAATGCTGGCGCAACCAATATCACTGTGTTCCGATGCAGTGTCAAGTTTGATTTTGCTGCATTGCTTGTGATTTTTGCTGAGCAATGTTTGCTTCTGAATTTGGAAAATGCCAACCGAATGGATGCTGGTTATTGATTTGCTGGTTTGCACATGAAGGGGTAATTGTGGCTGGAGTAATGAGGTGCAATATGCTGTTGGAGCAAAACAGCTGCCGAGTAATTGACAAGTGTTTGGTGCCCAACCAATTGGCTGGGCAGGAGGAGTTGAGCTGCCAATGGCGGCCATGCAATGCATGCTGTGGCCTTGTTGCATGGGCTTGCGAGGCCCTTTGTGATGTGCAAGACAAGATGTGCTTGTTGCATGTGTGTATATTGACGCGAGACAATTTGTGTAAATGCTTGTATGAATTGATTGGGTTCTCTCGTGTATAGTTGTTTAGAATTGAGACCATGTGATGGCCCATCTGGAAACAGCACACACGCGGCCAAAATTGGTTCATATTAATTATGTTTTTTCCCTCTATATATTGGATAATAATAGTAGAGGGAGGGACAGGGAACTGTTCGTGAGTCGTGACTTCATGTTGTCTCAACGTCTTGGGTTTTGCGCAGATGGATAGTTTTTCAGTGTGGTGTGTTTCAGATGTACCACACGTGTTTCAGTCGATCTGAGTTATAGAGGATGTATATTCTGACCCTTTCTCATCGAAAGAGGGATGTGTTTCAGATGTAACACACGTGTTTCCGTCGATCTGAGTTATAGAGGATGTATATTCTGACCCTTTCTCATCGAAAGAGGGATAGTAGTCTTTCTTGAAACTCTCCACTGCTGAAACTTAACCGGAAGATTTGAGCTAGGCCGTTTTGGAATTTATTTTTCCTGCCCAAGGGATGAACAGCTTTATATGAAAATCTTCAGGATCGATAGAAATGTGAAATTCTCGAGAAGCTTTATGCGCAGATGGTTTTTATCCTAGCAGCAGTCGGCAAAATGAGAGCTTAATTATTCTTTTCCCATCCACGACAATTCAGAACGAAAAGTGTGCTGCTACAGTACAGAGTACAGAATTACTCAACCAGATCGAAATACACTTCGAGTCTGCAGCTTCAGTTTGCGAAACCCCAATCAACGAACACCTTTCCAAACAAATATATAGCTAAAACGAACATGGCAAAGAAATACAGCCCAATTGAATTAACTACGAAAACTGCACATAAACAATCCATCCGTTGGTTGGTTCCAAGTACAAATTATTTGTGGTCTTTTGGATGAACAGAGTCCAGACTACCGCCTGAAACAAAACCTCCGCCACTCTATAAACAGGTGCGATTCTGGAGCTCCAGCATCACAACTTATTATTTCCACCACTGCAAAGAGAAGCAACAGCGTGAAAACTTTTGGGAAACAGAGTTATTAATTCCACATGTGAATGCTACAATAGTCCACATTATTAAAGCTGGTGTCACAAATGAACAGAAGAAACAATTTCAGCCACAGTAGGTAGCACATCTGTCAAAAAGCAGAAAGACCACATGTATCTATGCTCAATTCCAGTTTGTCAAGATTAAATGATAATCTAAACTTTTATTCTTCAGCTTCATCAGTGGACAGTGGTTATGGAAAATGGCCTTGGTTTTGATAAATTTGAACTGTCATAAAATTTTAAAGTAAACTAAAGGCTCCGCTATTAGTTTGCTTTGTAAAGGAAATGCAACTCAGCGACTCATAGCACAAAGAATCCATGTCCAGTGAACCTCTGGTTCATGCAAACTAGCAGGTCCAACTTGAAATTCATCTGGCCTTCAGAGTTGAAGGATCAGCTTGCAGTTTTAACCCAGATACACATGCACTGCATTTAACATTTGTCATGACTTCTGACAACACAACTCATGATTTCTACGCAAAACAAAACTAATCTCCTTGGCATGCTGGCATTACCATGTCCCATCTCTCTCTATCAAACATCAGCCATCCCTATCTGCTTTAGTGGTTAACTCAATTTATATTTATCTTGGGATGTGTTGATGTGATTGAAACTAAAGTAAAATTTTGATAAGAAACATAAAACTCCTCAATAATAAAACCTTGATATTTAAGGAGTACTAATGTACCATCACGATGCTTTCCTAAAAGTACATAAACCAACTTCACTTCTCTAATATGTTGCCTGCAATTTATACATGGAGACTAAACAGTGCAATGCTTAAGCCCATATATAAGTAATGCTACAAATTGGCACTTATCTATTTTATTTGTAAGATCCTACCACACCTATTGATTTAATGGCATGCACAGAGGAATACATTCAAGGTGACCGACCTGCCTATTAAACTCGATTAGTTAGCACATGGCTACAATAGACGATCTAGGTATGAAGCTTGGCTGGTCAATTGGTCATATAGGTGACTAATATTCATTTACTAAAGCTTATTTACTACACTTCAATCCTATAAAGCATAACCGTGCAGTTGGCAACACTTTTGCCAAAAAAAAAAAAGATAATGTGAAGTTGAATGTCAATCATCTAATAAGAATAACTATATAATCAATCATGGCTATTGTCAACAGCAGCTTAGTTCCAATCAACGATACAAAGCTTGAATAGGATCATTAGTTTGATATCTTGACATATCTAACAAAGTAAATTGCATCCATCTAAGAACCACTGTTCCTAAAAACAGTTATCTCTAATTGATGCAACTTAACTAATACTGAAGTCTGATATATTAAAATTGTAGTTCTTATGAAAAGAATGTGCCACTGTGAACACATCTATGAGAGGTTTCCAATATCAGATCACAAAAATAGCATAAAGCATCAATACTACGCACCGATTGAATCACTGTATGACCGAAGATGATCAGAAGATGATGTCTTCGTCCCTCTCTCCACCGGCAACCAACATGTTGGTGGCAGCACCCACAGAGATACCCCTCTTGAGGGCAACCTCCTCCGCAAGCTGTTCCTCTGCGAATTGCTTGGCTGCAGCCATCTGCCTCTCGATCTCCCTCTTCTTGTAACCCTGGATCTTCTTGAGCCTGAAGAAGTCCTCACGCTCGAGCTCGTCCAGCTCCCCCTTGATGTAGCTGATGGTGTTCTCCAGCCTCGGCTTCACGACGTTCTCCAGCGCGTTGACACGGCGGTTGGTGGTCTTGATGGCCTCATCGAGGGTCAGGAAGGACGTCTGCAGCGAGGCGAGCTCGACGAGCACCTCGATGGCCTTGACGTGCGCGGCGCGGCAGGCGGCGACCTGCTGCCCGCCGCGGGCGAGGCCGGTGAGGCTGGGGGACGCGTTGGATGGCCCAGCGGAGCCGGCGGCGGGGTCGACGAAGTGGGTGAACTTGGGGAGCTTGACACCGGCGACGTTCTCCTGGTGGGAGCGGACGCGGAGGGAGGCGGAGCGGACGGACTGGAGGACGACGTGGCGGACGCCGTCGCCGGCGACGTACTTGGCCTCGGCGAGGGAGAAGGAGGACGCCCTCATGGCCTCCCCCATGGACTCCTTGGCGGCGACGATCTTCTTGAGGATGGCGCGGAACTGCACGGTGAGCGCGTCCGACTTCTTCTTGAGGAGCGCGTGGCCGCGGGTGGCGCCGACGAGCCGGGCCTTCATGACCCCGAGCATCGTCACCGTCGGCACCACGTTCAGGCGCTGCGTCTGCCCCGACATCGCGCCGCCGCCGCCGCCGCAGCCGCCGATTCGATCGGCTCGCCGGAGATCTGAGGTGGAGGAGGGGGATCGGAGACGGGGAGGGGGGAGGGGATCGTGCTAGGGCGGATCGGGCTTAGGGTTGGATCGGAATTTTGTTGTGTGCTCCCCAATTCGTGAGTTGGATCGGGACACGTCTCCGCGCGCCGCGCCGGGGCGGTGTACCGGTGGTTTTGTTCGTGGGAGGGCCAAATCGCCGTATGATTTGGTTATTCTATAAACGAATTCTTATTTAATTAGGTATAGATTAGTGAAAATATAAAGGAACGGTGACGTCGGTGAGTGAGAGCGAGACCTTAGGCCAGGGTATATAATTTCACAAGTATTCGATTTGAATTCTTATGAAATCAATCCGGTCATTCCATAAAAACGTGTCCAACAAGAGCTCCGATTTAAATATAAGAATTATGCGCACATTATGAAGACTGTGTTTAGATGGTGAAAAAGTTGAGAAGTTAGGAGAAAGTTGATAGTTTAGAGAAAAAGTTGGTAGTTTATGTGTATAGAAAAGTTTTCAATGTGATGTGATGTGATAGAAAGTTAAGAATTTGGGAAATTAAACACGGCCGAATTATTATGGAGGCTGATTATGGATTTATTATTACTACGAGAACACAACTCAGCAAACCAGGGTGAGATCTAACTACGCCAGCGTAAACTATTGTTCAATGAGAGGTTCAGATATAATATACCCTGAAATATCACATAATTATTATTATTGTACGAGTTACTAATCAATTACTAGTTGACCGGGAAAAAAAGCTTGGTAAGAATCATGACGCTTTGATTTTAGTATCGGGGTATTACAGATCGTGACTTTAACTTGCATTGTTGTATCAAGTCGTACTTACTTTCAACTTCGTAAGCATGTATCTCGATAAAGAAAAATAAGAGTATTAAGCATGAGTTAATTCATGTTTATCAATTTATTTAAGCTGGATAGTTAAAAACGTAATGAATATATATATTGGCATGCTGATAGTTTAAAAAGATTAGGAATTTTATAAATACTTTAAAATATATTACGGTTTTTATGAGATTATTACTATTTATTTGAAACTAAAGTTTATTGAATATAATAATTTGCTTTCAATCTATACAACCGTTGCTGGATAGAACCAGGGCTGCCGTGGTTAATGCAGTTGTATATGGCTAATCATGGGGCTATGCGTTGGAAACAAATCAATTGAAAACGGACATAGCAAGCGTTGATCCAATGTCATGCATGTGGGAGAGCGACCTGAATGGACCCCGCATGTACGAAACCGACTAAAATCAATAGACGACGAAAATCAGAGGATAGAAACTATAGCTAGCAGTTAGCTCTATTCCCCCATAATTATATGCCATCTCAAATTTATATTTTTTCTTCTAAACCCAGAGGTAGGGAAATTTTGTGAAATGTTATCTGCTACTAACTCCGTTTCATATTATAAACCGGTTTAACTTTTTTCTAATCAAACTTCTTTATGTTTAGCCAAGTTTATAGAAAAATATAATAACATCTACAATATCAAATTAGTTTCATTAAATGTAGCATTCAATATATTTTGATAATGTTTGTTTTGCGTTTAAAATGTTAATATATTTTGTATAAACTTAATCAAACTTAAAATTTTTAACTAAAAAAATCAAAACAACTTATAATATGAAACGGAGTAAGTATCTCACATTTTCAAATTTTCTTCTAAACCCAGATGTATGGAAATTTTGTGCAACGTTCCGTGCTATATCAAGATTTATATTTTTTTTTCTAAATCCAGATATAACAGTAGCTTGAACTATCAAATTGACGAATTGCCTGAAAAAACATGTCCAGCAAAATTGACGATTTGCCTGGAAAAAACTTAGCCCGCTTATTTTCCTTCAACAATTTCTTGTACCCATGCGAAAACTGACAGCAGCAAAGGCAACGCCAGACTGAATACCACATCTTCGAACAAGAACAGGTTGGCCAAAAAAACTGACCAATATCAAGCGCAAAATGCAACTATCACATCCATGAACACAAATTAATCATAACAAAAAACTAAAACTCACAGAAGAATCAAACCACGGATTAACGACCAGCAACATTCTATGTATTACCAGAAAGATATAAGATCGTTTTCTATATCTGTACCAAAGATAACAGGCCTAGAAATGTTAGTATGCCACCTTTGGCTCTGCAGCAGATCTAAAGAGAATGAATGGAAGAAAATTGAAACATGGGTAGGTATACATAGCAGCAACCCGTTTATGGACAGTCTGTTGTTTCGACAGGGAGGGCATCTATGCAAGATAACGGTACATCTTCCTATCTACCTTGTCCCTCTCCAAGAACTCCCTCTCGATCAGGGACTCTATTCTTTTCTTTATCACAACAGGATTTGGCAAAAAGCGCGATTGAAGCTGCTTTGTCACCTCCGTGATTATGCTATTGTGGTCCAAGACTCTTCTGGACTTCATGATTCTGACAATTGCAGCCTCAATTTGAGGTTTCCTGTCTTCCTCAACTCTCTGGCGAGTTTCCAACTTCTCTGGTTCTGTTTCTTTCTGAGCAACCACGGTGCCAATCTTCACCTTGACCAACTTGCTTGTGAACTTGTCATTGTAGTAGAAAGTGTCATCTTCAGATATATCCTTGCTCATGGGTTCCTTCCGCAGCACATTCTTACCCTTAACACAAGCAAGAGACTGGAGGCAGCGTTTCAGATCAGCATGTGGTATACCTGTGGCCTGCTCAATGTCACCGTAAGTCAAGCCATCTGCTGAATTAAACAGCATCAGGACACACATCTGATATGTCGAGACATTCAACTCATGCCTGCGGCCTCCGAACGTTGCTTTGATATCTGCATTCCCCATGTTTGTTTGCCATGTCAATCTCCTGCCATTGTGGGTGCCAAGGTAGAATGCCCGGAATTTCTCAGATATATCAACAATTTCAGGTGGAAGTTTGCAGGGGGTACATGGCTGTGTTGGCCAAGACCCAGTGGTGAGTATCTGGACTGATATTGTTGGGCTATCAGTATCACCAGAGAGATTAGCATAAAAACTTTGCATAGTATCATGCGATGTCTTCAGATCATTGAACATGCCTTCCAATTTTGACGTAAACTGGTAGCCACATTCCGTCTTCAGCTTCACAAGCATACTCCTCTCAGCTTCATCAGAAGTAGTTTTCCCAGATAGAAGACGTTTGGCCAAGTGTTGCTTGTAATATTTCTCAAAAACATCTTTCTCCTGCAAATATCTGAAGAGCATCATCACCTTGTCCAAGACAGTTTCAACATCCTCTTCATTGGCCCCTTTCACCCCTTTCCGGAGCTTGTCATCAACAAACAGCGAAATGAATTCAGGAGATCGGTTGTTCAAGTTGATGAAATTCTCGAAGGAGGAATTCAGAGCATTTTGGAAAGCCTTGTCATTGCTGAATGAAATACTTATGATCTCATCATACTTGTCTTTCTCATTTAGAAGACGCTGGACAAACTCAACAGGGTCCTTTATCTTCTCTGGGTCAGATACCAATGCCTTTCCACTTTCCTTAACATGAGAGGCCATCACAGATCTAATTGTTGAATGCCCATCAGGAACACGTTTAAACAAGTTGTACATCCTGCTAAGGTCTTCATGTTTGTCATCAACAAGCATATTCACAAGACCAGAATTCTCCATAAGAATCAACCGCTGCATGTGATTTGCAAGCATCTCAGTGTCCACAACACTAGTTATTTTGTCTGCGGTTTTGGCATCCATATACTGAGAAACACGCTCCAACTCTTCAGCAAGCCGTCTCTCAGCTTTCTTGAGATATTCGCCACAATCACAGCACTCAATGAACTGTTGTGACTCACCACTATAGAAACTTGCGGATACCTCAAGGAATGGCTTCTCAAAGTCATCATGATAGACAGAAGACCCTAGATCCATCAACATTTTGGTGGTACTCCTCATCAGACCTCTGTTTATCATCTCACCCATCCTCTCTCTATGAATGAGTTCAAGGAGTGTGTCAAGCAACCTCCCATGAATTTTGGGAGTGCGGACAACGATATCTCTCCACAACTCTAGACCAAGGTCAAAGACAGGTGTCTTTTTGTTAGTTGCAATAAATGTCCTATCCATATACATGAGTATATCTCTGATCATTTGTAGTGCCTTATTGTGATCAGCCCATCTTCTCTGCAGTTCCTCCAGAAACAAACTACCTTGGGCATCCTCTATTGATCTGCACATTTCTTTCAGGTGTCCTTTTAAATTCTCTGTGAGTTTATCATATAGCTTCAGACCATGCTTGTGAAGAACCAAGTTATAAGCAGTCCTGATCACACAAAAGGAGTATTATGATATAGAATTAAGTGAAGAAACTAAAATAGAGGAGTTTTCTCGTAACCCTTATACAACATCTAGCTAATATTATTATATGTGCAGAGCTCCCAAATAATAAACACACAATGTCACCCGCACTATCACATAGATGATACTAAGCTTTCAAACAATGTTTTTACTCCATGTCGTGAAAGCATAGCAGTGATAACAGATGATGGATGTAGCAGACAACAATTTAGCTTGCAGGAATGGAAAGCTATAATTGAAGGGAACTACAAAGTTAACTGTATTAATTTTGAAATTGAGTTATATTATATTAATATTACTTGTCTATAATTATATATCAAGCCTGGAGTACTTATTAAATTGGAAATAGCAATAATAACCAGTAAATGAGGAACATATGGAAATCGAAAAAAAGTATTATTGCAAAAGTGCTGCTGCATGCCATACACTATTAATTAAGAGGATATAGCAGAACAATGTGGAGTCCCCCTAACTTCCTAAGCTTGCAAAACAAAAGGCCAACAAGAGCAATGCATGAAAGGTGCTTATCAGCTAATTTCTATCTTTGGTCTTTGGTGTCTAATAAAATGAAGAGGACCAAACAAAGAAGGGATATTTTTATCAGCTGTAACTTACGCAGGTAAAGAGAGCACTACAATGCACTGCCAGGAAGATCAAGTTCCTTGAATATATACACCAAACTCTCAAAAGAAAGGACCTCACTATGTCTTATCTCAACCAAAACTAATGAATTAATAAATCTACAATAATACTATATTTTGGCAGGGAAAATCTTTAGCAGAGTGGGAAAATCTTTAGAATATGAAACATTATTAAGTATAGCAAATTTTTCCTTTTCTAGTGGTTACTATTATTTCTACTTGCTAAGTAGTTACACAATAATAAATGGGTAGATTATGATGGTTAAAACCAGGTAAGATAGTGTTTGTTAAGATAAGGACACATATGCGTACAACACCACGATGAAATGTAGCATATAGAAAACAATGAAATATGTTTTGAAATAATGATTAACCAGCATGCTCACTAGTAGAGAGTAAATAGATTACCTTTAAGCTATAAAATATCATATTGATTAAAAGGGCATATGCAAAGGGTATCAAACTTCCAACCCAGAATAACTTATGAGGAGACAAAATTATCCAGCACTATTCTAGAAACATCATAGGAGCAAAGCAGATATGACCGACTTATATTCAATATTTCAGGCTTAAAGAAAATTTCGAATCCATTGAAGCTTAAGAGAGGGAACAAAATCCTACCATAGGGTAATACATAGATGTGGCCTTCATGAAATAGACGGCATGTGCACTGTGCAGTACATATGTCGGATAATATCACTACACCACAGCCCATGACCCCAAAGCGTTACAATTTCCAGAGAACCACTATTATCGATCATAAATAAGGGAATTCCTTTTCTCTACTGTACAATGGATGCAAATCATGAAACTAGGGTTGCAAATTCCGACATATGTACTGCATGTAGGCATGCATGTAGCATACACAGAACTACCTAATAGGCATGCATGTAGCATATATCCGATCGATTAAAATCGTTTGAAACTCCCTGCACATCGCCTAATATCCAATCTATATACATAGATGATCATACAGCAAAACCTAAGGAAAAAAAAATGACTCCAACGATGACAGTGTGAGAAACTAAATCTACTAATCGAGCTGGCGTTTCATACAAAACTCGATTCCCCGTATCCCCCGCCCCCCACATGGGACGCCGCGCCAAAATCAACCTAGCATAAAACAGAAAAAAATCAGGCAGGGGATGCGGCGTAGATCTATCAACCTGTACAGCTCCTCGAAGGAGAGGCCGCTGGCGTTGTGGTTGTAAATCTCGCGGATGGCGTCCTCGAGCTTCTTCCACGATTTGTCGAAGGACTTTGGGTCCGCATCCACGCGGTGCCGGAAGGGCTCGATCTTGGGGCTGCGCTTCTTCTGCGAGTTCATCTCCGCCGCCGCCCGTGAGCCAGCGCCGTGCTCCGGCGATCTCCCTAGGGTTCCGGCGAGGCAGAGGCGAGGGGGGACGCGACGGTGGCGAACGCGAATTTGGGGAGGCGAGAGGGGAGGGGAAGCGCACGCGATGGGCCTCGTCGACGATATATCTTGCTCGTTTAATTCTCCTATTTTTTTTCTTTTTTGGTTTCCTTCTGATTATACGGGCCTGCTCTATATTTGGATCTTCGTTTTCCGTCCGGGGGTGGCTTTCTTTTTCTTTTCTTCTGTTTTTTTTTCTTTTTGGGAGTTTGATATTGTGATATGTTCTTCATTAGGGTTTTTTTTATCTCTAACCTGTTAAAACTGGACACATATATATGTTAAACAAAGGCAGAGCGTGATGATCTACTATAACTCTTTGTAAATCTTCACATAGCAAGTATTAGAGGTTGTTTTGATCTCTTATCGGTTAAAACCGGACTCTTGTGTCAAACAAAGGCAGACCTTAACGATGACTCATTTTTGTAAAGCTTCACGTGACAACCATGTTTACCTTAAAATTATCCACATTTTTCTCCTGAAATCCAAACAGAGATTTAGCCATTTAGGTTGCGGATTCGGTAGTGAGTTATGGGTGGTAAGTTTTAAAGTAGGATGCTTTTTAAACTTCTAAAAGGTGTACTTTTAAAAGCTTTTTATATGGAAGTTTTTCTTAAAAAAAATCAAATAATCTAATTTTTAAGTTAGTGATAAACACACCGTTAATCACACTCTAATGGTTTGTTCATTTTGCGTGCCGTGAAAAATCCCACTTCAAACTTACTTTCAATCTGTTAGACAAAATTTTTGTGTAAATTATGTTATCTTTTGAGACTTTATTTATTAGTCCCTTCATTTTATTATAAGACGATTTAACTTCTTTAAAATCATTTGACCAACTTATATTTATATATATATATATATATATATATATATATATATATATATATATAGACACACACACATACACAGCACCAAATTGATTTTATTACATCTAACATTGAATATATTGTAATAGCTATTTGTTTTGTATTGAAAATATTATTATGTTTTCCTATAAACTTATTCCAACTTAAAAGGTTGGAACAAGAAAAAATGTTATAATGTGTTAGAATATGAAACAGAGGAAATATATAGCCCTGTAAAAATTAAATTTGGATACGTCCTTCCTATAGGAATTTTACATTTGTGATGTTTTACAGATATAATAAAATACATATAGGTCATTTCTTTAAAGAATCTACATCCAAATATTATAGAAGTTGTAAGATGAACGATTGTGAATTACAAAATCACTGTCTGATAAAAAAAACACAAAAACTACTTACAATATCATCCTATATACACTATTTTCATCAATGGTTGAGAATATGCATAACCTTTTTTCCTAATGACTTATAAGTTGTGTGTAGTCCTTATCTTTCTCAAACTGAATCATTATGTTGATCGAATTTTGCACACATAATAGCAAACGATTGATGTCAAACTAAAGTGGAAGATAACACCTACGGAAAGTAACTAAAGTTGTAAATAAGTCACTCGCTCACATCAAATCACTAGTTTTTTTGAAGGAAATTTGTGGCGTGAACAGACGTAAAAGCATCATGTACTCTAAAACCTATTCCTGTCACTCTTACCGTTCGGTCGATCCCACGCTTATTTGTAATTTATCTCCTTCAAGAGAAATAATATTGAGTTCATTTAAGAATGTGAACGAGTAGGACGAAAGCAACCAATTAAGCAAGAAACTTGCACCGCGGTATAAGTAAAGTATATGTGATTAAACTAATTGAAGTACTTAATTGTCCATAACAAATGATTAGGCTGACGTAGTTAACCCGAGCAAGGATTAAACTGAAGTACTTAACCCAAAAAAGAAAAAAACGTTAGCTAGTGCGATCTACATCTTGGACAGTTGGACGCACTTGGCCGGAGAGCCAACATGTGTAACTTCTTCGTGCATGGCTATAGAGACCATGCATCACACGGTACATGACAGTGCATCAACCGTGGGTCTATGCGCGCATGACAAAGCTGAAGCCCGGTCACCCCGCTGATTGGTGAAGACCAATATCGATAAAGTAGAGAGAGCGAGAGATCATCGATGAAGTAGAGAGTGAGAGAGACCATTGATCTGGCGCTGCAAGCCCTGCAAGAAACCACAAAAAGAGGATTCGCCCTTTGCCTCGCCGCGGCGCGCGGACCGGCAAGTCCTGCAAAAGGAAGATATTATGCTTTTACGCTGCAAACCCGGGGAAAAATTTTGGTGGATATGGATCCCGGGTGCAAACCTGTGTGTGTGCGCGCGCAGCCCCGATCCAACGGCGTGCTCCACGCGGCTCATGGCATGTGCGATCTCAACACTTGGAAGCTCAGCTCGCTCCGCTCGGCTTAGGGTGAGTTTGAGGAGAAGTTGATCGAGGAGATTGGGAAGATACGCAAAACGAGGTGAGCCATTAGCTCATGATTAATTGAGTATTAATTGTTTTAAATTTTAAAAATAGATTAATATGATTTTTTAAAGCAAAAAACACACCGTTTAGTAGTTTGGAAAGCGTGCGCGCGGAAAACGAGTTGTTATCTCCCTCAATGTTACCTGAACGAACGCAGCCTTAGGCTTTTTGTATTGTTTGCCGTATTGATTTTTTTTAATAACACTTATCGGATTGTTGAAACAGATTATTTACAACATGCTTCGAAAAATACAATGGATTATCGAATTACCACGTGTCTGAAAACCAAACAAAAAGTCAGTTGTATTTTGAACTACTTTGATTGCTCCAAGATTTATATGCAACATTATCTCTACTCTTCTCCTCTTATCACTCATTTTGCGCAAGCTGTGTACACCAACTCCAAGCTGAGAGTTGGGATGTAGAAGATGGGTTTTTAATCTATTTTTCTAAAAAAATACTCACTTGCGTGTGCATGCGCGTCACCATGCTCGTACTGTCGCCTCCTCCGCTCCTACCTCATCGATGTTGGAAGCTGTCAATATTGTTGGTTGGGCCCACCCAATAGGGCTCCTCCCCATACCCCTCCCCTCACCTTGCCAACAATGTTCTTCTTCAAGTCTGGAGACATCAAGCCCTGCCCCTACAAGACCTTCTGTGTCTTGGGGTGGTTTGTGCCACCGGATGATGGATCCGCCCTTGTCATTTTTACCTCCTATTCAGTTTCGCTAGTGTCACCCTACCGTCAACCTTTGTCTCATCGTCGACCTCCCACCCCGTGATTCCGGCGCCTCCTCATTGCCCACAGTTCATTCGATTGCTATCCATGGTTGTCCACTTGTCCTGAATAATAGTTCGCTCAATAACCTGTTTCAAATTGAGCGGTTGGCACCGCTCCACTCAAGAAGGACTGGGCCAATGTCCCTCCCTCAAGGGAGCTATGGCCAATCGTTATCTTGCCGGCAAGGAACATCAAGGCATCCGCTAGCTAGGTTTTGGCGTTGATGGACATGGGATTGACAGAGTATTCGTTCCCGCTTGGAGTAAGGGTGGAGGAGTAGTAGACGAGTTCTTAGATAGGAGGCGATCAACTGTCACGCCCCGAACTAGTACCGACCGGAACTAGCCTGTGACGCTCCAAATTAACCTGTTAATCGATACCAGTCCCAGGAAACAATGCTGGTATCACAGGAAGACGGATTATCACAGCAACAGAAGTCTCTTTATTATAGAGTAGAGGTAGAGTCATGTTGGGCTGCGGACAGATCCCGAGCTCACAACTGCATTACAAAAGGGAAACGGAAGCCAGGACTTGGACCAAACAACACAGGCGCGACTTGGGAACTAGGCCGAAACCTTAAAACTCATCGTAACCGGCTTGCTCCTAGAAGAACTCCTCATCAGCAGGATCCGCTTCATCTTCTTCAGCAACTGGGGGGGGGGGTTATTTATATAGAGCAAGGGTGAGTACGGGAGTACTCAGCAAGCCATGGGAAATAAGTGTTTAATGCAGGCTTCAAAGAAAAGCTGTTGTTTTTGCAATTTATTTTATTTGAGCTCTTTTCTAAAAACAACTAAGTGAGTGCTTCTCAAACGACACGGATGAGACAGTGCGTCTCGTCTGGTCGGAGTATGTGCAATGTATCAATCTTTAGATCTTAAAACAAGGTTGGCACCCGGCCAACAGCTTTTCAAACGGCCACCCGGGCCAACAACTTTTCAAACGGCCACCCGGGCCTAGCTGATCCCGTCAGCTGCCGATTTTTCAAACATCGAACCCCTTTTCACCACAGTAATTTCACAAGCAGTTGTCAAACAAAACTATGCTAGGAATCACCTCACATCCGCCCATGACCGTGGGCACGGCTGTTCGAACAGTTTGTTAACCTCTGCAGAGGGGGTACACTTTACCCACACGACATTACTAACCCGGATCACCCAGCCCGTGGGGATCAGCCACGTCGGGAGACCTCCAAGCTTTCATGACAAGGCATTTCCAAAGCCGACACAGGCTTACCATATGCCGACGAGAGGGGTCCCAGACCAACAACAGGTTAGGTCCCAGACCATACTGTGCCAGGAAGCCCAGGGGGGTCCTCTCCGACACCACCCCGGCGAATCCACATGTCTCTCGGCATCATGGCTCCCCTGATAAGCTAGTTACTCAGCCAGGGGTGTCCCATTCCACCCATGTGGTCGTACTTGTCTTATGTTCAGATGAAATTCCAAGGAAACGGTCCTTAGGTGCAAGAGCGGGAAACCGTACACCCGGTAGGTTCCCCGGTCCGCGGTTTTGGAAATTCATTTAGTTCGCAAGCACCGACCCAGGTGTCGGGTTTTCCAAGTCTTTTGTAAAACCCAAGTTTTACCCAAGTTGTTTCTCAGATTTTAAGTTTGAAGGCGACCGTCGATACTCGCACAGAGTGCACGAATATCGAGGCGCAACTGGGTGGTTACAAGGGGACATGGTATAACAATTAACAAAGGAAGGATCAAATGCAACAAATTAGGCAGGTCCGCCAATCTGCCTTGCAGACGGGACAACAGATTAAGTGCGATCCTATCAATGCATAATATTTTGCAAGCAATATAATTAAATTTTAAATATAGGCTCAAGATGTTCAAAGGTGGCTTGCCTTGCTCGAGATCTGGAGCTTGATCCTCGAAATCCTCGCACTGCGGGTCTTCGGGCTCCGAAACTACACGCGAAACGGGA